ATAAGAACATCATGAATGATGAGGGTACTGACCATTTTCAGAGTCTTGAGTTGTTATACCATAGCGTATTATGATTTTCCCCAGTTTTCTGCAATCTAGATATTTAAATCTAGAGAAAAAATATTGTTAACTGTTTTTAAAAGTAACAGCTTTATTGAGATATATTTCACTTTTAAAGTGTACAGTTCACTGGTTTTTAGTATATTCAGAGTAGTACAATCATTACCACTATTTAATTTTAGAACATTTTCACCACTCCACAAAGTAACCCTGTACCCATTGGCAATCACTCCGTTTTTCCCTCTAATCTACCTGGCAACTCCTAATCTACTTGGTATCTATATAGATTTGCTTAAGAGATAATGTCTTTTAAAATTAATTTTGTTTATTAACTAGAAGTTATTTACTAGTCATTGGTACAAGAACATGAATATGCTCCTTTTTTGAAAAGGACATAATCACTCTATTATGTTTATTTATGTTAATAAATATCACCTAGATATAATTAATTGACTTAGGAACTTATCTGTTTGATGTATTACATTTTTAAAAATTTTTGTGTTTAGTAAACAAAATAGCTCTTATGTAATAGTATTAAGTTCAAAATCTAGAGAATGATAAGCACTCTTAATTACTTCTGTTACCTCTTCTATTCTTGGAATTTCTCAGTATCACAAGGTTAGTATCTGATACATTACTAGGTGCTCAATTAAGAAAGCTTTATTTTATTTTGGTGATGGAGCTGGAATTGGAATCCAGCTTTCCTCCCATGAAATCTCCTTCTCTTTCCATTATACCACATATGCTTTCTATATGTGTCCAAAGCTGACTTTTTAAAGGGTTTGGAAGCAGTTCGTAGTGTGAATCAGTGTTCTTTATTTCCTGTCTTTCGCATTTTTTGTAGCCATACAAAAATGTACACATTTAAATCTGCTATTATATGAATGCTGAAATGGTAAGTAGGCTAAGGGAAAAGAAATAAAAAACATTTTTAAAGCTTGCAATGTTTTATGTCTCATAACAAATATAAATGGCCCATATTTCACACTTAAATAATGTGTAAAGTATGACATGAACTTATGGGCGTTTTTAGCATGAATACTTTGTTTTTAAATAGCTCTAGTTAAAATGCTAAATATGAAGCAGTTATTTCCAGATGTATTTTTTTTTTATGCTTTAAGGAGCTCAAGTTGAAGGAGAGAGGTAGTAAAAGAAAGGATAGACACTTATAGACTTTTTTTTTGTCATTTGTGTTTTAAATTTTACTGTGGTATAAATATAGACAGCAAAGTACACAATACTTAAATGTATAACTTGATGAGTTTTTACAAATATATGTAATGTGTATATAGTAATCACCACACAAATCAATATTTAAATACCTCAGAAGTTTCCTTAGTACCCCAATTTTTGTCACTTGCTCTCCTGCAAGAGGTAGTCACTATTCTGACTTCTGTCATATATTGGTTTGTCTGTTTGTTTTTGAAGTGCATGTAAATTAAGTCACACAATGGTATCTTACTTCTGGTTTCTTTCACTCATATGTCTATAAGATTCCTCTATATTGTTTTTTGTAGCAGTTGTTTTTTCTTTGTAGTATTCTGAGATACAAATAGAGCATTATATATCCATATGCCTGTTGATAGAGATTTGTTGTTTATAATTTTTTACTATTATGACTAGAGCTGCTAAAAACATTCTTGTCTTTTGGTGAATATGTGCACTCATTTTCGTGGACTGTAAAGTTTTATAGTTTATAAAAGTCAAAACATTTTAATTAAAATAGCTAGAATGCCAGGACTGCCTCACAAACAGTTTTCAAGTCTGAGTGAATATATACCTCTTTGAATTATAATAGAAGCTGGGGAAAATTCTAGTGACTTTACAGCCACTTTAGAATGGTATCATATGCCTGTTCAAGAGTTATGGCTATTAAGCAGTCAGTCAGTAAATAGCAAGGTTCCATGCTAGGTGCTAGAGATATCTCTGTAAAAGACAGTCATACACCCTATATTCACCAATGAGTAAACAAGTCATTTGAAATAATGTACAGAGTGCAATGATAAGAGAAATGAGAGCTATTAGAGGAGTACTTGGAATGAAGCATCTCACCTACACCTGGTAGTAACGGGAGACATCTTGTAGGAAATGACATCTAAACTGCATCTTAAATAATGAATTGGAATTAGCCAGGTGAAGGGGGTATGGTGAGGCTGGTGAGGTGAGCTAGGCATTGAGAGATTTTAGGCACTTTTTAAGACTTGTAGACTTGAGAAATTGAAAGTAGCTGGGTAAGCAAAGGGAACCATTGAAGATTATCTTTTTATTATAGAATACTTCAAATGTATAAATAATAGAATGAATCCTTGTATACACATCCCACAGTGTCAGCAGTTACCAACTCATGGCCAATCTTATTAAGACCATGCCCATTATCCCTAGAGGATTCTTTTGAAGAACATTTGAGATATATCATATCATTGAAGATTTATGGCAGGAGAGTGACATGATTAGTTTTGTATTTTAGAAATTACACATACCTGGTAATTCTAAATTACCTTTCAAATGCACACATCATAGTTTAGGTGTTTTTCATTTGCTGCCATTTATACATAGACATTCGCCTTTTTGCATGTACTATTTGCAGTAGTTTCATTTTTTTCAAACTATAATGATTTGGAAGTATGATTAAATGTAAAGTTGTTTTTGTATTCATCTTTCCATGTGTATCAGTTGGTTTATTTACATTTTAAAATACTATTAATGAATATTTTGGTTTCTATCTATAAAAATGTCATAATATAAAAGTCAGTTTGTTTCTAGAATTCAGCCTTGATAATAGCAAAGATACTAGTATTTGGAAAGGAATTAGATTTATAGTTTTACTATGAATTTTTTTTACAGATTCAAGTTGAGGAATTGTTTTGTGGCTTGCATTTTGTTACTATCTATGTGTGAAAATGTGTTTGCTTACTGTTTTCTTTGTTGGTAAAAATTAAATATAGACTGTCTGGGCATGGTGGCTCATGCCTATAATCCCAGCAGTTTAGGAGGCCAAGGCAGGCAGATCACCTGAGGTCAGGAGTTTGAGACCAGCCTGGCCAACATGGTGAAACCCTCATCTCTACAAAAATTAGCCAGGTGTGGTGGCGTGCACCTCTAATCCCAGCTACTGGGGAGGCTGAGGCACGAGAATCACTTGAACCTGGGAGGTGGAGGTTGCAGTGAAACAAGATCATGCCACTGCACTCCAGTCTGGACAACAGAGTGAGACCCTGTCTCAAAAAAAAAAAAAAAAAATAGATTGCTTTTATTTTATTTAAAAATATTTTTTTCAGATTATGAAAAACATTTGTATTAAATATGACCAACAATAATTAGTTTTGAATAAAATGTTTTATACAGATAAGTTTAAAAAAATAGTATGACCTCAATCCAAAAGAAGGACAGTGACACAAACAGGCAAAGTACACAAGCAATATAACAGGCAGGGAAAAATTCAACTGCACTAGTCATCAAAGAAAGTAAAATTTTAGACCTATTAAGCTAGCAAAAAAAAGCAACTGAAATTCCACCACCAATATTAGTGAAGTTGCAATAAAACTAATCCACCCATTCCCTAAATTGGTGGAGCCCTTGTGTAAAGCATCATGGTAATACATGTCAAAATTCATGAGCATGGTCATTTCTGTAGACCAGAAATCTCACTCCTAAATAAGCCCCATATCAAGAATAAAATTCAACCAAAGAATAACTTCACGCTAAAAAATGTGTATTGCTATCAGCAGGCAATCAAATGCCCAGCTCTACATGAATTATTTATGATATAAAATAATTTGACCAAATAAAAATACAGCCATGAAATGTATAATACTTAAGTACAAAATACAGATTGTGTTATGCACACCAACTAAAATTTCTGAAAATACATAAGCACAGGAAAGGGAACATACAATAAAGAAAAAAAGTTAATATTCAAATGAAGAAATGTTTAATTATTTGATACTAATACAGTATTGTTTAACTTAAAATGAGACAGATCGTTTGTGTCTTTTGAGGTTTCCTTTTAAGCCACATGCCTATCTTATCTATTTAAAGAATTATTTTTTAGAAATAAAAATATAAGAATAAGAACTGTATGCATAGGGATAAGCCATAAGCTGCACCAACTGGATCCTAGATCCTCTTTCCCCAACAGCAGCCCATTTTTGGTTCTTAGATTGCTTTTATTTTAAAACTATTTAGCTATCTATGGTCCACTAAGTTAAAAATACCTTCCTGTAAGTAGAGTATTTGTTACAGCATTTTAGTTTAATTCCTTTTTTTGAAGGAAGTTTAGTGAATGGTAACTAGTGCAGTACTTTGGGATAGCACTGTATTTATTCATGCATTCATCTTGTGAAAATCAGTGATTTTAATCTAAATTAGAGGTTTGCAAACTTTGGCTTCTGAGAATGGTTCTTACATTTTTAAAGGAATGTTAAATGAAGAGAATTCAAAACAGAAACCATATGTGGCCTGAAAACATAAAATATTTACTATCTGTGTCTTTACAGAAATTTTTTCAATCCCCATCTAAATAAATATAACATACATTCTTGGCATATGCCTTTTTTCTTTTGAAAATCTTTCTAGGCCGGGCGCGGTGGCTCAAGCCTGTAATCCCAGCACTTTGGGAGGCCGAGGCAGGTGGATCACGAGGTCAAAAGATCGAGACCATCCTGGTCAACATGGTCAAACCCCGTCTCTACTAAAAATACAAAAAATTAGCTGGGCATGGTGGCGCGTGCCTGTAATCCCTGCTACTCAGGAGGCTGAGGGGGGAGAATTGCTTGAACCCAGGAGGCGGAGGTTGTAGTGAGCTGAGATCGCGCCATTGCACTCCAGCCTGGGTAACAAGAGCGAAACTCTGTCTCAAAAAAAAGAAAAAAGAAAATCGTTCTATCAGATTTGTTTTACAATTAATATTTGAAAATTAAAGTTTTCATTTTCTTCTGTAGAGAAGATGGCGAATTAGAAGATGGTGAAATAGATGATGCAGGATTTGAAGAAATACAAGAAAAAGAAGCAAAAGAGAATGAAAAGCAGAAAAGTGAGAAAGCCTACAGAAAATCAAGAAAAAAGCACAAGAAGGAAAGGGAAAAGAAAAAATCCAAAAGGAGAAAACGTGAGAAACATAAGGTTAGAATCTTTTTATTCTTTTGATAAATTTTTATGAAATATAAAATACTAAAAATTACAAAGTAGAAGTCATATTTATTTTATTATAAAACATATGGATTAGATATTTTTATTTATGTGATTAAACTTTCTAAACAAAGATTATATGAATTATCTTAAAGATTTAAAAAGTAATTAAGTTAAATCTTTTTCTTTTTTTTTTTTCTTGAGACAGAGTCTATTGCCCAGGCTTGAGTGCAGTGGCACGATTTTGGCTCACTGCAACCTTGACCTCCCAGGCTCAGGTGATCCCCCACTCAGTCTCCTGAGTAGCTGGAACTATGGGTCCATGCAACCACACCTGGCTAATTTTTATATTTTTAGTAGAGACAGGGTTTCGCCATGTTGCCCAGGCTGGTCTCAAACTCCTGGGCTCACGTGATCTGCTGAACATGGCCTCCCAAAAATGCTAGGTTTATGGGTGTGAGCCACCATGTCGGGCTTCAGGTTAAATCTTCATGCAGATTAAAATAAACAGTATTTTAATTGATGGAAGATTTTATACATGGATATTGGAAGGTTAAGGAAAGAGAGTTTCATTCCCTATGGATACAGATTAGCAGCATTGGCCTTGTCCATCTGTTTATTTATTTACTTATTCATTTATATGTATTATCGAGTGCTTACTATGGAAACCTTTATGCTGTATGCTGAGGGTTATAGTAGTGAGTGAAACAGTTGGGTCTTAAAGAGATTACATTGCAATGGGAAGGAGAGAGGCAACACACAAATGAAAAACAAATGCTGTCAAAAAAAACAATAGAGTACTGGATGGAGAATTATGAGGATTTGTGATAGGGAAGAGGGGGAACCTATGCTGACTGAGCAATCAAGGAAAAGTTGGCAGCAATGGAGGAACAGGTTTTGAAACTCCCTGGATTTCCTCCATTAAAAACACATCAATTAGGATAACACAACCAAAACCTATTGACAACATCTACAAAAAAAAGGAAGAAAAAGTTATCTCTGATAAACCTAACAAATACAAATGATTGGGGCCAAACCATAGATACCAACAAGACTGGTGTAGTAACAGCATCGGTACAAATGAAGCGGAAGGAAAATAAAGGGACTTCCAGAAACCAAGTTACCAACAGATATTCACCTCAAATGGTGCATGTCTAGCACAGAAACCTCATGAGCCTATCTGAGAACAACAACAGAAACTGGGAGGGGGCTGTACTCCCACCAGTTTATGTTGGGAACCTGCCCAATCCTTTAGGTGGATGCCCTTAGTCCCAGCAGTGACGAAGGATTGAGAAAAGGAAATAAAGACAGAGACACAAGAGTAGAATTTACAGCATGGGTCCAGGGGACCAACGCAAGTGTGGGAACCGCACTGGTCCTGAGCTCTGGGCTCCAAACATTTTATTATGTGCACAATCTCATTGATCTTATGGGAGTTGAAGGGGAGGGTGAAGGTGTAAGTAAAATAGCCAGGGTGGGGAGAGCACCTGAGATCCTTCTAAGACATGCTAAACTAGTACTCTGAGTTTATCCCCGATTGTTAATTGTTATCAGAGTGCAGCTGCATCAGAAGTATAGCGGATTAGGAGTTACTGGGTCTGACCACTCCCAGTGCATCAAGGGGCTTTTATCTCGCAAGCATTGAGGACATAGAGCAATTAAAATTACTCCATATTCTGAGAACCTAGGCAGAGCCTGAGGTGTTCGGTGATCTCTACCCTGCAAGGCTTTTCTCCTCCTTGCCAGTTCCCATCTACAAAGACCCTCCTGGATCTTATGAGCAGATGTCGCCTTTCTCCTCAGAGATTTTTGCATAAGCCTTCTTTAGGGGGCCCTTATATAGTCTCCATGTTGAGAAGACATTTGTGGGACCAGAGCAGTATTCCCTGCTCTGCAACCACCTCGAGGTGTTCCCCGGTGTTACTGTGCTCTCGGATGGTCTTTACCTTAGGCCTCCTGTTGCCTCTTGATTTCTAATTAACTGCACCAATAATATAGTTTAGTTCAGTGTATAAACTTAACTGTTCTCTGAGCCAAGCAAGCTTATAGCTATTTACATTTAATTAACACAGGTCTCCTCCTGGCCTTCTTGACCCACAAGTTTATGCATGAATGTAAGGTGACCATAGAAATTGAATGGTGCTGAAAAGGTCTGGACCTGATGAACGAACCCCTAATAAGAATCAACTAGATCCCTTTCTATGACACAGTCCCACACTGAGGAGGTAACTGCTGGACGTAGAATCTACACTGAGAGACAGGCATATAGGACCAAGGAAAGAAATTGTCAGATAACAAATGGGGGAAAGAAGCAGAAGAGACATAGCTCAGAAAATAGCCATATTTTTGAATGCTTCATGCTAACATCATAACCCTAGAGTCATGAAGCCAGGAAAGCTTTCTTGGCCCATTCCATCTGCTTTTTCATGTGAGCAGGAAGATAGGACTGTGGTCACATTCCATGGTTGTTATTTTACAATAAAAGAGGATAATGAAGAGATGAAGTCTTCTGGAAAAGAAAGAATACCCACAAAGCATATGAAAAATTTAACCTAATATTTTAAAATGACAAAAAATTAAGAAAACAATTTAAGCTATGATCAAACAGCATAGAATAATAACAAAACAAAGCAAACAAAAAGGAAGTACTTAATAAAGTTATGAGCAGAAGTTAATGAATTAGAATGAAAACCAGTAGTTTTTTAAAAAAGATTAACAACATATATATCATTGACCAAACCAATTAATAATAAAAAGGAAAGGAAAAAATGAATATGCTGAGGGTGAAATAACTATCAAAAAGAAGAAATTAAAATAATAGGAAATTCATGTATATAATTTTATGAAAATAAATTTAAAAACCAAAATGAAATGGAAAATTTTCTAGAAAAGTACTATCTAAGAAAATTAATTCCAGAGAGTCAAAAAATCTGAGACTTTCTGGAGTTTGTAATCTATCGTACCAAGAAACACAAGGACCAAGTCTTTTCAGAGTATAATTCTATTAGTATTTTTTCAGGGAAAGGTTTCCCTTAGAGCTAGAGCTGACTTCTGATGGTGACTGAGCAAACTGGGCTTTTAAATAGACCCTATTTATTTTAAACCCTAGCCAAGAATGATTAGATATTAAAGTTGAGGCATTTGACAGCATAATTATAAAAATATTTCTTATATCACCTATCAAATCAACAAAGACAAAAGCAATAAAACCATGAAAACCAAACTCCAGACCATTTAGGAACACGGTAGAGGAAAGCAATTTGTCTTTCCTAAAAGAACATTTAAGGATGGGGTAGAGAAAAACAAATCCTTCTCTTATAAGAGCATCAGAGTTCAGTCATTTCAGCAAATTTGTACTGAGTTTGTACTAAATTGCCAAGAAATTTAAGAACTCTTTAAAGAGAATGCTCAAGTTGGGAAAGTAATCATTTTGACTAGATGGAGGAGATTTGGTCATTTTTTTGGAAATATTAATACTTGAACAAGCTTACTCGATATTTGTTAGTCATTATCAATTACTTATGCTTTTCATTTCACTTTTGTTCAATTTTGTGGACCAGATTTATTTCATTTTTGTAATTAGTAATGTTTTGGTATCTTTTAGTTTTTGAGTACTCATGCAATAGAATAAGAACTCCAGAGCCATTTTAGGTAAAAACAAATTAATACATACTCTACTCATATTTTAAGACCCTTTTTGGTGATCCAGGAGCCAATTTTACTTTATTTAGGGTTAGCTTAAAAGTAGTTCATTTTAGAGCATATGGGCAGAGTATTTCTCTTTAGGTCAAAGGGATGATAAGGAAAATGTTACAGTCTCTGAGCAGAGAGGAAGATGTACTTTCTTCTCAGAAAACCTTAGCAAAATTAGAATGGTGGTGGCGCTTTGAACAAGAATTTTTCAGTAGTACTTCAGAGTCTTCTGGAATAATATAATCTGGTTGGTACCTCTGGTTGAAACAAGCTTATCTAATTACTTCCTTTTGCATAATTTTCCCTCTCTTCAGCATAATTCCCCATCTAGTGATGATAGTTCGGACTACAGCCTTGATTCAGATGTTGAACATGCAGAAAGTTTCCATAAAAAAAGAACTGGTTTCTACAGGGATTATGACATTCCATTTACTCAGGTATTGGCATTTTGTTGTTTTGTAATAAAACATAGGTAGCATAAAATGTACCATTTAAACTCTTTTAACTGTACAATTCAGTGATATTAAGTATATTCACAGTGTTGTTCAGTCATCACCACTTACCCATTTCTAAAAATTCTTGATCATTCCAAACTCAGCACCCATTAAGCAATAACACCTTATTTTCCCCTGCCCCCAGCCCCTGGAAATCACTATTCTATTTTCTGTTTCTGTGGATTTGCCTATTCTAGGTATTTCATGTAAGTGGAATCATATAGTATCTGTCCTTTTGTATCTGGCTTATTTCACTTAGCATAATATTTTTAAAGTTCATCCAAGTTGTAGCATGTGTCAGAATTTCATTCCTTTTAAAGGCTGAATAATATTCCATTATATGTATATATCACATTTGGTTTATCCATTCATATATTGATAGACATGTGGATGTCCATCAAAAAAAGCTTCTGCCTTTTGCTATTGTGAATCATGCTGCTTATGAACATGGGTATACAAATAGCTTTTCAAGACTTCTTTCAGTTTGTTGGGATATATATTTAGAAGTAGAATTGCTAGATCATATGGTGATTCTATGTCCAACGAACCATGAAACTGAGGAACCATGTAACTGTTTTCCACAGTGGCTGCACTATTTTACATTCACACTAGCAATGCCTGAGGGTTTCAATTTGTCTACCTCCTTGCCAACACGGTTTTTTTTGTACTTTTGGAAACAGCAAACAGGTATAAAGTGACATTTCATTGTAGTTTTTTTTCTTTTCTTTTTTTCTTTTGAGACAGAGTTTCGTTCTGTCGCCAGGCGCCAGGCTGGAGTGCAGTGGCGCGATCTCCACTCACTGCAACCTCCGCCTCCCGGGTTCAAGCAATTTTCCTGCCTCAGCTTCCCAAGCAGCTGGGACTACAGACGTGTGCCACCACACCCAGCTAATTTTTTTTTTATATTTTAGTAGAATGGGGTTTCACTATGTTGGCCAGGATGGTCTTGATCTCTTGACCTCGTGATCCACCCGCCTCGGCCTCCCAAAGTGTGTGGTTTTGAGTATTGCCCTTTTAAGAGAAAAAATAAACTTTTGATTTTATTCTTTCTGGTAATTTTTCAGACATATGCCATAAATTTGAAATCTTTGCATATAAAGAATACATACTGTATTCATTTGCTAGAGCTAACATAACAAAATTCCATAGACTGGGTGGCTTAAGCAATAGAAATTTATTTTCTCACAATCTGAAGTCTAGAAGCCCAAGATCAAGGTGCCAGCAGCGTTGGTTTCTTTTGAGGACCATAAGTGAAGGATCTGTGCTAGGCTTCTCTCCTTGATTTGTCGATGGCCTCCTCCTCACTGCTTTGTCCTTACATGGTCATCCCTCTGCGCACAGGCACCCCTAGTGTCTCTCTGTGTCCAAATTTATTTTTATTGTAAGGACACCAGTCAAACTGGATTAGAAACTACTTTAACAGCCTCATCTTAATTTATTCGCCTCTTTAAAGGCCCTATCTCCAGATATACAGTATTTTGTTCTAGGCAAGTAATGATGCTCTGAGAGGCACTAGGAAGTATTCAGATCAGTGTGCACTTATCTGAAAAGACCCAGAGTTTGAGTTCTCATTTTTGCCAGTTTGTCACTGTTCTGATCTGCAAGAGCGCTATTCTTTCTCCTAACTTGGTGCTGCTAATCTCTTGCGAGTTTAGAAACTAAAATACTATTTTTGTTAGAGTTACTTCTATTGTCTGACTCACTGTTGCCGCCTTTATAGTTGAGATTGCTAAGTGACCATTAAATAAATGAGGTTTTATTAAAATATCTTCTCTTAAAATTTGAAAAGAATTCTACACTAGTTAATAATTTTAGCTAGTTAAATATCAGAATGTTTTTGTGTCAATATAGCTAGTTATTTTAGAGTCAGTGTTTGTTACTATTTCTCAGAACATTTTTATAACGATTCATTAAAAATATTTTTACCACAAATGACAGAACTTTTAATTCAGCAACACTGATATGGTACCAGCATTTCATCATTTGCAGTTAGATTTATTCTTTAGAAATATTCAAAAGTCAAAAAGACTCTTACAATGAATGAAAAGATGCTCAGAATAGGCATTATTATTTCATGTAAGAAGACATTTGAAAATGTCAAGGTTCTGGATTCATAAGTTGTCACTGGAAGTAACCCCAAAGAGGAAGTTCCAAATATTTAAAATAGTGGCAGCATTATTGTAATAAGTACATAGGCTTCTATGTGGCCACTGTGGGAGTTAAAATCAATTTGTATGTATAAACAATAGTCCATCTGAAATAGCTTATGTAGGGAAAGAAAGAAAGAAAAAAACAAACCAAAACAAAAAAATAGTACAGTTGTTTTAGGTATCTCGCATTTTTAAAACATTATGCAGTTATTTATTGTTAATAAATATGTATTATTAATATGATGTTGACTATCATATGTCCCTATAGACATCCTGTTATTATTTTTGCTTTAAAAAATCAGTTAAAGACATTAAGAAAAAGGATGATTTTTTATATTTATCTACATTTCATTTTCAGTGTTCACTTTTTTATATAAATCTGAGTTTCAATATGATACCATTTTCTTTTAACCAGAGGACTGCATCATTTAGCCTTTGTTTAGCGTATCTCATAGCACAATTTGCTATCAGTAAATTCTCTCAGCTTTTATTTGTTGGGCCAATGTGTTAATTTTACACTCATTTTTAATAACTTTTTATTTTGTCATAATTTCAGTCTTACAAAAAAGTTGCAAGAATGTTACAAAGAACTCTTGTATATCTTTCATCCAGATTTCCCAGTTAACATTATACTAGATATGCTTAACTTAATCTTTTCTTCTCTAGTCTTCTCTTCCTTTCAGAGAGATCTAATTTGCCTTTTTAAAAAATTTATTACTTTTTAGTGTCAGGGTCTTGCTCTGTCACCCAGGCTAGGGTGTAATTTGCCTTCACCCATCTATTAAGTATTTTTCATATCTAGACATTTGATTCTTTTAAAATCTTCTAAGTCATTTTTATAGGATCAACTTACCTGGTGAAATTCTCATATTGTCTTTTACTTGAAAATAGCAGACTTCAGATATAAATAAATTTCTGTATCTGAAGTCTGTTTTTTTTTTTTTTTTTTTTTTTTTGTGAGACAGTCTCACTCTATCACCCAGGCTGGAGTGCAGTGGCGTGATCTTGGCTCTCTGCAACCTCCACTTCTGGAGTTCAAGCGATTCTCTTGCCTCAGCCTCCCGAGTAGCTGGGACTATAGGCATGTGCCACCATGCCCACCTAATTTTTGTGTTTTTAGTAGAGACGGGGTTTCACCATGTTGGCCAGGCTGGTCTTGAACTCCTGACCTCAGGTGATCCACCTACCTCAGCCTCCCAAAGTGCTGCGATTATAGGCTTGAACCACCATGCATTGCCTGAAGTCTGTATTTCTATTGCCCGTTATTTTTTGTTGGTTCTCTTTCACGTGATGCTATCTCTTCATAGGCTTATTTTTGTTTTCAGTTTTTTTCTATTCTGTGCTGAGTATTGTATTTGCAAAATATAGTGCATTTTGTAGAAATATTTTTAGGCCTAGGATGATGTTTTTCTCCACTCAAAAAAAGATTTTTACTTCTGCCAGATTTCTGGTGACCCTTACAAACTTTATTCCAATTTCAGGATTTGAGACTTCTGGGCTACCCAGATTCCTGAAGGCTGGGCTGCAGTCTCTGACTCACATTTTGAGATCCCCTTATAATTGAGGATGGGGATTACTAAGCTTCCACCTTTTCCAGACTCTGAACTCCACCTTTTGTTTACATAGACAACAGAGACAGTCAAAAGTGCTGTTTGATCTTTCAGCTGGTTCTTCCTGAAGGGGTTATACTCTCGGAGCAAATGCAGCTCCAAATGCTGCCCAATTCTTAGGATTTTCGTCTCCTCCATGAGTATTGGTCTAGTAATCCTTCACTAGTTTGTTAGCTGCCTGATGTCTGCAAACAGATTTAAGGAAATATTTTGTCTATCTTTTCTACTTTTTTAAGCAGGACAATTAGTCTGAATTACCTAGTCTGCTATTATAAAAAGAGAAAGTTCAATGCCATTTCTTCCATATATATATTTTAGAGTTGACTAATTGAGAATTAGATTATAACCTAACTACATCTAAAAATCCCATTTTCTTAGATAACAGGTATCTGCTATATAACTATTACAGTTACAGGGCAAAAATAGAATACACTGTTAACATCTAGCAGTTAAATTAGAGGGCTTAATATGTTTTTCCTCATCTTTTTTCAGGGCCTCCTATTTCTTTATTTGTTTCCAGTGATTGCTGGAGGCCCATTTTTGTTTTACAGAAACTAGATCTGTCACATTCTAGCAGTTTGTATAGCTTAATAATCAGTCGGTAAAGTGATTAGAAAAGCTATCTATTTTCAAAGAAAAGCTATCTATTTTGGTGGAATTTATTCTCTTTTTCATGTATCTTCTCTTGATTGGGCTTGAAAAAATGCTTGCTAGACTCTTGCCCGTGAGTGCATTTTGTTCATCCCAGTGATAAGTATGTGAACCATAAGGAGGTATTCTAGAAAAGTGGGGCTGCTTTGTAACCCTTCATTCATTTCATGCTTCCTGGAAAACTCACACCACATGGGTGGCACTCTGACTCAAATGTGAAAGACCCTAGCAGTCCACATTAGAAGTCTTTAACCACAGAAGAAGCCCTGAGCTAGAATGTGCATCCTTAGGAGGATATTAAGAATATTTACAGTTGGGAAACTAGGGAGGAGGTAAATGAAACTTTAGGGATAATTCTACTTTAAAAAGTAGGAACGCAGAGATTATTTTTATAAACCCATGCAAATCAGAAAACTGAATTAATATTAAGAATTTAAAACTTCCTTTTTTTTTTCTTTGAGCTGGAATTTTGCTCTTGTTGCCCATACTGGAGTGCAATGGCCCAATCTCGGCTCACCATAACCTCCGCCTCCGAGGTTCAAGCGATTGTCCTGCCTCAGCCTCCTGAGTAGCTGGGATTACACACATGCATCACTACACCTGGCTAATTTTTTTGTAGTTTTAGTAGAGATGGCATTTCTCCATGTTGGTCAGCCTGGTCTGGAACTCCCGACCACGGGTAATCTGCCCACCTTGGCCTCCCAAAGTGCTAGCGTTACAGGCATGAGCCACTGCTCCCAGCCAGCATTTAAAACTTCTATGAGAAGCATCTAATCTCCAGAGAAAAATTTATACTCATCTATTAGCAGAGTAGTCTTTAATCAAAGCATTGAAATGTATCAAGTATCAATATAACCACAGTTTTAATAAAAGAAAATGTAAGCATCATTTAACTAGTTAATCTTCAACTAATCTAAGCAATTATTTTTTGCTTTAGTTTTCATAGCGGGTTTTTAAAAATGTCAGAAACACTGTGTTTTGGCTAGAATTGTAAATTCCCTTCTGAACTTCTGAAGTGCTAGACTAAGAATGGAGTTTATAAACTTTTTAAAAGTAGTACTTAAAACAAAAAAGTATATAATACAGTGTTTTTAAATTTTAAAATTGATAAGTAAATTGGTTTTCTTGATTAGTTATGCATTTTTCTCAATTTTATAATTAGAAAGATCTAATACTTTACTGCATTTAGTTAAATACATAGTCTCATACTGGTTTTTTGCCAGAGTAGTATTTTATTTATTTATTTATTTATTTTGAGACAGAGTCTCAGTCTGTCATCCAGGCTAGTGTGCAGTGGTGCAATCTTGGCTCACTGCAACCTCCTTTCACCTCCTGAGTTCAAGCAGTTTTCCCACCTCAGCCTCCTGAGTAGCTGGGACTCAGGTGAACACCACCACATTCAGCTAGTTTTTGTATTTTTTGATAGAGACAGGGTTTCACTGTGTTGGCCAGGCTCTTCTCAAACTCCTGACCTCAAGTGATCCACCTGCCTTGGTCTCCCAAAGTGCTGGGATTACAGGCGTGAGCCACTGTGCCTGGCCAGAATAGCATTTTCATATCACATTTAAAATGCACTAAGCTGGCCGGGTGCTGTGGCTCATGGCTGTAATTCCAGCACTTTGGGAGACTGAGGTGGTCAGATTACGAGGTTAGGAGTTCCAGACCAGCCTAGCCAACATAGTGAAACCCATCTCTACTAAAAATACAAAAATTAGCCGGGCATGGTGGCACGCACCTCTAGTCCCAGCTATTCAGGAGGCTGAGGCAGGAGAATCATTTGAATCTGGGAAGCGGAGGTTGTGGTAAGCCAAGATTGTGCCATTGCACTCCAGCCTGGGCAACAGAGTGAGACTCCTTCTTAAAAAAAATGCACCATGCTAAAGATGAATTATGGTTTGGATTTTTCTAGATCCTTAAGTTGTAATTATGTGCACATTTTCTTCCTTTATTATAAAAATTTTCAGAGAATATGATAGAACTAATGAAAATACTTCAGTGAATAGAGACAAACCTGAATACTAACATTAAATAAACTTCTAGTACTAAATTCTTTGTTTTCACCTGCTTTAGTAAGGAAGCAATAAAATTAAAAATGTTTATTGTAATAAATGGTTTCTAATGAGCAATTTATTCACTAGATGTTTTTCACTATTAGGGAAAGCTCTGTTTTTTCTGTTAGACCCTTGATATACACATTTTATTTTTACAAAATTTCCCACACATTCAGTTTTTTATTAAATATAATGTTATTTGAGAATTTTCCAGGGTTAGGAGAAATCACATGTTTTTCCACACTCCCCCACTCCAAGCTATTTTACTATCTTTTCCTTATTTTTAAAAAGGCCTTTCATTTCCTGGAGGAAGAATTTATGTATGATGGTATATATTTTTACTTTTTCCTGTGTGTAAGATATTGAGACACAGAAAATAGAAAACAAAGGTAAAAGCATAAAGATTACAAGATTTAATTATTTCAGGGTAACATTTAGGCTTTTGAACTTAGTATTAAGTAGTATCATAGGTAAGTACTAATCAAGTCAGAACTAATAACTATCTTTTCTCCTTTCTTCAAACTTGCTGAAGGGGAAAAGGATGTCCTATGCTACTTTAATTGCTATATATAATTGAAAAATCCTGATAATAACTGTCCATTTTCACTTAGCGTGGACATATATCAGGAAGCTACATGACATCAAAGAAGGGTCAACATAACAAAAAATTTAAAAGTAAAGAATATGATGAGTACAGTACTACCTACAGCGATGACAACTTCGGTAACTACAGTGATGACAACTTTGGTAACTACTGTCAGGAAACAGAGGAAGATTTTGCCAATCAGCTGAAACAATACAGACAAGCTAAAGAAGCCTCAAATACTGCTTTAGGGTCATCATTTTCTAAAGAATCAGGGAAAAAACAGAGAATGAAAGGAGTTCAGCAAGGTAAGTTTGAAATTACAGTCTGTCTTAGAATATGCGAACCTTATTAAAACAGGAAGCTATGGAGTAAAAACTTGGAAACTTCTTATCCCCTCTCAAAATTAGCTTATTCTCGTAGAACCTAAATTCATTTTCTTTTATTTTGTAGACCTTGAGAACAAAATCTACAAATACTTCAATGTTTATGATATATGAATATTTTAGTTGGAAAAACATTCTAATAATTTAAAAATACATAAAAATTTAATACAACTTGCTTATGTTTTTCCCCTTGCTTCTATGTGATATCAGTATACAGTTGTCTTGGCCACTGTATGTATTGCTTTAAATTTAGAGCAGTAAGAAGAGAATTCTGGGAAGTTATTATTTTATTAGGCTTTAAAATATAGCAGTCATTTTTGCTAAGCACATGTGCATGGACTATTAACATCCTTTAAAATTGGAGATAAAAACATAATCTAAAGACATTTTTACACTGATCACCTGTTTATCTGCAGTATTGAATTACATGGTCCCTGGAGAGACCAGGACAAGTTGCTAGCTGTTGACAATAAGTGAAGAAACTATGTATGGGTCATGTAAGGCTCAAATCAGCCTTAACTATTGGCTAGTCAGTATGTCTGCTTCAGGAAAAGTGGAGCAATACGAGACTGAAATGAAGTAGTGAGGAGCCACACTCTATATAACTACCCTTTTATTATCGTTGCGTACAGAAATCAGTTATGAGTAAATTTGGTTATTTCTATGACTTTATTTTTTTCTTGATTTTCTAGCAAAATATCTTTGAAAAATATTAACATAGGCTTTAACTGAAACAAAGGGAAAAGACTTTTTCTACATGTATGTTGTTGTACTGAGCAAGTTTGCTCCTATAGTCTAGACATTGTGGTATCAGGGATCACCCCACTTGGAGAATAAGGGTAATTGTAGAGAAGTCTTGCTCATCCCTTCCCACCTGGGGCTTTTCTTTTCAAGCTGCTACTTGTTTGTCCTCTTAAAGAACTAAGTATTGGCCAGGCCAAGTTGCCCACATCTGAAGTCCCAGCTACTCAGGAAGCTGAGGAGGGAGGATTGCTTCAGCCCAGCCCGGAGTTTGAGGTTACAGCGAGCTATGATCTCATCACACTGTACTCCAGCCTGGGTGATAGAGTGAGATCCTGTCTCTAAAAAGAAAAACATGATTTTTGTAATATGGGTATCTTTTTACATACTTTTAAATGCCAAGTTTTTCAAAACAAAAAAAAGTATAATTTTTCCCGGAGATATATGTGTGTATATCTACTCAAAATTATCAGTGGAAATTTGATTCACTGTTAATTAACCACTGATATCTACAATGTCTTCCTTAAGTAGGAATATAATATTTGATTCTCTTAAAAACAAAAAGGCTTTTTAATGATCTTATGATAAGGGAAATTAAAAAGAATAAAACCTGATTTTGTTTCTCTAGCCAGGGGGATCCTGGTTCCTTGCCTTCCTGTGTTGTTAACGTCCCTTAAGAAATAGTACCAAGGAGATGTATTAAGATTTAATTTGTTTTCATTGAATCTAGAAGAAAAAAAAGAATGCACTGTATGTTATAGACTATTAAAATATGCTGTTCCTTATAAAATAATAAATTGACAGGTATGCTGTTTTTCTTTTAAATTTAAGTATGTTTTAACTTTTCTAGGTATTGAACAGCGGGCTAAAAGTTTTAATGTTGGTCGTGGACGTGGCTTGCCGAAGAAAATCAAACGAAAAGACCGTGGGGGAAGAACCAATAAAGGGCCTAATGTTTATTCAGTATCGGATGACTTTCAAGAGGTACTCAGAATTTAGATATAAGGAAGGAGAAGCTTTTTCATCTTTTAATTTATTTGGTGGCAAAAAAAAGCGTTGTGATTTTAATGATACATTCCTAGCAAATGAAAAATTACCAGCTCAGTTAAAATGAGGCATCTATAACCTCCAAAAAATAGTTGTTTATTAGTTGTGATACTAGTATAGAAGTACAGATTTAGGTGACTTTGAAATAAAATTGATGTGTTTGAAAGAACCTCAAAATAAAGTTGATAAGTTTGAAAGCAAAAATATATCCTCTATTAGTCTTCTTTTGTGCTTTTCTAAGTGTCATCTTCCCCAGATATAATTGGCAATAAATGTTAATAGCTCAGTAAGTAGTGGGGACAAAAAGGGAGGCAGTCGTAAATTAACTTTCTTCTTAGAGTTGAAAGCATTAAAGAGAAGTAAGGGGGATATGAATGGTTGGAAAGGCAAACTTATGTATGTTACATGTGGTAGATGTTCAGTAAATTTATGTTAAATTGAGTTGAACGCTGAACATGAACATTTTAATCTTGTAGTGACTCCCTAAATTACAGTGGTCCAATTCCTGTATTCTGCTGTTCCAGTAAGATTTGATTGAATTTTAGAGGCTAGGGTTTGTCATTAAATGCTGTAGCTTTGGTCAGGTGCAGTGGCTCATGCCTGTAATCCCTGCAGTTTGGGAGGCCGAGTCAGGCAGATCAGTTGAGGTCAAGAGTTGAAGACCAGCATGGCCAAGATGGAGAAACCGCATCTCTACAAAAATACAAAAATAGGCATGGTGGTGCACGTCTGTAGTCCCAGCTACTTGGGAGGCTGAGGCAGAAGAATCGCTCGAACCCAGGAGGCGGAGGTTGCAGTGAGCCGAAATACGGCTCCACTACACTCCAGCCTGGGTGACAGAGTGAGATTCCATCTCAAAAAATAATAATAAAAATAAAGCTGCAACTTTGAATGAGAGCTAAGTATATAGCTAAGCTGTATACTATAATTTGAAAATATGTGGTTTTCTGGTCTCTCAGTTTAAAGAAAATGGGCAGAGATTTCTTAATATGCACTCTTTAGTATACTGTTTAAGGAGATGTTAACAGGCGTGACCTTAAAAAAGAAGTTAGGCCCAAATAAATTTGCAAAACCCAGCATATGCCATCTGCTTTTGGAGATTCTCAGTTGATGTTAATGTAGTAAAGTTTCTAAGCAGCTTAGGCAAAAAGAAGCCTATTTTACTTTGTTCATCCCATCATTGACTCAACCACAAACTATTTTTTCCCTACACACCTACTGACATTCACTGAGCCACTCACTGTTCCATGGAACAACAGCTTTGGAATTATTATAGTTATTATTTTAGAATTTTGGGGTGACTAAAAACCTGCCCTGTCATCTTCTTAGATGTAGACCTTTAGAATATGCTGATTTTCCTAACCCAAACTAATACAAATGCTTTCTAAGTAGGCCTGCTCCTATACCCAGTTCTTATGCCCTATACCTTTAAAAAATTAGCTTCCAGGAAAGTGTGACTTAGCAAGTTATACCTGTCTCTGGGCTCAGTTTGCTTAATCTGCAAAATGAGGGCATAGTCTTAAGGGTCCCTTCATATACAACATTTTAGATGTCTGTAGACCTGGGCTGTACCTAAAAGGTAATCGTGTAACAGAAAAATCAAGATTAAAAATACATTATTAATCATGTCAGTTTATTGGCTATCATGAGAGACATTTCTTACTATTCCAGAAGCAACTAGGAGTGCACCAGAGCCCAAGGAAGCAGTTCATGTTCAGGAATGGTCTGTAGGTGGCCCACCCAGAATAGTGTGAACATGCAGGCCAGAGTGGCCAACATGTATCCATCTCCATCCTAGGCCTTTCAGAGACTATGAGAGTCTCCAAAGCCAAATCAGTTCAGGAGTACCTTCAGATTCATTATAATTTTTTTTGAAAAATCAAAAGTTCTCACAGAAGGAAGCAAACTTTCACTGAATTTCAAAGGCTTCTTCATTTTATTGGCCATAATACTCTTAAATTGTTTTTAGTGTTTACCTATTATAGTTTTTGTAATAAATATTCTTTTCCTGGTAGATCCTTACATTTCCTCTACCTGATACATATATTAATATATTATGCTCTTGTATCAATATATCTTCTAAAGTAAATTTTAAAACGAACAAGTATAGTAGGTAACCTGGTTTTTTTTCTTCCTCCATCCTTGTAATGCAAAGAATATGGAGTTGCAAGGCACAGTTCCTAAGTTCTGTCAGTCTGATAACTCACCATGTGACCTTTGGCAAGGCATTATCTTCTCTAATTCATTTTCATGTTTGTCCAATGAGGGTGATGAACAACATTACTTCTGTGGTTCTTCCAGCTCTTATATTACTAGAGATTTTATGGGTAGAAAACATTTGTGAGTCTTCTTTAGGCTCAAACTTAAAAGATTTGTCTTCTAGGCACTTAATTTTGCCCTAAAAATTTATTTGTTAAAGTTGCTTTAGCTTTTCTATAGTACCTTGATTATAGTCAGGTTTCCCATAGCTGTGGACACTGTGATACTTTGTACTCATTTAAATGGAACTAAACTAAAAAACAAAACACCTCTCCCCCTACAATCCTCTATTAAATACTTCCCCCCCCCACAATCCTCTATTAAAACGGTGAAACATTATTTGAAAGTAATGTATACAGAAATAGTAAGTTATTAATTAAATGTAAGTACAACTTGCATTTTTCAGGGTGTGTGTGTGTGTGTGTGTGTGTGTGATTACCTGACTCTTTTACTTATTAATTTCCGAATTATATTCCTCAGGTTGGCTCACTGATTTTGCATAATGTACTCTCTTTGGCTGTTTATTTTATTTTGTAACAGCCACGATTCCTTGTACAGAATGCCTTTGTGAGCTGGTCATTATATCTGCTTATTCTAAACAAACCTGTAAACATAAAAAAAGTTTGTGAATCAAATTTATATAGATTTGAGACACTTTAAATAATTCTATCAGAGTGTATTATAACTAATTTCATTTTGTTTTCCTGGGGTAAATTAGGTATATTATATTTTTTAAATGAACCTGTAGGATTATCTGTTTACTTGGTATTCTTGTACCTTTTTTCAGAATTCTTACAGTAAAATGTGGTTTTTGCTGTGAGTGCTGAGGATCAGATTTCAATGTAGACATCTATTGCCTCAATATTTGCTGTGAGGCAAGTTCTGGTTTTCATTGAACTTTATGCTCATCTTTTAGCAAATTAAGAGAAAAGGGAAAACAGAAATCCAATCAGAAGAGTAAATAGTCATTGAACTCCCATGTTGTATAGGGCACAATGCATGCCAGGTGCTTGAAAAATAATGTTGATTTTTTTTTAGAGCTGATGAATGTAACTCATTTCATTTAGCATGGCTAAGCCTCATACTCTGTCTTGTTACTCAATCTTATACTTAAAGCAGAAGTCGAATAGGGGACTCAGAAGAAGTAAGGAAAACAAGTAGGGCTATGAGATTTCTTTTCCTTAAATTTTCTTAATTTTTTTCTTAACTTTTATAATACATGCTCCCTGTTTATTTGCCCTTTTTTTCCCTCTAAAGAAAGTACAAAATAACCATACATACATAAATCTCTAATCCTGCCACACAGAGACATATACTGTAAAATATGGGGGTATATTCTTTTGGTCTTTTTTTTCTTGCCTCTATTATTGCAGGATTGGGATCAATTTTTTACTTCATAAAATATTGTAAACATTTTCTTTTAGACAGTCTCACTCTGTCGCCCAGGCCAGAGTGCAGTGGTGTGATCTCAGCTCACTGTAGCCTCAGTCTCCTGAGTTGCCAGGATTACAGAGGCATGTGCCACCACGCCCAGCTAATTTTTTGTATTTTTAGTGGAGACAGGGTTTCACTATGTTGGCCAGGCTGGTCCCATACTCCGGGCTTCAAGTGATCCCAAAGTGTTGGGATTACAGGCGTGAGTCACCGTGCCTGACTTGTAAACATTTTTTATGATTCAAAGTTGTTGATTTTTTAATGACTGCATAATATTCTACCACCAAAATGTATTTGACGAGTCTTTTAGTTTTAGATGTGTATAGAGTGTTTCTAGTTTTGCTGTTTGTTTTACTGTGTCAGTATTTCTGCAGTAATTGATCGTATGAATAAATCTTGGTGTGTCTCCCTGATAATTCTTTCAAAATAATCCGGAAAAGTACAAAATTGTGTGTCAAACAATATGAATATTTTCAAGTCTTTTATAACATGCCTATCAATAATATGAGGGCATATTTTATTGTACCTTTGCCCAAATTGAGAATTATTGTGAATTTTCAACCTTTTTTATCATTTTATTTTAAAATAATTATGTATCTTCATTAAAATAGAAAGAAATAGGCTTTTGTGCAACCACAAGTAGTGTAAGTAGATTACCAGATGCATATCTCTCTCCAAATAAATGAATAGCATCAGAATGTTTCATCTTGATCACTTTTTATAGTCAATATGTACTTTTTTCCAGATCAACTTAATTATACATTTTAACACCTATTAATATTTCATATGTTGCATTCAAATGAAATTTTTTTCTTGCAGTATAGTAAACCAGGGAAAAAATGGAAGGTTATGACTCAGGAATTTATTAATCAGCACACAGTGGAACACAAAGGAAAACAAATCTGTAAATACTTCCTGGAAGGGAGATGTATTAAGGTAAATTTATAGGGGTATCATAAATCATATTAACTTCCAAAATAATCTGTAAAATTAAAGTCTTTTGGGGGATGGTTAGTTTTTTTCTCCTCTCAATGTGGTTGTAATAAAACTGGGTCTTTAAAATGTATCTTGTATGGAAATACTGTACATTAATGCTCATTTAATTATATTCTGGGCCAGTAACATAATTTGTTGAAATCAGATTTTATTTAAAAGACACATAATGCTATGTGGCAAGTACAGTTCAAAGTACAACTCATATTAAATGATTTAATCTTACAGTGACCTGCAAAGTAGTTAATCTTATTAACTACTTTTTTTCATGGCACTAAGAGGTTAAATGAGTACCCATGGTAGCTCAACTGGAAATGGTGAGTGCTGGTTAAATTCAGACAGTATCCTCTGAGGTCTTGCTCACTGTGCTGCCTCAGTGCACATAGCTACATCCACTGTCTTGGGCAGGAGTTCTAAGGGGTCATTTGAGTTATTATTTGCTCATTATAAAGACTGAAGAGAATGATCATAATTTTACCATGAGACACCATGGAGAAAATTCAGTGGTTTCTTTGTTTCTTATCTTTTTTCTTTCTCTTTTTTTTTCTTTCTGTGAATAGGGAGATCAGTGTAAATTTGATCATGATGCAGAGTTGGAGAAAAGAAAAGAGATCTGCAAATTTTATTTACAAGGATATTGTACCAAAGGAGAGAACTGCATTTATATGCATAATATCCTTTATTTAAAATCTATGTTAAACAAAATGCTGGGATTTTAAAGCATCATTGAGGTTTTAAAAAATAATAAATACACCTTAGAAAGCCTAGTTTGATTTTAAATTTAACACATTACGTAAACCCAGTCTAGTCAGAATTTGTACTTCAAAAGAGCAAACTGACTTTTATTCTTTAGGGAAATGAGATAACTGTCCTTTGGAAAAAATTCTGTGAAGTGAAGGTACTTCGTATTTCGTATAATCAGCTTAAAGTATTTCAGGGGACTGTGCTTCTTGAAGGAGTAGTTGGCAAAATACTTATTCCATAATTATTTTACTTAAGTTCATGAGTAATAGATTATCATTGTGAAAATTATCAAAGTCTTATCAAATCTTCCACTCAATGATAAATGCTATATATTCTTCCCCACTCTCCCTTGGGAAATATATACATTTAAATAGTGTTCCTGCTCCTACCCAAATTGGAATTTCACTATATATAATGTTCCTGTCCTTTTTTTTTTTAATGTATTCTGCAATTTTCCATGTTAATTTCCCCTCAAATGTCTCAGGTTCCTCACTACCACTTATGACTAATGAATTTTTCCACATAGAATTGAAACTCTCTCAGAGACAAAATGTTTATATATATGGATTTTTTTCTGGACTTGATGTTTGGCTCCATGGATTTGTTCACCCTCATGTTGGTGTTGCTTTGCTGTGAATATTTCTGCCACAACAGCACACTGTGATGTTTGGTAGATTTTCACGTTTATTTCTCCAGATAGATTTTTAAATTCTGATGGCATGTTCAAAAAATGTGAAAAAAAGAAAGTGAATAAAATGAAAAATGCCTGTTATCGTAGATCTAAATGTCAGAAAACTAAACTGTGCAATTACCAGAGGAATATACGATGAATTCCTTTATAACTCAGGAGAACAGAAAAATTTCCTGTGTCTCAAAATCCAGAGGCAAAAAGGGAATAGACTGAAATTTTGACTCCATGAAAAAGCTTACAGTTGCAGAACAAATACATATGAGCTAAACAAAAAGATAATAAAGTGGGAAAGTGTAATTTATATCACTTAGGAAGAGGTAATACCCTTAATATATTAGTTGCTAAACTTTGAGAAGAAAAATGAGGCAAGAGATACAGATAATTACAGAAAGGGAAATGTAGACAGTCCCAAAACATATAGAAAGATGTTCAACGTTCCTAATAAGTGGAATGTAATTTAAGTTACACTGAGATAACATTTGCAGCTGTGTTAGGTTTGCAAAAATAAAAAAACCATGACAGCAAAGTTTGTAGTAAGGATGTGAGAAAATAGATACATTCATTCATACCTTGTTGCTGGCAGTGTCAAAATGGTGCATTCCTATGGAGAGGAGCTTGGCAATGTCTGGCAAAATTACACATGCATATACCCTTTAACCCGGCAATCCCACGTTTTGCAAATTCTTACCAGTAGACCTGGGCAGTGATTACTGATGGCTGCTAAAATGATGAAGTGAAAAGTTAATTAGTAATTTTACAATTGATGGATGAAACTGACAACACCTGAAAGAACTGATCAGTCTTAACATCACTAAAAAGAAACAACCAGCCGGGCGCGGTGGCTCACGCCTGTAATCCCAGAACTTTGGGAGTCCGAGGCGGGTGGATCACAAGGTCAAGAGATGGAGACCATCCTGGTCAACATGGTGAAACCCCGTCTCTACTAAAAATACAAAAAATTAGCTGGGCATGGTGGCGCGTGCCTGTAATCCCAGCTACTCAGGAGGCTGAGGCAGGAGAATTGCCTGAACCCAGGAGGCGGAGGTTGCGGTGAGCCGAGATCGCGCCATTGCACTCCAGCCTGGGTAACAAAAGTGAAACTCCGTCTCAAAAAAAAAAAAAGAAAGAAAGAAACAACCAGATATTAAATGCCTTTTGTCATGACACAGTAGAGAGTATTCAAATACCATCTATGACAAATATTAAAATTAACAAATAATACAAAAATAAAAGGGAAAGGGGAACTTCTCGAGATCAATAAAAGTAACTTGAGAGATATATTAACTAGTTTCAATTTGTGGATCATCTTTGTGTCCTGATCTGAATAAAGGAATTATAAAAACGTTTTTTAAAAGTCTGGAAATTTTATATATCGACTGGGTACTAGTTGAAATTAACACATTAATTTTGTCAGGTTGGTAATGAAGTGGTGATTGGTAAGAAAAAGTATTCCTGGCCAGACATGGTAGCTCATGCTTGTAATCCTAACACTGGGACGCCGAAGTGGGAGGATTGCTTGAGGCCAGGAATTCGAGACCAGACTGGGTAATATAGTGAGACACCCCTCCCAACCCCCATCTCTATAAAAACTAATTTTAAGAGGAAAGGATCCGGCCACAGTGGCTCATGCCTGTAATCCCAGCACTTTAGGAGGCCAAGGCGGGTGGATCACCTGAGGTCAGGCGTTTGAGACCAGCCTGGCCAACATGGTGAAACCCCATCTCTACTAAAAATACAAAAATAAACTGGGTGTGGTGGTGTGTGCCTGTAATCCCAGCTACTTGGGAGGCAGAGGCAGGAGAATCACTTGAACCTGGGAGATGGAGGTTGCAGTGAGCTAAGATGGTGCCACTCCACTCCAGCCTCGGTGACAGAGCAAGACTCCATCTCAAAAACAAAACAAAAAAGGAAAGAAACAGTATCCCTTATCTGTTCAAAATAGGTATGGAAATATTTACAGCAAGTGATGAAAGTTGTTGAACCTATGAGGTCAGCATGAGAGGGAGTTCATTTTATTATTCTCTCTACTTTGGTGTGGTGAATAACCTTCAAACAAACTTGAAAAACAATTCTAAATAATGTCATCCTATAGAGATAACCATGTTTACAGTATGGCATAAAGCCTTTCAGACTCTGACTTTCTATGCTATGGTATGTATATATGAATGGATATGTATATGTTTATACACAATTTTTTATATAAATGAAATTATAATGATTGTGAATATTGTACTTTAACATTTACATTAATTCATATGGACTGTATTTTAATATACTGTGTGTTATAGGGACTTAATTTTTTTCCCATATGATTAACTTATTGTCTTATCTTTACTGATTTAAAATAGCGTTTTTAACCAGACCCTAACTTCTCATTTTTACACAGCTCTGCTTCCATACTACTCTTATCTATTGTGGTATTTTATTATTCCCCTCTGTAAGAATATGTTTGATATTTGGTAAGGCAAATACGCCTTCCTTCTTTATAAAAAATGTAATATTCTCAGGTGAGAAGTGATTTGGAAAATAAAAATAAAAACAAATAAGATGTTGTAATAAATTTGTCCTATTCAAGAAAAATAAATTTTTTTTGATTTGACATATTTCATTAGAAAACAAATATTTTATTGAATTCTGTGTCCAAAAGCTTTCAATCTGTTCTTAGGAGTTTTTGTTACATAGTCATACTGTTTGCAAATAATAATTGTACTTCGTTTACAATATTTGTACCTTTAATTTTAATTGTATTGGCTACATTTCCAGAAATATTAAATAGTGGTGATTGTGGCAGACATAAACATGTTTTAATGATAATGCCTTTTTGTTTTAGCTTGTGGCTGCAGTTTTAAAGTAGATTTTTAAAAATCAATTAAAGTATACTTTTATTTAACTAAGAGGATTTTTTAAATCTAAAAAGGATTTTGAATTTTATCATTTTCCTTTTGCATCTGCCAAAATGATCATATGATTTTTTTTTTTACTTTATCAGTGTTTACAATAATAAATTTCCTAAACATATCCGGCTGTTCCCTGAACACAAACCACCTGAGAGTGGTATATTTTTCACTGTACTTCTAGATTTAGTATTTTCTTTACAAGTTTTTCTTCACAATCTTAAGATAGTCTGTAGTTTATTATTGGGATATTTGCCTTTAACATAACGTATTAAGCCTCTTAATTTTCTTTATAAATATAAGCTCTTGCTACAAAATTTACATACTATTTTATTTCATTGTGGAAAGTAACAGAGCTTATATAAATAAAATATAATAGTGTTTGCTATAATAGTTATAAATGTTGTGTTTTTTTATCCATTAAAAAGTGGCTTTCAAGGCCGGGTAACGTGGCTCATGCCTGAATCCCAGCACCTTGAGAGGCCAAGGTGGGAGGATCATATGAAGTCAGGAGTTTAAGATCAGCCTGACCAACAAAATGAAACCCCATCTCTATTAAAAATACAAAAAAATTAGGCATGGTGCCCCCCGCCTACAATCCCAGCTACTTGGGAGGCTGAGGAAAATCACGTGAACTCAGGACGCAGAGGTTGCAATGAGCTCAGATTGTGCCATTGCAATCCAGCCTAGGTGACAGAGCTAGACTCTGTCTCAAAAAAAAAAAAAGTGGCTTTTTAGTTTCAATAGAGAAAAAAGCTGTTTGAATTTTTTTTAATAATTAACCTTAATAGAATAAAAAATAAGCTGATGTGATTATAGTAAATTCAGTATAATGTATTATAATAGAGCCTTATTAATTCAGCAGAATTATGGTTGTATGTGTTTGTGTGTGTGTTTGTGTGTGTGTGTGTATTAAGAACACTTAACACGAGTTCCTCTACCTTAACAAAAATTTAAGTATACAATACAGTATTGTTGACTAGAGGTACAGTGTTATATAGCAGATCTCTAGAACTTAACCATTTTGTCTAACAGTTGTGGGTTTTGGTTTAAAAAATATTAGAACTTGGTTTTACTTGGTGTTTTCCTTAATATTTTCATTTACATGAATTTCCATGCAAGTTCTATCATAGTGGAGCAAAATGTTACCAGGGAGACAACTGTAAATTTTCCCATGATGATCTGACTAAAGAAACAAAGAAACTTTTGGACAAAGTGAGTAGTATTTTTGTACCTTGATTAGGTCTCTCCACAAATACATTTGACTTGAATCATATTTTATAAATCACATTTTATGAAACTGCTGAGAGATTGAAGGTTTATTCTATTGGAGCAATATTCTTTACCTTTTTGAACTTCATTCTGTTTATAAAAATGAGGAGTTAGCTATCTTCAAACTATTTCAACTATTTTTTTTTCTTTCTCTTTTTCTGTCTTTCTTGCTTGCTTTTTCTTCTTTTTCTTTCTTTCACTCTTCTTTTTTTTTCTATTATTTTTTTTTTTTTTTTTTTTTGCAGGGTCTCGCTATGTTTCGCAGGCTAAGTGTAGTGGCGCAATCTTGGCTCAGCTTACTGCATGCCCTGCTCCATGCCACCACCACCACCTCCCCTCGCTCCCCCGCCCCCCACCCTGTGGGTCCCACCCTGCCTCCGGGGCCATCCTCCCACCTCAATCTCCTGAGGCAGGCATTACCATGCCTAGTTAATTTTTGCATTTTTGGTAGAGACAGAGGTTTCTCCATGTTGCTCAGGCTGGTCTCTTGAACTCAAGCGGTCCACCTGCCTCAGCCTTCCAAAGTGTCGCGATTATAGGCGTGAGCCACTGTGACCAGCCCATTGCAATGTAATTTTTTCTACTAACAAAACTTAAGTCTTCCTAGTTTTAAATGTGAGGAAAAGAGCTCGCTTTGAAATAGTAATCTTTGCCAATTATTTTTAGGTGTTGAATACTGATGAAGAACTCATAAATGAAGATGAAAGAGAATTAGAGGAACTTAGAAAGCGTGGCATAACTCCTCTTCCCAAACCACCTCCAGGGGTTGGGCTTCTGCCAACCCCTCCAGAGCATTTTCCCTTTTCTGATCCTGAAGACGATTTTCAGACAGATTTCTCTGATGATTTTAGGAAAATTCCATCTCTTTTTGAAATAGTTGTAAAACCTACTGTGGATTTAGCACATAAAATTGGGAGGAAGTAAGTGAAAACTTTCAAAATGACATCAAAATTTTTTTTCCTGAAAACTGTCATTAAGAAATTAAGATATATTACAAGCTAATCATGTAATTAAACTTGGGTAGAGATAGCACATATCTGGCATGCACTGCAGATGGCTGCTTCCCCCTTTGTTTTCCATTCCCACCCTCTGCTACTTGCCGTCAGTGCTTTCCCATATGGAAGCCTTATACGGTTTCTGAAACCTCTCAGTGTAACGTAGTAATCCTGAAGGACCCTGCCTGGTGGGTGCATTTGGCATTCTCGATTATGAGGCTGCACTGTCATTGATAATGCCTTCAGATTGTGGGAAATAGGCCTCCACATACTTGGTTCTTTGTGAAGAGCAATTCCTTCAGCTATTCGAGGAAGACCTCTGGATCCAGATTTTCATTTTCTAACACAACCATTCCAACCCAGCTGCCTGTCCCCTAGGGTCTGTGCATCTGGGCTCTAAGTCACATTGTTTAGCCTTGACAACTCAGGAAAGCAAAGAAGTCTCAGCCAATGAGGAGCAAGAAATTTATAGCAAATACCACAATTCATTTGAACCATTAAAAGTATTTCTACTAATATCAAGAAGATAAATATGTTCACTATTTTGCTAATATTACATATTGTATCCTGGTCAATGAAATAAGAGAAAGAGAAAAGTTATAAAGATTAGAAGTGGAGTGGCAGCCTCATTATTTGGGAAGTTTCCCTCAACCCAAAGGAATCAACAGGCAAAACTATTAATTATTATTTCCAATAATTTAATTATTGGAAATAATAATTAAATTAGCAAGATGTCAAGAAAGAAGAGCAACATTCAAAAACTGAAGGTCTTTTTATATGCCAACAATAACCAATTATAAATTGTCATAAAAAGATCTATGTTTATGTAGTAGATTCTAATTTTATTGTAAAAGGTTATATATATATATGCCTTAAAAAAAGGACTAGTAGAAGAGAACCAATCAAAAATTTTATCTCTGGGTAGTGGGATTAGGGGTGATTCTTACTTATCTTTGTACTTTTCTGTATTTTTCAAAAAAGTAAGTTTTAGAACAGCTAACAGTAAGCAGGTGGGCTAAAAGGACAGTAAGAGGGCTATTTTGTGTTTCTACCTATAGACGATATGGAACAAATTGCTTCGTAAGCACACAGTATTCTATTCTGATATAAAAAAATGCTTAAACAGTATCTGTTTAGAAGTGTTAACATTCTGGTCTCTTTTTCTTTGAACTAAGAAATACTATTTTTGTCTCCAGGCCACCAGCGTTTTATAACAGTGCCTCACCACCAGGACCACAATTTCAGGGAAGCAGCCCACACCCTCAACATATCTATAGTTCTGGGTCAAGTCCAGGTCCTGGACCTAACATGTCTCAGGGACACAGTAGTCCTGTGATGCACCCAGGCTCCCCTGGACATCACCCATGTGCAGGACCTCCTGGTCTGCCAGTGCCACAGAGCCCACCTTTACCACCTGGTCCACCTGAAATTGTAGGTCCTCAAAATCAAGCTGGAGTACTTGTTCAACCAGACACAACTTTGACACCACCAAGCATGGGTGGGGCTTACCACTCGCCAGGCTTTCCAGGACATGTGATGAAAGTACCCAGAGAGAATCACTGTTCTCCAGGTTCATCATACCAGCAAAGTCCTGGTGAGATGCAGCTCAACACCAATTATGAATCCCTGCAAAACCCAGCTGAGTTTTATGATAATTACTATGCACAGCATTCTGTACATAATTTTCAGCCACCCAATAACTCCGGTGGTAAGTTTACTTTTTGAAATAATTTATTCATAATTTAAAATACAGTCCTATTTTTCCTTAAAAGCATGATAGAAATGTATGTTTCAAGTAATGCTAAGTAAAATTGGTAAGATTGAAATCTTAAAATGTTTTCACTTTGCCAAAGTTTTGGAACAATAGAACTTTAGATAACTTTTAGAAATACTTTAAAATGATGTAATTTGATAATCCAGTGTGCCTATTATGAAAGCTTTTATTTCTTATGACACTGGTGGAGTTTTGTGCTCACTCAATGTCTGTCTTTCCCCATGTTATACATGTAGATGGGATATGGCATGGTGAATTTGCCCAGCAGCAGCCTCCTGTTGTTCAAGACTCACCTAATCATGGAAGTGGGTCTGATGGCAGCAGCACCAGGACAGGCCATGGCCCTCTGCCTGTACCAGGCCTCCTCCCTGCAGTACAAAGAGCTCTTTTTGTCAGACTTACTCAGAGATACCAAGAAGATGAAGAACAATCCAGCACCCAACATCATAGGGCACCAAGCAAGGAAGAAGGTGTGTTAGAAGTTATTAATAGCATCTTACCTATTTGGATGGGTTAAAATTTAAAAATGACCGAGGCAGGTGGATCACCTGAGGTCAGGAGTCTGAGACCAGCCTGGCCAACATGGTGAAACCCCATCTCTACTAAAAATACAAAAATTAGCTAGTTGTGCTGGCATATGCCTGTAGTACCAGCTACTCAGGAGGCTGAGGCAGCAGAATTGCCTAAACCTGGGAGGAGGAGGTCACAGTGGACTGAGATTGCACCACTGCACTCCAGCCAGGGCAACAGAGCAAGACTCTGAAAAAAAAAAAATAATAATAATAAATGAGCTCTCTCTTGTATTTCCAGTTTATCTCATAGCCACTGTCTTCTTGTGATTGAATTGTGGCTTCAGTGTCATTAATTGCATTTATAATTAATTGCAAAAGATTTGACTTGAAGTAGTGAAAAGATATGAAGCTAGAGTTTAAGGTTGTGCAGGCTTGCAAGGAATTAAGCCTTTTGCTATTTTTTTTTTTTTTTGAAGAAAAGAAATAGAACAGAAAAAAAGACACCTTTCAGTTTGAGGATTTTAAATTCTAGCCCAATTTCAAAATGATTCAGTTATCAGAGACATCTTTGTGGCATGGGCTATATACTTAAGGATCTGCTATAATATTAAGAAATATTTTTAAATATAAAAAGATTATATGGAAACTGTTTATCTTATTATTTTTGATATTGGTAAGTATACAACAGTTAGTTAATTCAGTAATAGGTGAGAAAAGTTTAAAGCATCCAGTTCTGTTTATGAGTGATGTTTGGTCACTCTTAAACATGACATTTATGAAAAACTATGTAAAACTATATAACACTACAAGCCATTATATGAACATTTAAAAATATATATTTATAATATTTTAATTATTACTTTTTGTGGGTACATATATTTATGGGGTACATGAAATATTTTGATACAGGCATGCAATGCATAATAATCACATCAGGGTAAATAGAGTATCCATCACCTTAAGCATTTGTCCTCTGTGTTACAAACAATCCAGTTATAGCCTTTTAGTTTTTTTTAATGTAGAGTTAAATTATTATTGACTATATGTTGTACTATTAAATGCTAGGTCTTATTCATTCTTTTTAACTTTTCGTACACATTAACCATCCCCACTTCCTCCCTATCTGCCAGCTACTCTTCCCAGTCCCTAGTAACCATCCTTCTACTGTCTATGTCCATGAGTTCAATTGTTTTAATTTTTAGCTGCCCCAAGTAAGTGAGAACATGAGAAGTTTGTCTTTCTGTGCCTGGCTTATTTCACTTAACATAACGACCTCCAGTTCCTTGTTGTTGCAAATGAACAGGATCTCATTCTTTTTATGGCTGAATAGTACTCCGTTGTGTATATGTGCCACATTTTCTTTATCCATTGTCTGTTTTTTTTGTTTTGTTTTATTTTAAGATGGAGTCTTGGCTAGGCACAGTGGTGCATGCCTGTAATCCCAGCACTTTGGGAGGTTGAGGCGTCTGGATCACGAGGTCAGGAGTTCAAGACCAGCCTGGCCAACATGGTAAAACCCAATCTATACCAAAAATACAAAAAAATTAGCTGGGCATGGTGGCATGCACGTGTAATCCCAGCTACATGGGAGGCTTAGGCAGGAGAATTGCTTGAACCAGAACCCAGGAGGCAGAGCTTGCAAAAAAAAAAAGTTTCACCCTGTTGCCCAGGTTGGAGTTCAGTGGCACAGTCTCAACTCACTGCAATCTCCACCTCCCAGGTTCAAGTGATTCTTGTGCCTCAGCCTCCCGAGTAGCTGGGATTACCACCACACCCAGCTAATTTTTTTTTTTTTTTTTTGATATGGAGTCTCACCTTGTCACCAGCCTGGAGTGCAGTGGCTTGATCTTGGCTCACTGCAACCTCTAACTCCCTGGTGCAAATATTTCTCCTGCCTCAGCATCCTGAGTAACTGGGATTACAGGCATGCACCACCATGCCCAGCTAATTTTTGTATTTTTAGCAGAGATGAGGTTTCACCACATTGGCCAGGATGATCACCATCTCCTGACCTTATGATCCACCCGCCTTGGCCTCCCAAAGTGCTGAGAGATGCCTTGCCTATTTTTATATTTTTAGTAGAGATGGGTTTCACTATGTTGCCCAGGCTGGTCTCGAACTCCTGACCTCAGGTGATCTGCCCAACCTCAGCCTCCCAAAGTGCTGGGATTACAGGTGTGAGCCACTGCACCTGACCATTGTCTGTTGGTGGACACTTAGGTTGCTTCCAAATCTTGGCTATGAATAGTGCTGCAGTAAATGGGAGAGTACAGATATCTCTTTGATATACTGATTTTTTTTCTTTTGGGTATATACCTTGCAGTGGGATTGCTGGATCAGATGGTAACTTTATTTTACAGGGTTGTAAATTTTATAGGTGTGTAAATTTTGTTTACAGGCATGACAGGGGTCTAGTTTTACTCTTCTACATATGGATATCCAGTTTTTCCAGCACCATTAATTGAAGAGGTTGTTCTTTCCCCAGTGTATGTTTTTGGCACCTTTGTCGAAAATCAGTTCCCTGTAGATGTATGGGTTTGTTTCTGGGTTCTCTGTTCTGTTCCATTGGTCTATGTGTCCTTTTTTTTTGTTGTTGTTGTTGTTAGTTTGAGGTTTTTTTTGTTTTTTTTCTTGAGACAAGGTCTCACTCTGTTGCATAGGCTGTAGTGCAGTGGTACAATCTCAGTTCACCACTACCTCCATCTCCTGGTTTTGAGCAATTCCGGCCTCTCAAGTCTGTGCCTCCTGAGTAGTTGAGACTACAGGTGCGCACCACCATGCCCAGCTAATTTTTTTGTATTTTTAGTAGAGACAGGGTTTTTCCATGTTGGCCAGGTTGGTCTCAAATGCCTGGCCTCAAGTGATCTGCCTGCGTCAGCCTCCCAAAGTGCTGGATTACAGGTGTGAGCCACTGCGCCCAGCTTATATGTCTGTTTTTGTGCCAGTACAATGCTGTTTTACTTACTATAGTTCATCAAATTATAGTATAATTTGACATCAGGTAATGTGATTCCTTTAGTTTTGTTCTTTTTGCTCAGGATAGATTTGGCTATTCTGAGTCCTTTGTGGTTCCATATAAATTTTAGGATTGTTTTTCTATATCTGTGAAGAACATCGTAGGCATTTTGATTGGAATTGCATTGAATCTGTAGATTGCTTTGGGTAGTATAGACATTTTAACAATATTGATTCTTCCAATCCATGAACATGGACTATCTTTTCAATTTTCGGTGTCCTCTTCAGTTTCTTGCTTCAATGTTTATGAACATTTTTTGTTACATTTTCAAAGAAGGTATTATTAATTTTTCATTTACCTAACATCACAGGAAAATGAAGGATTCTTAGTTTATAATTTAAATTATAAACAATTTAATAATTTTAAGTGATTTTTTTTAACAATAGTTTAATAGTAATGTTCAGTAAAGTCTTATAGTTTCATGTTTTCATAAACAAGGAGATTAAAACTTTTAGATAATATAAAATTTTATACTATAATATATAATTGTAAATGTTCTATGAGAGTTGTTGGCCCTGATGCAGAAATATTTTGAACAACTAGGTTTACTTATTTGTTTTATTTTTATGGATTTGAATGCTTTTATGCATTTATCTCTGCTTTGAGAGAAAGCTGCTAATTGTCATATTTTATCTAATATCTATTTTCCACTGGCCTGTCTCTTCTACTCTCCCTCTATTACTATATTCACTCTCATTTGAGAAATATTTTAAATATATGTTATAAATTATAATATATATAATGCTTATAAAATATATCGATATGGGAATGAAAAGAAAGTAAGGATAGAAGTAACACAAACTATGAGGAGTGAACTACACAGAAATACTTAAAATAAGTGCAGCAGGTAAAAGTGAATCACAAATCCATCTGTAGGTTTCCTTGATGTCAAAGAGATCTAGTGTGTCAGTTTTTTTTGTTTTTTTCTTTGAGACAGAGTCTCGCTCTGTCACCAGGCGCCAGACTGGAGTGCAATGGCACGATCTCGCCTCACTGCAACCTCTGCCTCCCGGGTTCAAGTAATTCTCCTGCCTCAGTCTCCCAGGTAGCTGGGACTACAGGCGCATGCCACCATGCCCAGCTAATTTTTTGTATTTTTAGTAGAGGCAGGTTTTCACCATGTTGGCTAGGATGGTCTTGATCTCTTGACCTCATGATCTGCCCACCTCGGCCTCCCAAAGTGCTGGGATTACAGGCTTGAGCAACCGCGCCCGGCCTCAGAGTTAGGAATCTTAAGGAATACTTGATTTGAAGAGATCTAGCACATTTTAGAATGCTGAGAGCATTTTCCCTTCTCCTATGATCCACCACACATATCTGAGCCAGTTAAAAGGAAAAGGTCCTGCCTTTTCTCTAACTTGAAGGACATTACACAAATTCAAGTATCACCCCACTTCCTTTACAGGGTATAATGACTGAATTGAGTTTTCTTACCACATCTTGTTTTGTTGCACTATTGAAGTCTGTCATTTTTGTTATGCATTTTATTGAAGTTAGACTATACTTATTTCAGAAATAGTATGTGTTTTTTAATATTAATTAAGGCTACATATAAATACATAAAAAATTCTTTATAATAAATTTTTGTCTGCATTTAGATGATACAGTTAACTGGTATTCCAGTAGTGAAGAGGAAGAAGGAAGCAGTGTCAAGTCAATACTGAAAACATTACAGAAACAAACAGAAACTTTAAGGAATCAGCAACAACCTTCCACAGAACTCAGTCCTCCTACTGATCCAAGACTTGCTAAAGAGAAAAGTAAAGGAAACCAAGTGGTTGACCCTAGACTTAGGACTATCCCAAGGCAAGACATCAGAAAGCCTTCTGAGTCTGCCCCACTGGATCTTAGACTTGCGTGGGATCCCAGGAAATTAAGAGGGAATGGAAGTGGTCACGTAGGCTCTTCTGTTGGTGGAGCAAAGTTTGATGTGCATCATGCAAATGCTGGCACTAATGTCAAACACAAAAAAGGTGATGATGATGATGAAGACACAGAGAGAGAACTGAGAGAAAAAGCTTTCTTGATACCTTTGGATGCCTTACCTGGCATAATGCTCCAGGATCCAAGGTCACAATTGAGACAGTTCAGTCACATTAAGATGGACATTATTCTAACCAAACCCAACTTTGCAAAACACATTGTGTGGGCTCCGGAAGACTTACTTCCAGTACCTTTACCTAAACCTGATCCAGTGTCTTCAATCAATTTACCTCTGCCCCCACTTATAGCTGACCAGAGGCTAAATAGGTTATGGAATACAAAAAGTGATCTTCATCAAAATACAGTGTCCATTGATCCAAAATTAGCAGCCAAAGCCAAAATTAATACAACAAACAGAGAAGGCTACCTAGAACAATTTGGAGACTCACACAGTTCAGGAAGTAAATTAGGAGATCCTAGACTACAAAAAAATTTTGATCCTAGGCTTCACAGACTGCCCAATACAGAGTCTCATCAAGTAGTTACGAAGGATTCACATACATCAAAGGGTACCCCTCACTTAGCCAGGTCAAACCCTGGTTCATCACAGCCCTCTGGGGCAGGAACTAGCAATTCTGGTTCCGGGACTCTGCCTCCATATGCCCCTAAACTCTCTTCCTCAGCTGGCCTTCCACTGGGAACTCCAACTTCAGTTCTTAGTGGTATTAGTTTGTATGACCCTAGGGATCATGGTTCATCGTCCACAGCAGAGCTTGCAACAGTTTCTTTAGGAGAAAACTCAAAGAACCAGAAAAAAAGTGGTGGCTTAAAAAGTAGTGACAAAAATGAGCCTTCTCCTGGAGAAGCTATCCTGCCACAGAAAACAGCTCCAAATGTGGAAGTCCCTCTTGCCGGGCCAGCTGACCCACAGGCAGATATTCCCAGGAGTTCTGGTAAGGTTCAGGTCCCGGCAGTACACAGCCTTCCTATTCAGGCATTAACAGGCTTAATTAGGCCCCAGTACAGTGATCCAAGGCAGGCAAGGCAGCCAGGACAGGGGAGCCCAACCCCAGATAGTGATTCCGGTAGAGAAACAGATGACAAATCTCTGAAAGAGGTTTTTAAAACTTTTGATCCAACCGCTTCACCATTTTGTTAGCTATTGTGTAATTAAGCAGTTCTTTTCACTCTTGTGACTATCTCAGTCCTCTGCTGTTTTGTAACTGGTTTACCTCTATAGTTTATTTATTTTTAAATTATAAACACTTTTCAGCTGCTAGTATCAGAACCACATGAAGTTATAGCCTCTAAAGCCTCTGGTATTTTATATAATATTTTTATAACTTTAAGAGACTGTAGTAATTGACCTAAAAACTTATGTTAGCTTCAGTAAAAGTACTTTTATTGTAAATAAACCATCATGAACTCAACACTCTGCTTGAATATACGCCAGTTGTCTTTCATAATCAATGTTTAGATAAATGATTGCCACTTTTTATATGGTTATTTAGTTTCAAGCAATATGATGTACATTACTTTTGAGAAACAGTATTTTGACTAGGACCTCTCTATTTGTCAGCACAGAACTGATTAATATGTACTGCTAACTGCTAATTTAAATGTAAAATCCAGTAAAGAAAACATTTTAAAATCACAATTAGCAGAGCAGTTCGTGTTTAAGGGTATCACTTTTATTAGTATTGGCAATATTATTTGTGTAAATGAAGCATTTGAATGTCATATCTTTTTAAAGTATTTTATTGTATACTGTATCATAGAAGTCGGAGGTATATAAATAGAACATTTTGCTAAAGTGAGAAATTTCCAAGTTCTCTAGCATAACTTTTTAAATTTAATTTTTCATATGAAATAGCAATTAGTTACTGCTGTTACATTGTGATATTTATGTATGTCAATGTTTTTGTCTTTAGCAGCATAGTTTATATTGCTTTTTCAAATGACGTAGCTGCAATAATTGTGTTCATCATGACTTTGGCAGTTTTTAACAAAATTTTTAAAGATCCAGTGAGAGTCTGTAGTGATTATTACATGGATAATGTTTTAAATGTCTAGGTTCTGTATTTTTTCTTAAATAGAAAGAAAGAAAACAGAGATTGCAAGTACAGTCAACAGCATTTGGCTATCAATAAAGAATCTCTTTCAGATCTCACTTGACTGGCATTCTGTAACAGAGGGGATTACCTGGTGTTTTAAGTATTTAATGTCTTCATAGTGTGGAAATCTCCTGAACTGATTAGAAACTGCATTTTATGAAAAATAACTCGTATTCATTCTTGCGTATTTATTGCAATGTATAAATAATAGGAACTCTTTGTTTTTTACATACATAATTTATCACTGAAACTAAGTATTACACTGCTACTGATATTCTGAACTGGAGGTGTACAACAGTGCTGGTAACAATTCCAATACATATTAATAACTTGAAAAGGACCATTTCACTATAAAAAACAGTGAAAGTAAGTAATGAAATCAGTCCTTGAATGAAAACAGCTGCCCTTAAGAAGTGATTTTTTTTTTTTAATTACAGTAAAATATTTCATGAGAACCTAACACTCAGATAGCATATGGTTTATTGATAATGCATATTCTTTCTAATCACTTCTTCAATTCTTTCTGCTTCAGTTCTGTGCTAGAATGGGGTTGTGGTGAAGTGAACAAGAACTCTGCCTACTTAAGAAGTTCATTGTGTTCTAAGTGGAAGGAAAGTTACTGAAGGGAATGTGAATTTTTACTGTTTGTACGATACATTTGTTGTCTGAAATGACTCTGGATAACATTTTTGGTTTAACAATGTAATTTAAAGCCACCATACAAAGTATTTTCTAATTTACTGTCCAAATGAATTTTGTTGTTAATTGAGAAGTCAATAAAGTGGATTAAACTGACAGAAAATATATGTATATATGTGTGTATATATATATGTGTGTGTGTGTGTGTGTGAGTGTGTGTGTGTGTGTGTGTATATATATATATACATATATATATCTCCCAAAGTGTAATTTACTCTTTTGTCAGGATAAAATCAGAAAAATGGCTGATTTTAGTAAATGAAATTTTTAGCAAATCTTTAATTCATGTAGTTTATAGTTATCGTGTCAAGTAATGCTATTTACATTTTAAGCATCATACATTTTAAGCGTAAGAGAATTTGGCTTGTTAAAGATCAAAACAGAATCCAAACTCTTAACAGAATATCTTTTTTACAGCTAAAAAAGATATTCCAAGATTTATTAAAAAGTAAGATTTAAAAGTTACTAATGCAAATTATGTAATGTTCATTTATTCAGTATTCTGAGTTCCTATTATCTCAACTATTGTCCTAGAGGCTATTTTACAAAAAAGTTTGAACTTAGTTTCAAATTTGACAATATATTTTATATGAAAGTGTTTATGCTTAAAATAATGATTTTTATTTATTATACAGCATTTTTATTGTGACAGCATTAGTATATGGTATATTCTGTCATACCCTGTAAACATAGTTTAATATTCTTCTTTTTTCCCATTTTCTCATACAAATTGAATAAGCAGCCATTTTCCCCTAATAAATAGCTCTTCTTTAAGGTGAATTCGTGTTTTTAGAATCCATGTAATTTGAATTTCACTGTTAGATGGACAAGTAACTTATGTTCCTATTGTTAGAAGCCACACGTTTAGAGATAACAGAAATAACTTGAGTCTTAAGAGTCTGGATAGGCTCATCCATTGAGATGTAACTTAACTATTCATACTGTTTGTGATGAAAACTCTATACCTGTTTACTTTGATGATTAATAGAGTGGATGTATCGGGGTTGAAATGGAACACACAGAAGATCATGAGAATTTAGATTCAGCAACTACTTTCCCATGTCTTGGTTAAGCTTTCATTGTGAACCTTAAAAACAAATCAAATGTTGGTGTGATTTCAAACTCTCTTTCAAAAATTAGGTCTGTTTCTATCTGCAGCCTCTGTATTTCCCAGCTGAATGTTTCAAACCCCCAAATTAGGCTGCAACTGAAAGAGCCTAATTGTGAAATGATTTGTGCTTAGGTTTCTGTTAATCCTTTAGCCATGGAACCTTGAATAGTAGTGTTCCTCCTACTTATTTTAAGAGTGGAAGAACAGCTGGGTAGTAAAGAAATCCTGTGTGAACTTTTAGCTCAGCCACTCTGCTGAATTAATTAGAGAGAGGTAGGAAGGTTTTACAAGGGCTGGAAGTTTAAAGAGAATAAATTCATATTTTTGTTCTGAATTGGTTTCTGTGCCATTTATATCAATATGTAGTTGCTTATCTATGAAATGGAGTTAATTTTGATTGATCACATATTTGATGTAAAGAATTAATTATTTTTGTAAGGTATTTGTAAATTTAAAATTGCTTTATAACTTGAATGAACATAATCATTATGCTCCCATTAGGGTGCATTAAGTTGTACAAATTCCAAAATAACATACTATAGTTTGTATGGTTTGCAATTTTATGAAGTTTCAGATGACATGCACAGAATACACAACAGTAGAATTTCCTGAGAAGCTATTCAAGTGAATATTAACCCATCAAGTTAGCAATTTCCTTAAATGTGTATCAGGAAGACATAGGACTTCCCTACCTTAGAGCTGTATAGACTTGTGTCTCTCCAAGATCTGACTTCTCTGCCATTTCATACAGGTTGGATATTGATGGAGGTTTAAAAATGCTATGACAGTTCATAGTGCATGATGTGTTTGTTTATCATAGCATATTTGGGCAGAGTGGCCAGCTCATTCAATATGAGAGCCACCAGCTCTTAGGAACAGATCTGTTCACACCCAGTCTATAATAGGTATTTCTTCAGGCATGTCACATTGAGGTCTTCCTGAGTGACCACTTAGTCGATAAAGGTATTATGTTTCTTTAATGACCACTAGAAGTTAGGAAGCTCCTAGGGACCAGGATATGAGACCTTAGAGAGGCTGTGACAGTCTTTTCATTTGCATGACATAGAATCTGTAGTGGAGATGTTTTCCCTGATGTTTTTGGAGGGCTGGACTGTGCTGAAGGTTGTACCTTGGCGGGGTGATCTGCAGTCATGCGGTCCACTGATAGGATCCCCCTCCCCACAACTTCAGTAATTGGGCTTTCTGTTAATTTCTCAAATTATCTTTTCAAAAATGGTTTGGCACTACTTGATGATATTATGTTCAAAATCAAGTCCAGTAGAATATATAAGCATTTGTAAACTAGACTTAGTTTAGGAAATCTATGCTTTGACATATATAACCAAACAGCTTGAGTTTTCAAAGCCATTTTCTTCTTAGGTGTTACTCTTTAGCATTTACATAATGCCTTTTCCCCAAGCAGTTTAACGTGGTTTGCAGAAACAGTTTTGGCAGCTACTGATCACTATATTGCTGGAGTTGTGTTTGAGTATGTCATTTATCAGTAGTATCTGCCAGTTGTGACAAAGCCCTTATTAACCTGCCTTTCCTGGAAAGGATACAAACCCAAGGAAGGACTTTTGGTTAACATCTACATAGTACTTAGAATTGCTAATTTTGAAATAAGAAACAGAAAGCATATTTAAAATACTACTTTATGTTTTTGGAGGCAGGACCTGTATGTATCTCCTTATCTTTATACTTCCCCATAGAAACAGGCCTAGTTGTAGGCACACAGTGGGTGCTTTGTTAACTGATGATGGCTTCCTGACAACCATCCAAGTGTTGGTTTTACAGGTGCTGTCACCCATCACAACAGATGTGGCAGAAGCATTTCATGACCACATTAGAAAGAATGCAGCTTACGAGTTATATCTTTTTTGATAGACCCAGAGAGCCCACCTGCTCTTTTTTGTCCTCACCTTCACCCCAAGCAATGTGAAGACAGGTTATGACAACTTAGGAGCTCCGTGTTTCTGTAATAATTCATAACTTTAAGAGTCCTCCAGACTTAAAAGATTACTTCATGGTGAAAGTTTGGATTGATCAATAATTTATTCCTATAAATGTCTGCAGCATTTTTTTTCCGTAACCAGAAAAGTAACTGCATGGCCAGTCTTTTTTTTTTCGGTAATTCTTATTTGCTGTTTTTTTGTTTGTTTGAGACAGTTTTCACTCTCATTGCCCAGGTTGGTTGGAGTGCAATGGTGCAATCTCAGATCACTACCTCCTGGGTTCAAGTGATTCTCCTGCCTCAGCCTCCCAAGTAGTTGGGCTTACAGGCACATACCACCACACCAAGCTAAATTTTTTTTATTTACTAGAGGCAGGGTCTCACCATATTGGTCAAGCTGGTCTCGAACTCCTGACCTCAGGTGATGCACCCACCTTGACCTCCCAAAATGTTCGGATTACAGGCATGAGCCAATGTGCCCAGCCTGTTTTTGTTTGTTTGTTTGTTTATTTGTTTTGTTTTGTTTTTTTGAGACAGTCTCACTCTGTAGCCCAGGCTAAAGTGCAGTGGCTCAATCTCAGCTCACTGCAGTGTCCACCTCCCAGGTTCAAGCACTTCTCCCATCATACCCTCTCGAGTAGCTGGAACTACAGGCATGTGCCACCATACCCAGCTATTTTTTGTATTTTTTGGTAGAGACGGGGTTTCGCCGTATTGACCAGGTTGATCTTGAACTCCTGGCCTCAAGTGATCCACCAGTCTTCGCCTCTTAAAGTGCAGGGATTACAGGCATGAGCCACTGCACCTGGCTCAGTATTTTTTAAATTATTTTTTTTTCTTTATATATTTATTTTTTTTTTGAGATGGAGTCTTGCTCTGTCGCCCAGGCTGGAATGCAGTGGCATGATCTTGGCTCACTGCAACCTCTGCCTTTCGGGTTCAAGTGATTCATCTGCCTCAGCCTCCTGAGTAACTGGGATTATAGGCGTGCACCACCACACCTGGCTAATTTTTTATATTTTTGATGGAGACAGGGTTTTACCATGTTGGTCAGGCCACTCCTGACCTCAAGTGATCCACCTGCCCTGGCTTCCCAAAATGTTGGGATTATAGGCATCAGCCACTGCTCTTGGCCAGTCTTTTATTTTAAAATAAATAATTAGGCCTAACCAGTGAATTATTAATAGCATTTAAAATTCCTTTTATCCAGATACTATACCATGAACAATAATTTTCCCTTTCAAGTTATGATTTGACTCTAATTTTGGATCTTGTATCTGATCTTTACATGCCTTTCATTATAGAACAACCATTCTACTGTTAGCAAAATTATTGTAGGCTTAAAGAAGAGCTGTGAGTTTAAAGAAGACTGTGAGTTCTTGGAATAGTATTTTATAGCATGGTTTATTCTTGAGTCTCTTGTTTTTTAAGCTTAGGGTTTATAAGAAAAAAATGAATATATAGCTGATTATAGCATTTTAGAAAAAAACAGCTCTGCAGATAGGCCCATACTTCTTGGCTCATTACTGATTTTAATACCTTCATAAGAGTATTAGGATTGAAAGGAGTGGTAAAATTTGCATTATCAGAGGTCTGATATGTAATTTACTGTAAAGAAATTAAATATATAGAGGTCCAATTTTTAAAAAATTAACCATATTGTTCTCAAACCTCCATTACCACCAACATCTTGGGGGTTATTTATACTTTTTTTTTTTTTTTTTGAGATGAAGTCTCACTCTGTTGCCCAGGCTGGAGTGCAGTGGTGCCATCTCGGCTCACTGCAACCTCTGCCTCCCAGATTCAAGTGATTCTCCTGCCTCAGCCTCCTGAGTAGCTGGGATTACAGGCACCTACCACCATACCCAGCTAGTTTTTTGTATTTTTAGTAGAGACGGGGTTTCACTGTGTTGTCCAGGCTGGTCTCCAAACCCCTGACCTCAAATGATTCGCCTGCCTCAGCCTCTTAGAGTGCTGAGATTACAAGCGTGAGCCACCACACTTGGCCTAGACTATACATTTTATACATTTTTTAAATAAAGAAAGTAAAAAATGATAAACCATTATAAAATAGAAGTTTCAGTCCAACTGTATTTTACAGAAAGTTGCCCTCAAATTTTTGAGAGGGAAGTCACATAGGATAGAAGAATATCTTTTCAACAGGTAGAATGTTATTTCCTTACAAAAGTGACAATCAAAAGAGTCATTTGTATACGTACTTGCCAAAGTTTAAAGATTTTTTTACATTCCTTACCCTAAACCCACTGCCCCATCCATCCAGGATTCAGAAAGGGCTCAGCATAGATCCAGGGCTCCGGGGCTCATGTCATTTTGTTATTAGTCTAGGGCTTTTGTGCATGCACAGTCTAGGTTGGGCATCTTTGTATGTGTGTTGCTGTTTGGGGCCAGGGATGGGGGTGGGTGGGAGCTGTCCAGGTTTAAGATTGTTCATTTTCTATTAGATACACAAGCACTATCTGTGGGCTGAAATCCAGGTGATACCTATTCAGTATGACTTTTTTTTTTTTTTAAACTTTCTACTGCAATTATTTCAGTTCCCCCAAGTTATGTCTCACATGTTGGGGAAATGCTGCCATGACTATTTTACTTTAGAAGGTTTTACTAGATACCAGTTTAATAGATTAATGACATTGTTTTAATCTACTGTCGGCTCAAAAGACACCAGCAAGGGGGTATACTTTGCTGAATGGATAAATTATTCTATTAAGGACTAACAAAGTACTTGGTAAAATTAGGAATAACTTTTCCCCTCCTTCTTTACCAATAAATTTTCCAAGTTGCATTCCATTGTTGCAAGTTTCTGTAATTTTTTCTGCAATACCTTTCTATTATCTGAATTTCAATAAAAATGTTTCTAATAATATCTGTCTGGCAGTGTGGTGCTTTGCTTTAATAAATCTTCAGCATTTAAAGGCAGAACATAGGGGAACCATGTGCATATTTAAGAGCTTATAAATGGAACCCATCCCAGACTTTCCTGGAAAAAAAAAGGGGGATCGCATTAAATTGTTTGTCCTTTGATTTATCTTTCATACACAGAAATTGTGCTTCACTTAACCACATAGATGCTGTTAGCATTTAAAGCCCTATTTCCTGATATTACCTTCATTCCAGGAAGCGTCTCTTACATTAGCCAAGGTTAATTTTCTGTTAGAAGATCTGAACCTGGCCAGGCGTGGTGGCTCACACCTGTAATCCCAGCACTTTGGGAGGCTGAGGCGGGTGGATCACGAGGTCAAGAGATCGAGACCATCCTGGTCAACAAGGTGAAACCCCGTCTCTCCTAAATATACAAAAATTAGCTGGGCATGGTGGTGCATGCCTGTAATCCCAGCTACTCAGGAGGCTGAGGCAGGAGAATTGCTTGAACCCAGAAGGCGGAGGTTGTGGTGAGCCGAGATCATGCCATTGCACTCTAGTCTGGGTAACAACAATGAAACTCCGCCTCAAAAAAAAAGAAAAGAAGATCTGAACCTAAGAAGTTGTTAGCAAATGTGCTGCTTAATAGAGCAAGAACTCTTCAGGATCAAAATGGGATCTCATTGCAGGAAAGGCTTTCTGAGAACTGCTCATGCTTCCCTCAAAGTCAGGAGATGTCATTAAAAGATGCTTTCTGGCCTCTGTTCTAACATGTTCATTGGTCAAGAACGCACTGTCTTAAACAGCAGAGCCTAGTAGATTACTGGATGTAATTCCTGAGCAATTCTATCAGAAGCTTCTTCCTTAAGAGATAGCCTGGTCTAGACTTGATACCCTCTCTTCTGAGCAATGTAATATTGGGCAAGTCAGGACTTCAGTGAGCATTGCTTTCCTCATCTACAAAATGCAGATTTATTCATTCATTTAAGAAAAATTGAGCACTTGGCATCTGCTATTAGGTGTTGAGATACAGAGATGAATAATAAGATGGATTGCTTTTTAAATATGGCTTACTGCAAAGTGAATAAAGTCACATTGCTTTGGGGTGAATATCAAATGGTCAAGCACACAAGGATATATTTTAGTAACTAAAGGGACCAAAAAAAGTATGGTGGATGTAGGGTCACATATTTTTTTTTCAAATCAAACAATGCCCATCTCTGCCATCCTTACATTGGTATTGGTTTCACCCCTTTGACTTCATTCTCCACAATGGCACATTACCCAGCATTTTTGAGCTTCCAAGTGCTTATGATAATTACAGTAAAGCCTCAATATATGTGAATTGGGTGATGGTGTGCTTGAGGGCTTATGTGCATCATCTTATCAAATCCAGAGCTAGTATCCAGGACATACTTAGAATGCTCCAGGACAATCCAGCAAGGTGAGCCCTGGTTCCCATTTTAGAGATGGGCAAACAGCATAGTGAGGGTAGATAGCTTGCCTAAGATCACAACTGATACGTGACAAAGCTGGGATTTAAACACACCTGCCTGGGTCCAAACTAGTGTTCTCAACTACAACAACATGACTGCTTTTCAATACTCAGAAAACAGCATAAACTCTTAAAAGAGCAATTTCCAACTTTAGTTGCAACTCTCAAGATCTCATTCCGTTGTCTGTCTGTCAAAGTGGCTTTGGGCAGGGGGTCATATTTAGCATTACTTAGCAAAAAATTAATTTGACTTTGTTAATCCAACAATAACTTCTCAAGTAATGGTGTTCTCAGGTTTCACAAAGTGAGAACTGGGATTGACCATTTTCAGTGGTCTCTCCAGGTTCTTTCCTGGGGCTTTAGAAGCACATTTTGTATTTCGTTGAAGTCAATGGCAAATAGAGCCTTTGGCAGCTCAATACTTGAAAATAGAATCTGCCACCCTCACTCCTTCCATGTCTTCCATAAGGGGCTAGTTTGGGTCACTCTTGGATGACTGCACAGATTCATTTTTGCTGTCCAAAGGCTGGGGTTTGACTCCTCCATACACAGCAAAACTTCCTGTCCACTCAAGATATGGTATTTACAGTCAAAGAATAGTTTAATTTTATCTAGGGAATAATTAAAATTATAAAGGTTTCTTTTTAAGCCTTGAAGGGGACTTCAGACTAGCTGACCTCAAATCCCTCTCTTTATCTGATAAGTGAAGGTTTAGAAATGATAAAGAAGTCAAGTTTACGCCAGTGGTTACAATTGTAGTTTAAGCTAAAGTAGGGGACCAGGTGGAGTTAAATAACTACAGACCAGAAGTACGTATTCATTAAACATTCACTCTTAGATATACATGCAGGTTACTTTTATTTACTACAATAAGTTATTAGAAACCCCACCAATAAAGTGCTCTCTAAATATTTATTGACTGAAAAAATTAATTTTAATTAAGAAAAAGCTTTAGAGAGGCCAGGCACAGTGGCTCACACCTTGTAATCCCAGCACTTTGGGAGGCCGAGGTGGGTGGATCACAAGGTCAAGAGATCCAGACCATCCTGGCCAACATGGTGAAACTCCGTCTCTACCAAAAATACAAAAATTAGCTGGGCATGGTGGCGTGCACCTGTAGTCCCAGCTATTCGGGAGGCTGAGGCAGAAGACTCGCTTGAACTTGGGAGGCAGAGATTGCAGTAAGCCAAGATTATGCCACTGCACTCCAGCCTGGTGACAGAGCAAGACTCTGTCTCAAAATAAACAAACAAACAAATAAATAAATAAAGCTTTGGAAAGTTTCACACACTTGCAGTTATTTTCTACTATACATTGAGTACTTAATGAGTAAGAAAGAATGCTGATTTTTTCCCCCCTGGGGTTTCCAAGACAAATCAATCACCTGCTGAAGTTGTATTTGGAGCAATGACACATGGGCAATGTTATTAATGGCTTCCAAGAAGCAAAAATACCAAAAACGCTCCTACAAAGCAATGCAAAATTCCAGTATGAAACACATTAGCCACAACCAAAACTGCAAATGTCTCCACTGATCTTACAAGCATGCAATACAGCAGGTCTCTCGAGTAAACTCAAAGTGTCTCTGATTATCCATGGAAGCACTTCTTCCAAAAATGAGCCAAGCCTCTCTCCATTCCTGATATCCACCTCATACCCCTAAGTAGTATCAGAAACAGTCTTTAAAGTATTTTTAAAATTATTAATGGATTTTCACTTGTTTTTTATTTTTTGAGCTTGCAAACGATTGCCTCATTGGCTTGTGACAACCATCCAACTGGGACAGTGAGGTGAAGGTAAGGAAGAGACTATTATGGTTTGTTACAAGGAATGCAAAGCAAAAGAACATAACATTCAGCGTTGACACTCGAAAACCAGACTTTGCAGCCTTCTCCCAGCCTGGCTTGAAATGATTGTCTAAATTCCTTTATCCTCCTTTCAATGTACCAATAATTAGAGTTTTACTAAAAGGAGGGCTAAACTGTTGAGGAATGGGGTGGAGAATGGAGTTGGGAAAAAAGTATTTTTCTGCCTGTCCTTGGAGAATTCCAACAAAAAAGAAGAAGAAAAAGGGTTAGAGTGCATTGACCAGATGTGCGTCCAGAATTGTTTTTTGGGGGATGCTGGGAAGTGTCTGAGACTCGGGGGGGAGACTGCCATGCAAAGGTCCCATGGCTGATGTAGGGCAGCCAAGCTTAGGCAAGACTGTTTGCTCAGGGTGCCCTGATTCTCCTGGGGCACTCTCAGTTCCTGTGTAGTGTGGGTGCCTTTGTGATAGGATGAGGTGACTACACAAGGGAGCAGGGTCTTCAGCCCTTAAGGGCTGAGGAGAAGCAAAGACAGTGAGGGAAGCTGGTTGGTGCTCCCTGCAAGCACTTTCCAAGCAAAAAGAAAAGAAAAAATAAAAAGGTCACCATTTCCCCAGGTATAGACACAACATGAGAGGCCAGCAGCTGTTGTGATTAGTGACCAGTTCAATAATTATCAACCAGTAGTCACCCAGGACCAGCACAAAGCCACAGGGCTCCCTACCCTACCCCAATGCCATGAAGGCACGAAAACCACTCCCATCATACCCAGATGCCCACTTAGGGACAGATTAGATCCTATAAGCTCTTAAACCAGTTTGGAATTTATTTTTTTTCTGACTAATCAGTGAGTATGCGCTAAGGAGGAAGGCCAAACACGTTATAGAGCAAATCAGCAGACTCTTTCCACATCTGAGTTTTGTGAGCTACCATAGTAGCAGCAACCCAATAGACACTTACGGAAGACTAGTCTACTTCCTGCCAAGCAGCTGGAGTTTGAGGTGCTCCAGAACTCACTACAACCGACTGGGCAACAGAAGCTAAGTGTTTACTCTGAGACCTTCGCTGTTATTTCCATTGAACACTGGCCCAGAGAGTCTTCCTGATGTCCCAAAGGATATGCAATTCTTACACAGGGACCAGGGTTTACTGACAAAATATCTCATTGAATGTTTCAGGAGGCAGTGTTGGTGATTTAGTTATTGCCATCCACTTCCAAAAAGGCAGACACTGAAAATTTAGTAATACATTGCTCAAGAGGGCTTCCATATGTGTAGAAAGGGAGAGAGGGTGAGGCTGAGCAGGCATAGTTGGACGATAACTTAGGTAGAAAATTAAAATGAGTCCCAGAGGAAACACAGATGTGCAGGCTGAACTGTGATTTTATGTGATAAACTGAGTATAGAAAACAACTGAAACTGACATTATTGGCCTAGCTAGCAGTGAGGTGACCTCACCAAGGATTGCATTCTGTTTCATAATTGCTCTAAGACTGGTTTGGAAATTCTAAGTTATTAACATTATATCAATATCCCATCTATGGGATTTGGTTATCTCCTCAGTCAAATATAGTTTGAAGGATAAATTTTATTATTTCAAAGTCAAAATTATAAACATGTATGTTTTTGGGTCTATGTATGCATTTATTGTTTAAGTGTGCATGTGTGTGTTGTACTGATATACTAGATGTACCAGCTGTACCTGATACCAGATGTACCAGGGTTTAATTTGGTTTTAGAATTGGTGCCAATTGCTTTTTTGGGTTCAGATAATTAGCGTAAAAGTACCAGTTCAGTTCAGAGTTACATGCAGGAAGTTAAGAGAAACACCATAATACTCATTGTGTGAATTAAGTGTAAACCATCTCAGGAGGCTGCTAAGTCTCATAATAACGCTAATACAGAAGAAAAATGTTTTTCTTCTCCTTAGTATATTAATACAAGTTTTCTGAGTATTATAGTTTGAGTGCTATTTTATCTAACCCTCAAAACGACCAGAACAGAGAGGGAGAGGAAGACCCACCTGTGTGCCTGCCCAGTCCTCTTTTCTTTTCTGATCTTCAGACTTACCTAGGTTTTCACAATTTTTTTTCTTTCTCTCTCTCTCTCTCTTTTTTTTTCCTGGACAGAGAACTATGGTTCAGAAGGAGATTTTCACAATTTTAACCTTTCTTCTTTTTATTTCAGAGAAATGGGTGTCTGCCCTACCTCCCCTTCACCCCATTGATTTTTTGAAACTGATCTCAGTTGCTCAGGCTGGATTGCAGTGGCACAATCTCTGCTCACTGCAACCTCTGCCTCCTGGGCTCAAGCGATTGTCCTGCCTCAGCCTCCTGAGTAGGTGGGACTACAGGTGTGAGCCACCAATGCCTGGCTAATTTTTGTATTTCATAGAGATGGGGTTTTGCCACGTTTCCCAGGCTGGTCTCTAACTCCTGGAATCAGGGATCCACCTGCTTTGGCCTCCCAAAGTGCTGGGATTATAGGCGTGAACCACTGTGCCAGACCCTATCTCCCATTTTCAAATTGATTTAGCGCCTCCTTCCCCTAAGAATTTGCTCTTCCAGGCATCCCTTTTCTGTTTAGTCTCCGTACTGCACTAACTTTACCTATACACAGGCCTGTATACTCCTATTCAAACCGCTGACCAGGACTGCTGCTTCTGGGTGAGATGTAGCAACGGGCATTGAATTCCTTTTCTTCAACTAGAAACAACTAAAAAGCTGGATGAAATAAAAGATGTTACTATTAGGCACTGGATAATAGGCCATGAAAACATCAATCTATTAAAAAAAAGAAACCAATCAGGTAAGCCCTGCAATCACCCCAGCTTTTTCTCTATAGTTCCATCCTGGACCACAGAGCAGAGGATCCCGGGCAGAACACGGCAATCTCACTAAATGGAGCAGCGGTGGAGATAAGAGGAGGTGGGTCAGCTATGTGGGAGTGCTGGAGAGGAGTGCGTTGGCAGACACAGACTCCAGACGTCTATGTAAGGGTCCTCTACAGTTATTGTTGAATACTAAAATGTGAATTTGAACTGCCTTCCCCTGCAGGATGAAGAGAGGGAGGGGTCCCAGCTAACAGGAGGCAGTGCCCACCCAGCACTCACTAGCCCTCCCTGTCCCCTGGCAGTCATGAGGAAGACAGCCAGATGATTCTGGATGACCACCTGTCCAGGGTCCTCAGGATCCCTTCCTGCTAGCCACCAGGCACAGGCCACTACTACCTCCCGCTTTCACTCCCTGGACCACCACCACCACCATCACCAGAACCACCACCACCAGAATCACCACGATCACCACTATCACCACCACCACCACCACAACCACTATCACCACCATCACCACCACCATCACCACCATCACAACCATCACCACCACCATGAACACCATGACCACATTACCACCATCATCATCACACCACCACCATTACCATCACCACCATCAGCACCACCATCATCATTGCCATCACTACCACCACCATCATCACCGTAACCATTACCATCATCACCAGCACCACCACCATCATCACCACCACCACCACCACCATCATCACCACCAACCACTATCACCACTATCACCCTCATTGCCACCACCATTACCATCACACCACCATCACCATAACTACCACCACCATCAGCACCACCACCATCACCACAATTACAACCACCATCATTACCACCATCATCACCACCACCATCACCACCACCACCATCACCATTGCCACCATCATCACCATCATTAGCACCATTATCACCACTACCATCACCATTACCACCACCACATCACCATTACCACCACATCACTATCACCAACACCACCACCATTACTACAACCACCATCAACACCATCACTATCACCACCATCATCACTGTCACCACCACCACCACCAACACCACTACCATCACCATCAGCATCAACACCTCCACTACCACCATCACACCACATCACCATTACCACCACATCACCATTACCACCACCACCACCACCATCATCACTACCACCACTATCATCACCACCATCACCACCACCACTACCACCACCACCACTGCCACTGGCGTGCCACACCCTGCCCCTGCCACAGCCAGTATTCATGTGCCTGCGCCCTCCTCAGGGACAAGAGCTCGTGACCAAGCAGACGACGACAAAGCACGGGCAGCACCTCTACGTCCAGCACCACGTGGTCACCAGTGCTGAGGAGGAGATTGCTGCGGAAGCCACCAAGAGTCCTGCTTCTGCCCTGATGGCACCAGAAATTGCTGCTCTTCGAAATGCAAGAGGCCCTCCCCCAGGGCTCCGGAACCCATGCCAGTGGGCAGTGTGGTGACAGCAGAGGGAGTACCACGCCAAAACACGGTGGGAAAGGCATAGAGCAGGGCCTGGCCTTGCCCATGGGCCCCGCAGTCTCTCAGGGAGGAAGGAGGCAGGTCGCAGGCTGTCCGGCAGTGCGTGCAGGAGAGTGAGCGGCAGCACAAGCCCCCACAGAGCTCAAATCACAAAACAGGCCGACTGCTTGGAGTTGACCCACCAGTCCTCAGACAAATAAGCCAGCCTGCACCATCTGTGGGGGGCAGCAGGGGTGCCGCAGCACACCACCCTGGCCCCTGTGCCCACCCATTTACCCAGGACCCTGTGATGCCTCCCCTGAATCCACTCAGCACTTGGGCTCCACTGGGGGAGGCCTGCCACAGGCTGGGGGAGGAGCAAAAGCCCCCAAGGCAGCGGTGCTGCATGGCCAGTCCTCAGAAGCACAGGAATCGCTGGGCCGCTGTCCAGGGGGTAGCCATGCCCTTCTCCAACCTAAGCCTGGTCCCAGAAGATCACAAGGAGCCAAAGAAACCAGCAGGTGTCAGCGCTCTCCAGGCCAGCCGGCTGCTTGTCACTCATTTTCTCTGCTGAGAAGAAATTCCCTACAGGAGAAAACTGAAGGCTCAGAGCTGGACCCTGGGCCAGTTTAACGAGCAGCTTAGCAAAAATGAAAATGTAGGTATCACTTTAAAAAGAAATGAGAGTGCTCCTGATGTAGGAAGGCAGGATTCTGGGCAAAGTGTAGAGGACCAGTTGAGCTTTTAGGGTCTGGCACTAGTGAACTATTGGAGCACGAAGCTCTCCTGGCCTGCATTGGCCATGGGCAACCACACAAAACATTTTGAAGGAAAGTTAAACAGATGAAGAAGACAAAGTCTAGGGAAGAATTGGCCAGTGGACCTTTGGGAGAGTGGTGGGAGGTTGATTTCCATTATTTATGAGTTGGGTAGAGAGATAAGAAATGCCTTTTTTTTTTGAGATGGAGTTTTGCTCTTGTTGCTCAGGCTGGAGTGCAGTGGCATGATCTCAGCTCACTGCAACCTCTGTCTCCCGGGTTCAAGCTATTCTCCTGCCTCAGCCTCCCAAGTAGCTGGGATTACAGGCATGTGCCACCAAGCCCAGCTAATTTTTAGTAAGACAGGAGTTTCTCCATATTGGTCAGGCTGGTCTCGAACTCCCTACCTCAGATGATCCGCCCACCTCAGCCTCCCAAAGTGCTGGGATGATAGGTGTGAGCTACCACGCCTGGCCAAGCCTAAACTATTTATTAAAAACATGACCACTCTTGGCTATTGAAGATGCTGAGTGAGTTGTTTGTTTGTTTATTTATTTATTTTAGACAGAGTCTCACTCTGTCACCCAGGCTGGAGTACAGTGGCACGATCTAGGCTCACTACAACCCCCGACCCCTGGGTTCAAGTGATTCCCCTGCCTCAGCTTTCTGAGTAGCTAGGATTGCAGGTGCGTGCCACCATGCCCGGCTAATTTTTGTATTTTTAGTAGAGATGGGGTTTCACCATGTTGTCAGTCTGGTCTCGAACTCCTGACCTTGTGATCCTCCTGTCTTAGCCTCCCAAAGTGCTGGGATTACAGGCATGAGCCACCGGGCCCGGCCAATGCTGACTGTATTTCAGAGACACTACCTTATGTAATATATGACTTCCTAGAGATCTGAAATCCATAAATAAATCACATAAATCCATAAATTCACATACATAAACTCTCCATAAATCCATAAACTCTCCATAAATCCACAGAGAAAACTGTGTCTAGCTTATCAGAACAGGAATCCTTACTGATACTTATCCAACAGTTGATTCCCCCATCCCCAGCTTATGGACATGCTGCTTTAAGTTTGGAAGTGGGGGAGAGGAAGTTCATCTCAATTTAGGAGTTGAACCAGCAGTGCATTCATGGATTTTTCACTAAAAGAGGAATTATGCTTTGCATTGCATTTCTCCAAGTGAAGGCAGACTTTTAAAAATGGTGCCCTACCATTGACATATGCGGAAAGTAGTGCATTTATTTTTTCCTATGCTGCTCTATTTTGTCTGGAAGGTCTTGTGCATTGATCACATTGTGTCATCATCGACATTTTGGAGGTTGTCGTGGTGGCTGGGATGATCCTTTGTGGAGGGATGCGGAGCCTCATCCTGGGGGCTCCAGGTATATCCTGTGACTGAGGCGCCACATCTGTAGCCTCTGCAGACCCAGGGTCCCATGGCTGAGGCCTGCCAGAACCACTACCTTGTGGTACAAGCTTGGGCTTTTATGGAAATGACAGTTCCATGTTTGGTGGGGGGAATTGTTTCTTTGTAACTGGTCTTTGGACCACAGCCATTCCAGAAACTACCCTTCTTCCCTGCAAAGAAACGAACAGTTGTGGGGAGACCTAGCAGCACCTTTCCTCCAGGCAGCTTCATGCTGTTGTTCCAGTTACTGCATTAAGCGAATCTGTACTGTGTTTGTCACTGTTACTTGTACTACACATCTGTACCTACTGCCTGGCAAAAGAGTATGAATCCACTGTCTCTAGTGCTCGACTGTAAATCCGTACGGTACCTGACCCTCTCTGCGTGTCGCCCTATATTGAGAGCTCGAGCTTTTCCTTGTTTTTTCAAAGGGGTTTATATGCAAATATATTTTATGCCTTTTTTATTACAAGTTTTGTACTCAATGACTTTTGTCATGGCATTTTGTTCTATTTATACTGTAAATTATGCATGCATTATAAAGAGTTCAATTCAGGAAAATTATTTGTTATAATAATGGTAATTAAGAGATGTAGCCTTTATTTAAATATTATATTTTTCAAAATAAAAATAAGAATAAATGTGAATTTAGTGAAACTCCACAAGGTTGGGTAAGGAGTGGCTGGGACTGTGAGGTCCTGTTCCAGGAAGTCTGACAAGGCAGAGAATTGTTCAGGTTTCCTCTAGCCAGAGGGGAGGGTTCTCACCGATCACTCATACATGCAGTAGAGACTCCACAAGTAATTTAATAATGGGTTTAAATTACCAGCCAGGTAGAGGCTACTATATATCTGATACAACTTAGCTTAAAAATAAGCCTCAAAATAATAAAACTGACCAGAAGTAACTTCACTTATTGAACAAAGCTCAACACTTTTTAAAGGAAGACATTAAAATCTGTACATTTAATAACATAAATCCACAATGTCCAGCATTCAACCAGAACTGTTAAACATGCAAGAAACAGGCAAATATGATCCTTTACCAGAAAACAATCATTTTAGAAACATATCCAGAAATTGTGGCATGATGAAATTAGCAGGCAAGGATTTTAGGATTTTAAAACAGCAATAAGTTCAAGTACTTAAGAGAAAACATAAACATAGTGAAGAGGAACTGAAAGAACTTTTTTTTAAATAATAGAACTTTTAGAGTTGAAAACACAATATCTAAAATTAAAATTTACCTCATGGAATTAAAAGCATATAAAAGACTGCAGAAGAAAATACTAATGAACTTGAAGATTTAGCAATAGAAAGAATCCAATATGGAAAACAAAGAAAAAGATGAATGAAAATCAGTGATCTGTGAGATAATATCAAGCAGCCTGGCATACATGTACTCGGACTCCCTGGAGGAAAATCAGTGGGGTGAGAGGTAGCAGAAAAAATATATTTGAAGAAGAAACAGCAGAAAATTTTGAGAACTTGGTGGAATCTATAAGCTCATATGCAAGAAGCTTGGTGAATCCCAAGTGAGATAAAGACAAAACACATCGAGACACATCATAATCAAATTCCTGAAAATCAGCCATCAAGAGAAACAAGACAGAAATAAAAGGCACATAATGTAGAGAGAAATAAGCCTCATAATAACTGCAGACTTCTTTTCAGAAACGAAGCAAATCATCAGGCTTCTCTGTAAACTCATCTCTGAAGTACTGAAGGAAACTCAGTATAGAATTAGGTCGCCAGAGAAAACACCTCTCACAAACGAAAGAAAAAGATGATTTCACACAAACAAAAGCTGGGAGAATTTGTTGCCGTCAGACCTACATGATAAAATGTTGAAGAAAGTTATTTAGGCAGAAGTAAATGATACAAAGAAATGAAAAGCATCAGAAATGGTAAATATTTAGGTAAATATTTAAAAATTTGTCAGACTTTTACATTTCTGTAAAAGATACTGTTTAATGCAAATATAATAATACTGGACTGTGGGGCTTATAAAATATGCATGACAACAGTAACACATAGGAGAGAAGAGGGAAATAAAAGTGTATTATTGAGAGATATGCAACAGATGAAGTAGTAAATATCAGATTAAGGCAGACTATGATAAATTGATAATGTATATTGTAAACCCAAGTACAGTTAATATAAAATAAATCTGAGGAGTATAGCTTATAGAACAATGTGGAGGAAAATGGAACTATAAAGAAATGCTCAAGTAATCCAAAAGAGGGCAGAAAAAGAGGAGCAAAACAAACAATACCTATCATGTTATTAAATGTAATGGTTTAAACACTCCAATTAAACTATGAAGAAAATCAGACTCACTGTACAGCCACAGTAATCAAGAGAGTATAGGACTGGCATAAGGATAAACGTATAGGCCAATGGAACAGAATATAGAAATCAGAAGTTGGCCCACACGTGCATGGTCAACACTGAGACACTGACAAAATATTTCAATGGATAAAGCATAGACCTACAACAAATGGTGATGGGACAAGTGGATATTTACATGCAATAAATAATAAATACACACACATACTTATAGAAAAATAACAGAGGAGAAAATCTTTGCAGTCTTGGGGTAGGCATACATTTCTTAGATATAACACACAAGCATGAATTGTAAAGAAAAAATTAATTTGATTCCACCAAAAAAAGTTTAACTCCTCTTCATAAGACATCTTTATGAAAACAAACAGGCAAGCCCCTGACTAGAATAAAATACTAATAACACAAAGGACTTGTATAAAGGATATATAGAAGAGTTTTATAAGTCATTGTTAAGAAAATAAGCAACGAGGCTGGGTACAGTAGTTCACACCTGTAATCCCAGCACTTTGGGAGGTTGAGGTGAGTGAATCACTTGAAATCAGGAGTTCAAGACCAGCCTGGCCAACATAGTGAAAACCTATCTCTACTAAAAATACAGAAAATTAGCTGGGTGTGGTGGGGGTGTCTGTAATCCCAACTATTCAGGAGACTGAGGCATGAGAATCACTTGAACCCAGGAGGCAGAGGTTGCAGCGAGCTGAGGTTGTGCCAACTAGTCTGGACAACCGAGCAAGACTTCGTCTCAAAAAAAAAACAAAAAACAAAACAAGCAACCCAAAAATACAGGCAAAGAAAAAACATATATACAAATGGCCAATAGGACCAGAAAAGATGCTCAATGTTATTAATCATTAAGGAAATGCAAATTAAAATCACAATGAGATGTCATTATACACCTTTGAGAATGAAAATTTACAGACTGGCAGTAACAGATGGCGTGAATGTCAAATGGAACAACCACTTCTGAAAATACTTTTGTAGTTTCCCTTACAAGTAAGAATGCAAGTAGCATTTTACTCAACAATTCCCCTCCTAAGTACAGTAGTCCCCCATTGCCTGCAGTTTTGCTTTCATTGGTTTCAGTTACCCATGGTCAACTGCAGTCCAAAAATTCTCAATAGAGGCTGGGCGCAGTGGCTCACACCTGTAATCCCAGCACTTTGGGAGGCTGAAGCGGGAGGATCACCTGAAGTCAGGAGTTGGAGACCAGCCTGGCCAACATGGTGAAACCCTGTCTCTATTAAAAATGCAAAATAAATTAGCTGGGTATGGAGGCAGGTGCCTGTAATCCCAGCTACCTGGGAGGCTGAGGCAGGAGAATTGCTTGAACCTGGGAGGTGGAGGTTGCAGTGAGCTGAAACCATGCCATTGCACTCCAGCCTGGGCAACAAGAATGAAACTCTGCCTGAATAAATAAATATACTCAATAGAAAATCTCAGGAGTAAAGAATTTGTAAGTTTTAAATTGCACACGGCTCTGAGTAGCATGATAAGAATCTCGTGCCATCCTGCTCTGGCCCACTGGGTACATGAACCATCCCTTTGTGCAGTGTCTCCATGCTGTGTGTACCACCTGCCCATTACTCAGCAGCCACCTTGGCTATTGGATTGACTGTTGCAGTATCCGCAGGCTTGTGTTCAAGTCACTCTTATTTTACTTGTATTACTGTATATGTTATAACTGTTCTATTTTATTATTAGTTATTGTTGTTTATTACTCTCACTGTGCCTAATTTATAAATTAAACTTCATCATAGGCATATATGTATATGAAAAACATAGTTTCAGGCATCCACTGGAGACTTGGAGTGTATCCCTCATAGATAAGGAGAGACCACTGTATTTACTCAAGAGAAATAATAAATATGTTTACACAATATCTTGTGCATTCATACTATATTCAAAACAGGAAAAAGCTGCAAAGAATCCAAATATCTATAACATGCAAATGGGTGAAGATAATACGCTATATCCACAAATGAAATGTTATTCCACCGTAAAATGTAACAAGCTACTGACACACAGAACAACATGCAATATATAAAAAATGTGGATGAAAGAATTGTGGCGCAAAACAGCAGTTACCTTGGGATTCCTTTTACGTAACATTTTAGAGCAGTCAGAACTAACTTGTAGTTACTGAAAGCAAATCAAAGTTTGCTTGGGGCAAGGTATGGGGGAAATTTTTCTTTTTCTTTTCCTTTTTTTTTTGAGACGGAGTTTGGCTGTTGTTACCCAGACTGGAGTGCAATGGCACGATCTCGGCTCACTACAACCTCTGTCTCCTGGGTTCAAGCAATTCTCCTGTCTCAGCCTCCCGAGTGGCTGGGATTACAGGCACACGAACCATGCGCAGTAATTTTTGTATTTTTAGTAGAGACGGGGCTTCACCTTGTTGACCAGGATGGTCTCGATCTCTTGACCTCGTGATCCACCCGCCTCAGCCTCCCAAAGTGCTGGGGTTATAGGCATGAGCCACCACGCCCGGCCTGGAAAATTTTCTTTAAAGGAGCACAAGGAACTTTCAGGAACCTGGAAAATACTCCATAGCTTGAGTGTGGGTGGCTACATAGGTGTATCCATTTATCAAGCTGCAGCTGGGGTCCATATCCTATTCTCTTTAGTAAACAGCTCATAAAGGCATATTCTTTTTCTTTTTTTTTTTTTTTTTTAAGACAGAGTCTTACTCTGTCACCCAGGCTGGAGTGCAGTGATGCAAATCTCAGCTCACTGCAACCTCTGCCTCCCAGGTTCAAGAGATTCTCATGCCTCAGCCTCCCAAATTGCTGGGATTACAGGCCTTCGCACTGTGTCCAGCTAATTTTTGTATTTTTAGTAGAGATGGGGTTTTGCAAGGCTGGTCTTGAACTCCTGGCCTCAAGTGATCCACCTGTTTTGGCTTCCCAAAGTGCTGGGATTATAGGCATGAGCCACTGCACCCAGCCTGAAGGCATATTCTTAATGCAAAACACAAGAATGGAAAGGGGTAAATCCAACTCTACAAGCACATTTCAAGTCTGCTCACATCACATCCACTAACATTCCACTGCCAAGGCAAATTACGCAGCCAAGACCAACATCTTGCTCCAGGCAAGTGCACTCTGCTACAGTGGAACTGGTGAATCATTGCTGAACAATAATCCAAACTAAAACAATTCCAACACTCAAATCAATTCCCTGCATCACATATTCATATAAACTCATCAAATATTTATTAAGCACTTACTCAGGGCCAATACTTGGTTCCTTACTGGATGAAAAGTTTGTCCTCAAGGAGTTCATATTCTACATTTTCCAAACAAAGCATTTCTGTGAAACCCAAGTGTACAACATGGGTAACAGCGGGGACATTCTGTCTGAAGTTGGGGTGAGGGTGCTTGATCCCACTCCTGAATCACCTCAAAGGAGCAAGGAACACGGGAGAGAATACCATTTGAATTCCTCTATGCAGCAACTGGTTCGTCATAAAATGTAGCTTGCGACCCACCACTCCTTGGCTTAAAAGCCCTCCATGACTTCCTCATCTCTATGGGAAGTCCAAACTCACTGGCGTGGCAGTCAAGGCCCTTTTCTGGTGGCTTCTCCACTCAGTCTATCACACATCTGGATCTGCATGGGAGGCCTGAGTGTTTGCTGTGTGCTTCCGTGGTATTGATCAGATTCCATCTTAACCGGTTGTCTCTCTGCCTCCGCTGTTGCACTGTAAGTTCTATTTGCCTCCCTCTCCCCAGTACCTCACACAACATCTGTTCCTCAGCAGGAGGTCAGCCAGTACTCACTATGACATGACAGACCAAGATTTCAAATCAGGGGCCTCTATCCACGGGGTGTGTGCACACTCCCAGGTCCCCTAGCTTTTTAAAAAATTTTTTCTTTTAGAGTTAGAGATGGGGTCTCACTATGTTGCCCAGGTTGGCCTCAAACTCCTGGGCTCAAGCAATCCTCCTCCCTCAGTCTCCCAAAGTGCTGGGATTCCAAGTATGAACCACCACACCCAACCATCCAGCTTTTTCAAAAATCTGCAACAATGTTTGAGACTTCAAAAAGGACTTTGGTTTCAAAATGTTATAAGAAATTGTAAAGTGCATCCCAGCACTGCAGGAGGTCAAGGTGGGCGAATCACTTGAGGTCAGCAGTTCAAGACCAGCCTGGCCAAAATGGTGAAACACCATCTCTACTAAAAATACAAAAAAATTAGTTCGGCATGGTGGCAGGCACCTGTAATACCAGCTACTTGGAAAGCTGAGGCAGGACAGTTGCTTGAACCCGGGAGGCAGAGGCTGCAGTGAAAAGAGATCGCACCATTGTATTCCAGCCTGGGCGACAGGGAGATTCTGTCGCAAAAAAAAAAGAAAATGAAAATTATAAACGGGGGTGTATGATTTCAAAAGCAAAGTTATTTTCATAATGCTATATATAATTAAGATTATATATGTATATATGCATTCACAATGTGGAACATGGATGTACATGGTGTCATATGCTGTATGACAGAGTAGGGTCTTTGGAAATTAGAGAACCTAAGGCCTGTGGATGTCATTACATGGCCCAGCTTCCAATCCAGAGTTTACATCCAGAAAATATACTGAAATAGAGAAAACAGGACTTGTGGTTCTGTCAATCTGGAGCACTGCTAGTGAGTATTAATTTTATCTCTTTTTTTTTAGAGACAGGATCTCACTATATTGCCCAGGCTGGTCTCCAACTCCTGGGCTCAAGCTATTCTCCTGCCTCAGCCTCCCAAAGTGCTGGGATTAGAGGCGTGAGCCACCACACCCAGCCTGATTTTATTTCTGTTTACTGAAAATACCAGCAGGAAAAATGGGGTGTTCACATGCATTGTTTTTTGCACTCTGTGCAAGATTATACAGGAAGGTATTTTATGAGGATTCAGCAGCAAACAGGACAGATGAGCTTTGAGTTTACAGTTGTATGGAAGAGCCTGGCATGTGAAGCATGCAATTAAAGTGTGTTGAGTACCACTTCTCAAGGCTGCTGGCCAAAGGCACCCTCCCCCTTCTCTTCTGATGAGGGGCTTGGCTTGTGTTGGGTTGGTCTCTACAGGTGGGACGGCTGAGCCTGCTCGCCCTCTGGAGGCCATGCTGCAGAATGCTCACACACGTCTGCTGAACACCAGCTCTGCAGGTTCTAAGTTAAACGAGTAAGACACAACAAAAATCAAATCCCAAAGCAGATACAGTCCCCATCCTTGTAGTTCTTGCAGTCTAGAAAGGCAAGAGAAGAAATAACAAGATCACACCAATATGCATACAAATTGTGACAAGTGCTAAAAAAAAATAGTGAGGGCAGAGTACAACTAAGAAAGACGTCCCAAGAAAGTGATTTTTTAAAGCTGAGATCTGACGTCTGATGGGGGATGCTTTCCAGGGAGAAGGAACAGCTGTTCAAGGGCCCTGAGTCAGAAAGGGACGTTTCTATACCCGAGGAAATGAAATGAGGTCACATAGTCAGATCTAAACAAGAGAATAAGATCAGGGTGGGGAAGGCTGACGGTGGCGAGGGAGGCAGGAGTGAGATCAAATGCTGTCTTGAGGACTGTGCTGAGAATTTGGAGAAGTTGGTGAAGGGCACAGAGAAAGCATCCAGGAGGAGCGTGTTGATTCTGAGTAGAGTTGTTAGTGTGTGTCAGGGTTAAAGAAGTGCCTCACGCCAGGTATGGTGGTTCATCCCTGTATTCTCAGTGCTTTGGAAGGCCATGGCCAGAAGATCGCTTGAAGTCAGGAGTTCAAGACCAGCCTGGGCAACATAGCATGTCCCCACCTCTACAAAATAAAAAATAAAATGAAATGGCTCACAGAGGAAGAGACAATTGATCTGATTCCTGTAACATAAATACAAGCTTGCTAGGTGGATTGGGGCAAGGAGCAGGGCATTTTATTTACAGAAAACAATGAGAGCAAAAGCATGAAGGTATGAAATAGACATTTCTGTCCAGGCATCCACAGTTGGCTTGGTAATGCAAGAGCACAAGGTGGGAATTAAGTGAAACTGTGTGTGTGTTTATTGGGCATGGAGAGAAGGGAAATCAGGGATAGTTCAAGCCAGGCTTGGTCAGCACTGCAGTTAAGGCCACTGGAGAGTCTTAAGCCAGAAAGAGACAAGCTCAAAGTTGTAAATTAGAGAAGTTAGAATGGCAACAGTCTGTAGACCATAATGGGTAGAGGTAGGATGGAGCAGAGGGAGTAAAAAGCTCTGGACAACAAAGAAGAAACCTGCAGAGAGGAGGCCAGTGGGAGAGGATGGCAAGAGGAGGTCACTAGAGTTGGATGGGTTAAGAGGTCGAAGAGTCTGAGTTCTGGAAAGAGACCACTGGGTCTGACAGATGGGAAACAATGAAAAACTAAGCCATTGTTTTGAAGAATTGGCAGATGGTAAACAAAACAACAATGACGAATTATAAGTTGTAGAAATGTATGAATAGAGCAAAAGACTCCAGAAAATGTAATAAATAAAAAGGAAACTCAAACATGTCTATAGACAGAGGAAAAGTTGCTAAAAGGGGAGTGAGTATTTGTCATCACTGGCCAAGATGGAGTAACAAAGACCAGATTTCCCCAACACACCTACTCCTTATCTCAACCTACAAACAACTGAACAAAACATTTGAAACAATGGTCTTCAGATATTGGGCATCAGGCAGCACGGGACAGTGATTCTTAAAGAGAGGAAACTAAAAAGATGAGTCCTTCTACTAACCAAGCTTCCTGAAGAATTTCTAAGTTAATGCAAGGTGGGCGTCCAATCCGAGAGCAGCAATCTCCCAGGGCTGAGAAGAGTTGAGAGTCCAGGGACACAAGGTGGACAGAATTTGCCAAGCAGAGGATGAGAGAGGTGAGAGATACACAGAGAGAAAAACCTGGAGAGCCACCAAAGGGTCCTCCCTCAGTCTCCAGCTAAGTACTGAGCAGACACGTGTGTGAACAAACACCTGTGATTAGGACAAGGGTTAAAGGATACAATTCCCAGAGCAAACAGGGCTGTACATCTCAGTTTGCATTTCTACCATCCAGAGTGGACAGACCATGTAATAATGAGACATACAGTGGGACATTCAAAAGGACCTTGCCTCAGTAGTGGGACAAAAGAAATCCTAGAACATGGATGAGCATGGTGACTGACACCTGTAATTTCAGCACTTTTGGAGGCCGGGGTGGGAGGATCACCTGAGGTGAGGAGTTCAAGACCAGCCTGACCAACATGGTGAAACCCTGTCTCTACTAAAAATACAAACCAAAACACCAACAACATAAAAGCTAGCCAAGTGTGGTGGCGTGAGCCTGTAATCCCAGCTACTGAGGAGGCTGAGGCAGGAGAATCACTTGAACCTGGGAGGCAGAGGTTGCAGTGAGCTGAGTTCGCACCATTGCACTCCAGCCTGGGTGACAGAGTGAGACTGTCTCAAACAAACAAAAAATCCTAGAAGAAATGTTGTTTTCATCCCATCCAAAGAAAAAGCTTAAAAGTTAGACTTGAAAGTATCAAACTATTTACAGATAAATTAACTTCATCTAAGAACAGCATTCAAGAATATTTGCAAAAATTTCCAGCATATATCAAGTTAGAGTTCACAATGACTGGCCTCCAATCAAAGATTACCATGCAAAGAAGAAAACCGTGAAGGAAGATGGAACCCTACACAGGAGCATGGAAGTTTCCCTGATTGAGGAAATAGAGCTGAAAGACCAGGGAAAACAAGGCAGCTAAAGTTTGCAAGATAGAGTACTGGAGAGGAGAGAGCTATAGTGGAAAAAAAAAACTCTTGGGTGTCTGCAGAAGTTTCAAAGAAGTACTAATGAACACATACGCATATGGAAACTACCAAGGCCAGGGAAAGAACCATCTGAAAGGGTCACTCAGGAGGCTGAGGCGGGAAGATCTCTTGAGCCCAGGAGTTGAGGCTGGCCTGGGCAACAGAGCAAGACCTCATCTCTAATGAAATGTTTAAATAAAATAAGAATTTTTTGAAAAAAATAATACTGCCTGGTGCTGACATAGGGCCAAGAAAAGTACACACCAGACAGAATGGAAAGCCTCATTGTTCAAAGGTATTGGGTAGAGTAAACAGAAGGGACTTGCCTCAATAGTGGGAAAAATTTCACCCTAGACCAAGCTCTGCTTTGATCCCACTTAGCAAATCTTAAAAAACAAGACAGATCCTGGGCGTGGTGGCTCACACCTGTAATCCCAGCACTTTGGGAGGCTGAGGTCAGCAGATCACTTGATCTGGTATTGGAGTTCAATACCAGCCTGGCCAACATGGTAAAACTCATGTCTACTAAAAATACAAAAATTAGCCAGGCATGGTAGTGTATTCCTCTAATCCCAGCTACTTGGGAGGCTGAGGCATAAGAATTGCTTGAACCCAGGATGCAGAGGCTGCAGTGAGCCAAGATCACGCCGTTGCACTCCAGCCTGGGTGACAGCGAGACTCTGTTTCAAACAAAACAAAATAAAACAAAACAAGAGAGAAAGTAATTGCTTCTAAGTAATTTAACTGTCTCCCAGAACAAACTCAAGAATATGCATAGAAATACAAAAATTTAGCATTCAGCAAGTTAAAATTTAGTGTCTGGGATACAATAGAAATTACCAGGCATATAGGAAAACATGGCGCATAATGAGGAGACAAATGAGTCCATTGAAACCAACTCAGAACTGACACAAATGTAAAACAAAGACACTAAAAGAGTTACTAAAACTATATTTCACAAAAAGTTAAGTCAAAGCTTGGGAAATATTTTTTAAAAATCTACATTGACCTTTGAGAGATAAAATAAACAGTGGATAGGATGACCAGCAAATTAGACATTGCAGAATAAAATGGTAATAGACTTGAAGATGTAGCAATAAAAGCTATTTTTATTTACATGCAAAATGAAAACAATCAGGGAAAAGATTTTTTTTTCTTTTTTTGAGATGGAGTCTCACTTTGTCACCCAGGCTGGAGTGCAGTGGTGTGATCTCCCGCTCACTGCAACCTCTACCTCCCGGGTTCAAGCGATTCTCCTGCCTCAGTCTCCTGAATAGCTGGGATTACAGATGACTGCCACCAGGCCCAACTAATTTTTGTATTTTTAGTAGAGACAGTGTTTCACCATGTTGGTCAGGCTAGTCTCAAACTCCTGACCTCCTGATCTGCCTGCCTTGGCCTCCCAAAGTGCTGGGATTACAGGCGTAAGCCACAGTGCCCAGCAGGGAAAATATTTTTTTTAATGGAAAGGGCATCAGGAAGTTATCAGAAAGCCTCAAGCAGCCCAGTAACATGCAATTGGCACTCCTGAAAGAGATAATGTCAATTACATTCTTCTATGAATACAGAAAAAAAATATGAGAACAGAAAATAATGATAGAAAAATATTCAAAAATTGAGGAAAGATATAAAGTCATACGTCTAAGAAGTTCAATGAATTTCAAACACAACTCATACTTTAATCAAATTATTCAAAATTGGGTGATAAAGAGAAAATCTTCAAATCAGACAGCAAAAACGGGTATGTTATGTGCAGAAGAACAAACATAAGGGTGACAATGTGTTTTTTACAGGAAATGATGTAAAAGAGAAGAGAATGGAGCATTATTTTAAAATTCCTGGAAGAAAAACACTGTCAACCTAGAAGCTGAAGGAATTCATCACAAGCTGACTCACACTACTACAAATTTTGTAGAAATTAATAAAAATGTTTCCTTCAGTGAGAAGGAAAGCAATACAAGATGGAGGTCAGGATGTACAGAAAGAATGAAGAGCACATTTTGATAACTACCTGTGTAGGTATTATTTTTTCTCATCATTTGAATATCTTAAAAATAAAATAGACAATTTAAACACAATTAATAAATTGTGACAACAATGGAATTAAATTGAGAACCAATAGCAGAATAAACTCTGGAAAATATCCAGTTATTTGAACACCTAAAGCATAACTCTAAATAATTAAATTCTGGAAAATATAATTATTTATATATGAAATAACATAATCCTAAATAGATTAAAGAAGAAATAAGCAGAGAAATTGGAAAATATTCTGAAATAAATGAACATAAAAGCATGATATACCAGAATTTGGGCTAACACAGTAGTTATGAGATAATTTATAGTACTAAAGTCCTACATTAGAATAGGATAAAGTTCTTAAGTCAAGCATATCAGTTTTCAATGAAAGAGACTGGAAAAAATAGCAAAATAAACTAAATGTATGTAAAAGAAAGGAAATAATAAAGATCAGAGCAGAAATCAGTGAAATAGAAAACAGAAAAACAGAGAAAATGAAAGAAACAAAAACATGGTTGAGAAGCTCAATAAAGTTGACAAAGCACTAGCCAGACTGAGAAGGAAAGAAAGGGAATGAGAACACAAATTAGCAATATAGAAAATGAGAGATGTGCCATTATTACAGATCCTACAGAAAGTAAAAGAATACTATTATAAATAGTGCTGCAATAAACATATGTGTGCATGTGTCTTTATAGTAGAATGATTTATATTCCTTTGGGTATATAGTCAGTAATGGGATTGCTGGGTGAAATGGTATTTCTGGTTCTCTATCCTTGAGGAATCACCACACTATCTTCCACAATGGTTGAACTAATTTACATTCCCACTAACAGGGTAAACGCGTTCCTATTTCTCCACATCCTCTCCAGTATCTGTTGTTTCCTAACTTTTAAATGATCACCATTATAACTGGTGTGAGATGGTGTCTCATTGTGGTTTTGATTTGGATTTCTCTAATGACCAGAGATGATGAGCTTTTTTTCACTTGTTTGTTGGCCGCATAAAATCTTCTTTTGCAGCACTATTTATAATAGTAAAGACTTGGAACCAACCCAAATGCCCATCAATGATAGACTGGATAAAGAAAATGTGGCACATATACACCATGGAATACTATGCAGCATAACAAAGAATGAGTTCATGTTCTTTTTTTTTTTTTTTTAAATTCAGTCTCCATAGAGACTGTCAAAAATTGCCAATGTCAACTATATTTCAAGTCATCATGGCGGAGTATTGGGAAAAGTTTTCAATTAGCCATAATCGCGCCTCGGATAAACCTCATTGGCTACGATACTGCCACTGCACAAAGCTGAGTTCATGTTCTTTGCAGGGGCATGGATGAAGATGGAAACGATTATTCTCAGCAAACTAACACAGGAACAGAAAAGCAAACACTGCATGTTCTCACTCATAAGTGGGAGCTGAACAATGAGAACACATGGACACAGGAAGAGGAACATCACACACCAGGGGCGGGGAGGAAGAGCAAGGGGAGGGATAGCATTAGGACAAATACCTAATGCATGCAGGGCTTAAAACCTAGATGATGGGTTGATGAGGGCAGCAAACCATGATAGCACATGTATACCTATGTAACAAACCTATATGTTCTACACATATATCCCAGAACTTAAAGTATAATTTAAAAAAAAAGAATATTACAGATTTTTTTTTTCTGAGACGAAGTCTCACTCTGTCACCCAGGCTAGAGTGCAGTAGCATGATCTTAGCTCACTGCAACCTCTGTCTCCCAGGTTCAAGCGATTCTCATGCCTCAGCCTCCCGAGCAGCTGGGACCACAGATGTATGCCACCATGCCAGGCTAATTTTTTTGTATTTTCAATAGAGATAGGGTTTTACCATGTTGGCCAGGCTGGTCTCGAACTTGTGACTTCAGGTGATGCACCCACCTTGGCATACACTACCATGCCTGGCTAATTTTTGTATTTTTAGTAGACATGAGTTTTACCATGTTGGCCAGGCTGGTATTGAACTCCAATACCAGATCAAGTGATCTGCTGATCTCAGCCTCCCAAAGTGCTGGGATTACAGGTGTGAGCCACCACACCCTATTATGTCAATAAATTTGACAACTTAAATGAATGCTTATTCAGAATAGCCAAAGAGTAGAAACAATCCAAATGTCCATCAACTGATGACTGGATAAATACAATGCGGTATATGCAAACAATGACAATATTTGACAATAGAAAGCAATATAGTACTAATACATGCTACAATATGGATGAACTTTGAAAAAAATTATGCTAAGACAGACCTGTGAAGAACCAACAGATAGTCGTAACAGGGACTTGGAAGGAAGTGGGAAGGAGGTGTGTGATTGATTACAAAGGGGCTTCAGGATACTGTGGAAAACAATGTATATGTTCATTATCTCGAGTGTGATGACAGTTTCATGGGGGCATGTGTGTCAAATCTCATCTAAGTGTGCCCTGTTTTTTAAAAAATGGAAAAATACTTCTCTTTATCTACTATAAATCCAAGCCACCATCCCACCCGATTGAGGGCAATTCAGTCTCAGGCAGCATCCAGTTGGCCCCTCCTACCAAAGGACAATGGTAGACTCTAGGAGGCTTACAGCACCCCCCAGACAAGCAAGACCCTCGCCCATGCCTCCAGGGCATCCCCACTCCCAGTCTGCACCCCAGCCTCCTTCCCTGACCCTTGGCTGGGACTCAGTCCTCTGCTCCTGGCCATGAGCTTTAGCCTCTGAGGTGAAAGTCACCAGTCTCTTTGCCCTCCATCAATTAGGTTTTGTAAAAGGCACTGAAGAATTAAAAACTCCTACTGCCTCAGCCAAGGCCTTAGCTCCCAACTGTTCCTCTCCATTCCAAATGCTAAACCCAGATTTACCAAATAGCGCTGGAGCTCAGCAGCCCTGATGCACAGTCCTTGCATCATGTCCCCTGACTAGCACACCTGTTTCCCATCAGTTCAGAATTTGACACTGTTCAAATTCTGAACTGATGGGAAACAGGTGTGCTAGTCAGGGGACAGGGGACCTGAGCAAGGGGAACTCTGACTCACTGCCTCTATCTAACTCAAACATCGTTTAGCTCCTGGTTCCCTAGAGAACATTCTGGGAATTGTCTCCCATCATAACACCTTAATAAAGGCTTAAGCTAATGGTACTTGGATGTTTTCCCTCTCCTTCCACAAGTTTACATGTGTTGTTCCTTCCAAGCCAAGAAACATGTTTTCCCAGGAAGAAATCAGCCTCATCAGGGGCCCAGGGATGTCCCCTAACGAGTAATGTTGTCAGGGCAGCCTTGTGCAAGGCTGGACCCTGGCCACACTGCACCCACCCAAACCGCCGTGTCACCCTGCAACCCCACAGGCAGATTCAACTTAAAAGGCACTTCCCACAAGCTGCGAGTGTGAGGTCAGAGTACAGGTCAGGAAGTACAGGTCAGGCCAGAGCATAGGGTACAAGGAGCTTGACCAGGAACCATCTCTTAGCTTTTATAATGCTTCCTGAACCCAGGCAGCGAGTGTTGGGGGAGTTTTAGTGCTTGTTTTCCGCAGGCCCAGCTCATCACAATCCATGTTTGAGGTTTCCTGAAGTCTGTGCCTTAGCAGCTTCCTCCTCCACTGCAGGCAGAAGGCAATAACTTCCAATTCCTCTGGATCTGGGGAAGGTTCTCTCAAACCCTGGAGGAGAGAAAGATAATTAAGCACTGGGGGACACTGGGTACTTGCCCAGCTTCAGCTGATTGGAGTCTTCCTTATGGGATTCCTCTGAGCGGGGTGGGGACCAGCTTTCTGACCTTCTAGCCCTAATCCCTAGTTGTTACAGGGATCAGGGAATCACATTTGGAGAGGTGGCCTGAACTGGAGCCTACCCATTCTGGAAGAAGAAGCAAAACACACCAAAGGGCTTTCTATTGATCCCAGTGAAAAGTTCTAAGAATGTAGCTGGTTTTTAAGAATTTTCCCTCTACTCCTAGTTCTTCCTCCCTTTGGATATTACTTTATTTGGTTTGTTTCATGCAGAATATCCATGGGTCTTTAGGCCGGTGGCCCAAGCAGAGCCAGGACATAGGTGTATGCTGTGGATGCTCCGCCTGGCATCCAAATGGTTCAGAGATGCGGGAAAGGCAGTAGTCCTGCCTCAGTGCTGTGCCTGGTTCTGCAGGATCAGTAGAAAGCTGTGGGCTGTGGCCAGGGCTCGCGGGGAGGGAGAGCTGCTGCTCCTCAGGGGCCAGGCCTGAGTTTTTCTCTCAGCTTTCTGTATATTCAAGGGTCTCTGGAACTTGTAGTTGAAATCGCCACACTTTTCAAATGCTTTTCACTGAGCATGTTTCATCGGTGTACTATGAACTTAACTGGTACAAAGTCTCTTTAAATTTGAAATGAAAATTCTCATTCTGTTTTCAGCACCTCTACACACTAGACCGCTAGTCCAGATCTGTGGCTTTGTGGAGTTTACATTCTAAGAAAAGAGCCAGATAAATAAACACATGCAAGAAACGAAAACAAATTTATATTTACAAACTGATGAGTGCTACAAAAGAATCATACAACACCCTAAGGTAGAGGAAAATGAGTGATCTAGTTGAGCTACAGTGAAGGTGTGTCATCGCTTCTGAGGAGATGGAATTCCAGTTCAGGTCTATAGGATAACAAGGAACCAGGCAGGGGCGGTGGAAGTGCAGGGGCGGGGGTGGGTCTCGAACATGTGGAATAGCACAGAGGCCCCAGGCACGGTGCTCTGGTGGGCACTTAAATATTTTCTATTTCCAGCTTCCACTTAAGATACAGAAAGCTGGAAAGAGTGTTGCTCTCACTCTAACAAGGAGAAAAAAGTCAGATAATTCACAAAAATATAATCTTTCTTGAACCTGTCAGAGAGCTAAGGTTGAAGGGCAATTAACTAGTTAGTTAGAAAAGCCAACCACCTCCAAGGAGAGACAGAGATAAGCACCGGCTTACACAGGACAGAGAGTAGGAGGAAGATGGGCTGGCATGTAATCTGATAAGAAGATTTAGTCCAGGCCAGACACCATGGCTCACGCCTGTAACCTCAGCACTTTGGGAGGCCAAGGTGGGCGGATAACAAGGTCAGGAGATTGAGACCAGTCTGGCCAATATGGTGAACCCCTGTCTCTACTAAAAATATAAAAATTAGCTGGGCGTGGTGGCACCCACCTATAGTCCCAACTAATTGAGAGGCTGAGGCAGGAGAATTGCTTAAACCTGGAAGGCAGAAGTTGCAGTGAGTCGAGATGATACCACTGCACTTCAGCCTGGTGATACAGCGAGACTCTGTCTCCAAAAGAAAAAAAAAATTTAGACCAAAACTGTAACAAACAGCCAAGAATAGGCTAGTGTGAGTGTTTAGAACCCATGGAGCCACAACACAAGACAAGTCCACATCTTGGCATAGGGTTCTGTCTAGGACTTCACTCATGAGAAAGACTTGAGCCAGGATAGGAACCTGGGAATACCTCCCTGTGGCACAGACTTTGGAAAGAGAGCAGCCACCATTCCACAAAAGCATGAATTCCCACCCAAATCTGTGTCCTTTGTGGAACAAAAGCCTTAAGCAACTAAGGGACGGACAGCAAACTGAGCATAAGGTAATGGCTGTGCGTGGTGGCTCATGCTTGTAATCTCAGCACTTTGGGCAGCTGAGGCAGGGGGATAGCTTGAGGCTAGGAGTTCGAGACCAGCCTGAGCAACATAGTGAGACCGTATATCTACAAAAAATTAAAAATTAGCCTGGTCCAGTGGCATGTGCCTGTAGCCCCAGCTACTCAAAAGGCTGAGGCAGAGGACTGCTTGAACCCAGAGTTCAAGGCTGCACTGAGTTCTGCATTCCAGCCTGAGTGGCACAGCAAAACTGTCTCTTAAAAAATTTTTTTTAATAAAAATGAAAAAAACGAGGCTGGGCAAGGTGGCTCATGCCTATAATCCCAGCACTTTGGGAGGCCAAGGCAGGCGGATCACCTGAGGTCAGGAATTCCAGACTAGACTGACCAACGGGGGGAAACCACGTCTCTACTAAAAAAAAAAAAAAATTTTTTAATAAGCTGGACGTGATGGCACATGTCTGTAATCCCAGCTACTTGGGAGGCTGAGGCAGGAGAATCACTTGAACCCAAGAGGCAGAGGTTGCGGTGATCTGAGATTGCACCATTGCACTCCAGCCTGGGCAACAAAAGCAAAACTCCATCAGAAAAAAAAAAAAATCCTCAAGGTAACACTAGCAAATTTGATACTAGTGGTGCATCAACAATGACTATAACAATAAAACCCAAACTCAGATAATCTCCTGAGTATAGTGGCTCACCCAACACTCTAAAGGCCTAAATTTTCAGGCATAAATACTATTTAGTTCTTCTCTGCCAGTCTACACATAATGTCAAGTTTTGTACAGAAAATTATGAGGTGTGCAAAAAAACAAAAAACAAAACCAAAAAAGCAATGCACTGTCAAGAGATAAAACAAACAAAACCCAGAGTCAGATATAAACCACAGGTTGAAATTTTCAGATAGGAAAATTAAAATAGTATGAGTGGGAAAGTGGACAAAAATGCATGAAAAATGGAGAATTTTAATAAAAAGATAAAAACTATTAAAAACAAACAGAATGCTAGATATAAGAAAAAAACATGGTAATAGCAATAAAGAATGCTTTGATAGACTCATTAGAAGACTAGATACAGCTGAAGAAATAATCAGTGGAACTGAAAGTAGGTTGAGAGAAATTAGTCAAACTGAAACACATAGGAATCAGGGGACAGATGTGGGGAAGGAATGAAGTTAAATATAGCCACTAAGAAGAAGGTAGGGTATCCTGTGAATGTCTGCAGCTTGCCATGTGTCTGTGGGCCTCTGACCCTGAGTTGTGCATGCATGTATACCCCAGGCTGGCACCCACTCTCTGAGTCAGCACTTACCCGGAGACTCGCAGCTTCTGTGGCCCTCATGGTCTTGAAGACAGCCTGGAGGAGCTGCTGTGCATTTTCCACTAGGAGCTCTTCAGAGGACTTGCTTCTTGCCAGGGAGGCCTTTACACTTGGAAGTGTACAGGAGAAAAGTGAATCTTATTCCAGGTAAGAGATGCAATCTCACATAAGTACTGGGATGTTTTATAATATGACTCTCTTCTAGAAAGCTGGGATGCTTCTGTGAGGACTGAGGACTATTCAGAGAAAGAATATTCTTTTTATTTTATTGTATTTTTTTCTTGAGAGAGAGTCTCACTCTGTCACCCAGGCTGGAGTGCAGTGGCACAATCTCAGCTTACTGCAATGTCTGCCTCCCAGGTTCAAGCAATTCTCCCACCTCAGCCTCACGAGTAGCTGGGACCACAGACATGCACCACCACATCTGGCTAATCTTTGTATATTTAGTAGAGATGGGGTTCTGCCATGTTGGCCAAGCTGGTCTTGAACTCATGGCCTCAAGCAATCCTCCTGCTTCAGCCTCCCAAAGTGCTGGCATTACAGGTGCAAGCCACCACTCCCAGCACAGAAAAAGAATGTTCTAAAGGTCTAAATTAACTTTTTTAAATAACATTTTTATTTAAGAAAATATGACAGTGTCTATAAATTAACAGGAAGTATTTTTTCAATGAAAACAGAATTAGAACTAATGCCAACTACCATATCTAATGAAAAGGAATGAGAAACTTTGTATAGAATTGTTTTGGGGGCTAAGATTAAAAGTTCTCATCAAAAATCAGTCCTGTACTTCCTAATTAAATTGCACATCTCAATGGTATTCGTTTGAAACTAAATGTAACTAAATTTAGTTAAACAAGTTGTTCTCTACACTGAGAATTAAAATGCTGTGAAACTTAAGTGCAAAATTTCAGGACTTCCAGATCCTTTAGAAGATTGACAGCTTGATAAATACACCTGTGTTTTTAAAAAATCATGCCTTTTTATTGTCTGTATTTTGGAGACTGCCAGTTCCTAAGGCTAGTCAACTCCTAGGGATAAATGACTCACCTCTAAGCACACCTTCCATAGGCAAACCAACCAGTCCAGAGCCCACACTCACCAACCACTTCCATCATCAAGCTCTGACGTTCCAGGCTGCTAGTCACCTGCCCTAATCATCCCAAGGCCAGGTTCCAGACAGCTAGAGACAACCCCAGTGCCCCAGAGCCCACTGAAATGATTCAAACTAACCAGTCCTAAACTGCAAAGCCACTTTCCCTTTCTCACCCATCCCTTCCTGTGAAAACCACAGTAAATGCCCTTGCCCATGGTTCCTCCTGACTTCTGCCTTTTGACTAACCCTGGTGCTTCCCTGGTGGCCCTGCATGGCATCCGTGCCTTCCATGTCTAGTGAGTATAACTTCCTCCTTCATGATGGTCTTTTCCTTGTCTGAGTGTTTCATATCCATGTCTACCTGATTAAAGCAAGTCTCGGGTACTCTTACAACAATACTCATATTTGCAACACTAAAATTAATTGTAGTTGCTGTATCTTTGGTTGAAAACTTTTGGTAGCTAATTCTTTTTGTTTTGTTTTGTTTTTGAGACAGTCTCACTCTGTCGCCCAGGCTGGAGTGCAGTGGCGAGATCTCAGCTCACTGCAACCTCCGCCTCCCAGATTCAAATGATTCTCCAGCCTCAGCCTCTTGAGTAGCTGGGACTACAGGCATGCACCACCACGCCCAGCTAATTTTTGTATTTTTAGTAGAGATGGGTTTCATGATGTCGGCCAGGCTGGTCTCGAACTCCTGACCTTGAGTGATCTGTGCACCTCAGCCTCTCGAAGTGCTGGGATTACAGGCTTGAGCCACTGCACCTAGCCCAGTAGCTAATCTTAAGACAATGATGTGCCTAAAATATTATTTTATGGAGAACAGAAACCAGGTTTTATTTTTAATTTTAAAACAATTTATGTGTCTTGGTTTTGACAGTACAATTTTTATGCCTTACAACAATTGATAATAGTTTTAACCATTAAGCTCTTCCATAACACAAGAATATTACTAAATGAAGTTAGTTTTTGGTAAATATGCTGTTGTATAAATGAAGGGACTCAGGTTGAAATGAAACCTGATTCCATAATTATGTTGTGATGTTCTCTATTACCAATAATGAAGTTGTTATAAAGAAACAAATAATGGAAATTGCTCAGTTCCAGAGTTTGAGCATATCAAATAGATTAACCTTCACATAAGCACTGTGCTGGCATTGTTTTTCTTAGGCAGATACAATTGCAGTGCATTTACTTTGCAATTAATGTATTTTGTTAGATATGATTAGTAAAAACACAAATGAGAGGTAATGGTCAAAATTTAGACACTGTTTGTATGAGATGGAGTCTCACTCTGGACTGGAGTGCACTGGCACGATCTTGGCTCACAACCTCCGCCTCCCAGGTTCCAGCTATTCTTCTGCCTCAGCCTTCCAAGTAGCTGGGATTACAGGTACCCGCCACTAGGCCCATCTCATTTTTGTATTTTTGGTAGAGATGGGGTTTCACCATGTTGGCCAGGCTGGTCTGGAACTCCTGACCTCAAGAGATCCAAGCATCTCAGCTTCCCAAAGTGCTGGGATTACAAGCGTGAGCCACCGCGCCCAGCTCGGGCATTGTTTTTGTTTTAAAGTAAGCTCAGTCCTTTGTGTTTGTAGATTAACCCTGCAGCGCTGTAAAGCAGCAGTCTCACTGGAGTCAGTGCCTGGCATTTTGAAGGGAGAAGAAACCAGTGTTAAAGGACAGCATAAGTTCTAACATATTTCACTTTAAAAATTTTCTTATGGTTACTTTATGTTCACACTTGCTCAGAAATTAGTTTTCCAAGTTAAATCTTTTCTTTCTTGTATATAACATCAGATATACTATAGTTGTGATAAAATGAGAAATGGCTCTAGCTCAAGTGTGTTTTTTGCCCTCTGTAATGTTTTAAAATATTGTCAATATTTATTTGATATATTACAAATAAATGTAAATTCTTGGAGAATAAAAAATTAAAAGAAGGCCGGTTGTGATGCCTCATGCCCAGCACTTTGGGAGGCTGAGGAGGGTCAATCACTTGAGTCCAGGAGTTGAAGATCAACATGGGCAACATAAAGAGATCTCGTCTCTACAAAAAATCAAAAAATCAGCTGGGTGTGGTGGCATGCACCTATGGTCACAGCTATGTGGGAGGCTGAGATGAGAGGATCAGTTGAGCCCAAGAGGTTGAGGCTGCAGTAACCCATGGTAGTGCACCTGCACTCCAGCCTGGGTGACAGAGACCCCATATCCAAAAAAACAAAATAAAAAGGAGTATATATTTTAAAGGAATGACCTCACCCCTACCTCCACCTCTACCCCCAGGTCTTGAGAAAGCAGAGCTACTTCCTACCTGGAGATGATGTGGAGCTGGTTGCTCAGTGTTTGAATCTGCTCCACCACACACAAAAGCTCCTGGGAACATCTTTGGTCTATGCAGTTCTTAGCAATGATGCAGATGAGTCTGGCAAAGTTTTGTCCAGAAGACGCAATTTTCCTGGCAGAGGCAATGAGCTGATCTTTGGTCTATACCAAAGAAATGAGAGTTAGAATATCAAGAAATTGATGGCAGAAGTGTCTAAAACTTGCTTGGCACAACTTACTTCAGCCCACAAAATGAACATATTTTAGCTTAAACCGTGATCTCCTGAACCTCCTCCAAAGGCTTCAAGTCTTCCTGGGTTAGTAAAAAGTTTACTCTCCTGAAAGGCAGCAGAATGACATGGCAGGGGCCCATCCGCCTGTGTGGGGCTGCTGAAGAGAAGGAGGTCCAGCCTCCTGGTCATGGTCTAGCCCGTCCCCACAGAGGCTGTGGCTTCCACTGGGCTCAGAGTTAGTTTTCAGCAGGCCCAGGACAGGTATGAGGGTGCCAGGGAGGGTCAGGTGTGGGAAACATCCAGGGTGGTGGCGGAAACCAAGGGGTAGAGGACTAGTCACATGTAGAGCTTACCAGCTGGGAACAGATGATTCAGAGACTAGTGAGAGAAGCCACCTATTCGTTAGCTGATTTAAAATTTTGACCTTTTTGGGACTCACTTTTCCTTACTTTAAAAAGAGAGATTTGGAAAATAAATAAAAGAATAAATAAATAAATAAAAAGATAAGAGAGATTTGGACTAAATCAACAGTTTTCAATTTCTTTTCTATTTTTTCTTAAGCAACAGAACCCTCTATTCAAATAAAATCTTGGCCGGGTATAGTGGTTCATGCCTGTAATCCCAGCACTTTGAGAGGCCAAGGTGGGCAGATCACAAGGTTAAGAGTTCAAGACTAGCCTGGCCAACATGGGGAAACCCCGTCTCTACTAAGAATACAAAAATTAGCCAAGTGTGATGGCACACCCCTGCAGTCCCAGCTACTTGGGAGGCTGAGGCAGGAGAACTGCTTGAACCTGGAAGGCAGAGGTTGCAGTGAGTCACCATACTCCAGCCTGGGCAACAGAGCAATACTCCATCAGGAAAACAAACAAAAAGCAAATAAAATCTTAAACATAGCCAGGTGCAGTGGCTCATGCCTATAATCCCAGTACTTTGGGAGGCCAAGGTGGTAGGATGGCTTGAGCTCAGGAGTTTGAGACTAGCCTGGGCAACATAGTGAGACCTCATCTTTCCAAGAAAGAATTAGCTGGGTACAGTGGTGTGCTAGTAGTCCCAGCTACTCAGGAGGTTGTGCTGCGAGGACTGCTTGAGCCCAGGAGGCTGAGGCTGCAGTGAGCTATGATTGTGTCACTGCACTCCAGCCTGGGCAACGGAGCAAGACCTTGTCTCTAAAAAAAAAATCTTCAACATACTGATGAAAGTTGAGGCAACTAATGCAAATAAAAGATAGGCTGCTCCAGCAAATATAGAGCCATACCAAAACCTCACTGCCGATTGAGGACTCAAGATGGTGCTGTGAGAACAACTCAGGATTCAAGCTCTCGGTGAATGTGCGGAGAGGTGAGTCAGAGCTGCATTTCCAGACTGATCTTTGTTGCCCACAGAATGGGGAAATTCCCAGGTATAAAGGAGACGCGGGATGCCAGGCAGAGGTTTTGTCTGGTGCAGCCGGCAGCCGGGGTGGCGGTGGCTGGCCCTAAACAGCGCTCCGCACAGGGCGCGCTTGTCTGGGTGCCCTGTTGAACCGGCAACCTGAGACTTGAGAGGGCTGAACTTGAGACTGAACGGGACTTGGACAGTGGGCCAGCCCAGGGGATTGCAGGGACACAGCGTTTGGGGTAGCGCAGTGGGACGGACAAAACGGTGATTCCAAACGCTCCCGGTAAAATCGTTCCCTGAGACGCTCCGAGGGGGAGGGGCGTCCACCATTACCGAGGCAATCCGCCCCCACTGAGATACACGCCCACTGCTGACACGGCCTGCCATTGCCGAGGCAACCCGATACAACAGAGAGACTCCGCCGCAGGGCATAGCCTGTGGCAGCAGGGCAGAGACTGCAGCAGAAGAACAGAGCCTACAGCAACAGGGTGAACCTCACACCAGCAGGGCAGAGCCTTGGCAGGCAAATAGTGACTAGACTGCCTCCTAGCTGGGCAGGACACCTCAATGGACATCCAAAAATAAAGCCCTATCCCCCAAGACAGAGCATCTAAGAAAAAAAGGGTTTTTTAATGAGCTCTGTTGCAGCAGAATTAAACATAGCAGCCTAACAACCCTGAACGAATAACAGAGCTCACAGCTCAGCAATTGAGCTCCTAAAAAGTACAGACTGTCTCCTCAAGCAGCTCCCTGACCCCTCTATATCCAAAAGACTGACATTTGGCAGGCATCATCCTGGGACAAAGATAGCAGAAAAAGAAACTGGTAGCATCCCTCACTGTTCTGCAGCTGCTATAGGTGCACCCCAGACAAGCAGGGCCTGGAGTGGACCTCAGCAGTCGTACAGCGAAGGGGCTAGACTGGTAGAAGGAAAACCAAGTAACAGAAATACTCCATCACCAACAATCTGGGTGTCCACTCAGAGACCCAATCGAGAAGTCAGCAACTACGCAGATGACAGGTGGATAAATCCACAAAGATGGGAAGAAACCAGCACAAAAAGGAGGAAAACACCCGAAACCAGAACACCTCGCCTCCTAGAAAGGACCAAAACTCCTCACCAGCAAGGGAACAAAGCTGGACGGAGAATGACTGTGACGAAATGACGGAATGAGACTTCAGAAGGTGGATAATGAGAAACTTTTGTGAGCTAAAAGAACATGTTTTAAATCAATGCAAAGAAACTAAGAACCTTGAAAAAAGATATGAAAAAAGATTCGAGGAAATGATAACAAGAATGGATAACTTAGAGAGGAATATGAATGAATTAAAGGAGCTGAAAAACACAATACGAGAACTTCGCGAAGCATGCACAACTTTCAATAGCCGAATTGACCAAGCAGAAGAAAGAATATCAGAAGTCGGAGATCAACTCAATGAAATAAAACGAGAAACCAAGATCAGAGAAAAAAAGCGCAAAAAGGAATGAACAAAGTCTCCAAGAAATGTGAGACTATGTGAAAAGACCTAACCTACGTTTGATAGGTGTACCAGAAGGGGACGAAGAGAATGAATCCAAGCTGGAAAATACTCTTCAGGACATTATCCAGGAAAATTTTCCCCACCTAGCAAGACAGGCCAACACTCAAATGCAGGAAATACACAGAACACCACAAAGATATTCTGTAAGAAGAGCAACCCCGAGGCACATAATCATCAGATTCAACAAGGTTGAAATAAAGGAGAAAATACTAAAGGCAGCCAGAGAGAAAGATCGGGTCACCCACAAAGGGAAGCCCATCAGACTCACAGCAGATCTCTTGGCAGAAACACTACAAGCCAGAAGAGAGTGGGGGCCAATATTCAACATCCTTAAAGAAAAGAACTTTCAACCCAGAATTTCATATCCAGCCAAACTGAGCTTCAGAAGTGAAGGAAAAATAAAATCCTTTGTGAACAAGCAAGTACTCAGAGATTTTGTCACCACCAGGCCTGCTTTACAAGAGCTCCTAAAAGAGGCACTACACATAGAAAGGAACAACCAGTACCAGCCATTCCAAAATCACACTAAATGCTAAAGAGCATCAACATAATGAAGAATCTACAACAACTAACGGGCAAAACAGCCACTTAGCATCAAAATGGCAGTATCAAATTCACACATAACAATATTAACCCTAAATGTAAATGGACTAAATGCACCAATCAAAAGACACAGACTGGCAAATTGGATAAAAAGCCAAAACCCATCAGTGTGCTGTATCCAGGAAACCCATCTCACATGCAAGGATACACAAAGGCTCAAAATAAAGGGATGGAGGAAGATTTACCAAGCAAATGGAGAGCAAAAAAAAGCAGGAGTTGCAATTCTCATCTCTGATAAAATAGACTTTAAAGCAACAAAGATCAAAAGAGACAAAGAAGGCCATTATATAATGGTAAAAGGATCGATACAACAAGAAGAGCTAACGATCCTAAACATATATGGACCCAATGCAGGAGCACCCAAGTACATAAGGAAAGTTCTTAATGACTTACAAAGAGACTTAGACTCCCACACAATAATAGTGGGAGACTTTAACACTCCACTGTCGATATTAGACAGATCAACCAGACAGAAAATCAACAAGGATATCCAGGACTTGAACTCAGACTTGGAGCAAGCAAACCTGATAGACATTTATAGAACTCTCCACCCCAAATCCACAGAATATACATTCTTCTCAGCACCACATCACACCTACTCTAAAATTGACCACATAATTGGAAGTAAAGCACTCCTCAGCAAATGCAAAACAACTGAAATCATAACAAACAGCCTCTCAGACCATAGTGCAATCAAGTTAGAACTCAGAATTCAGAAACCAACCCAGAACTGCACAGCTTCATGGAAACTGAACAACTGGCTCTTGAATGTTGACTGGGTAAACAATGAAATGAAGGCAGAAATAAAGGAGTTCTTCGAAACCAATGAGAACGAAGACACAACGTGCCAGAATCTCTGGGACACATTTAAAGCAGTCTCTAGAGGAAAGTATATAGCAATAAGTGCCCATATGAGGAGAATGGAGAGATCCAAAATTGACACCCTATCGTCAAAATTGAAAGAGCTAGAGGAGCAAGATCAAAAAAACTCAAAACCCAGCACAAGACAAGAAATAACTAAGATCAGAGCTGAATTGAAGGAGATTGAGACACGAAAAACCCTTCAAAAAATCAATAAATCCAAGAGCTGGTGTTTTGAAAAGATCAACAAAATAGACAGACCACTAGCCAGATTGATTAAAAATAAAAGAGGGAACAAACAAATAGATGCAATAAAAAATGATAAAGGGGAAATCACTACAGATTCCACAGAAATTCAAACCATCATCAGAGAATATTACAAACAACTCTATGCACATAAACTAGTAAACCTGGAAGAAATGGATAAATTCCTGGACTCCTGTGTCCTCCCAAGCCTAAACCAGGAGGAAGCTGAAACTATGAATAGACCAATAACAAGGTCAGAAGTTGAGGCAGCAATTAAGAGCCTACCAAACAAAAAAAAGCCCAGGTCCAGATGGGTTCACAGCCGAATTCTACCAGACACACAAAGAGGAGCTGGTACCATTCCTTCTAAAACTATTCCAAATAATCCAGAAAGAGGGAATCCTTCCCAAATCATTTTATGAGACCAACATCATCCCGATAGCAAAACCCGGCAGAGACCCAACAAGAAAAGAAAACTTCAGGCCAATATCCATGATGAACATAGATGCAAAAATTTTCAATAAAATATTGGCAAGCCAATTGCAACAGCAAACCAAAAAACTTATTCATTATGATCAAGTAGGATTCATCCCGGGGATGCAAGGCTGGTTCAACATATGCAAGTCTATCAACGTAATTCACCACATAAACAGAACCAAAAACAAAAACCACATGATTATCTCAATTGACGCAGAGAAGGCATTTGACAAAATTCAACAGCCCTTTATGCTAAAAACCCTCAATAAACTCGGTATCGACGGAACGTATCTCAAAGTAATAAAAGCTATTTATGACAAACCAACAGCCAATATCATACTGAATGGGCAAAAACTGGAAGCATTCCCTTTGAAATCCGGCACTAGACAAGGATGCCCTCTTTCACCACTCCTATTCAACATAGTACTGGAAGTTCTAGCCAGAGCAATCAGGCAAGAAAAAGAAATAAAGGGTATTCAAATAGGAAAGGTGGAAGCCAAATTGTCTCTATTTGCAGACGACATGATAGTATACCTAGAAGACCCCATCGCCTCAGCCCAAAAACTCCTGAAACTGATAAGCAACTTCAGCAAAGTCTCAGGATACAAAATCAATGTGCAAAAATCACATGCATTCCTATACACCAATAACAGACTTAAAGAAAGCCAAATCAAGAGCGAACTGCCATTCGCAACTGCTACAAAAAGAATAAAATACCTTGGAATACAACTCACAAGGAACGTAAGGGACCTCTTCAAGGAGAACTACAAACCACTGCTCAATGAAATCAGAGAGGACACAAACAGATGGAAAAACATTCCATGTTCTTGGTTATGAAGAATTAATATCATGAAAATGGCTATCCTGCCCAAAGTAATTTACAGAATCAATGCTATCCCCATCAAGCTACCATTGACTTTCTTCACAGAACTGGAAAAAACCACCATGAACTTCATATGGAACCAAAAGAGAGCCCGCATAGCCAAATCAATTCCAAGCAAAAAGAACACAGCAGGGGGCATCACACTACCGGATTTCAAACTATACTACAAGGCTACAGTAATCAAAACAGCATGGTACTGGTACCAAAACAGAGATATAGACCAATGGAACAAAACAGAGGCACCGGAGGCAACACAACATATCTACAACTATACAATCTTTGATAAACCTGACAAAAACAAGCAATGGGGAAAGGATTCCCTGTTTAACAAATGGTGTTGGGAAAACTGGCTAGCCATGTGCAGAAAGCAGAAACTGGACCCCTTCCTGACACCTTACACTAAAATTAACTTCAGATGGATTAAAGACTTAAACATAAGACCTGGCATGATAAAAACCCTAGAAGGAAATCTAGGCAAAACTATCCAGGACATAGGAGTAGGCAAGGACTTCATGAACAAAACACCAAAAGCATTGGCAACAAAAGCCAAAATAGACATATGGGGCCTAATCAAACTCCACAGCTTCTGCACAGCAAAAGAAACAGTCACTAGAGTGAATCGGCAACCAACAGAATGGGAAAAAATGTTTGCAGTTTACCCATCTGACAAAGGGCTGATATCCAGAATTTACAAAGAACTCAAACAGATCTACAGGAAAAAAACAAACAAGCCCATTCAAAAGTGCGCAAAGGATATGAACAGACACTTTACGAAAGAAGACATATATGAGGCCAACAATCATATGAAAAAATGCTCATCGTAACTGGTCATCAGAGAGATGCAAATCAAAACCACATTGAGATACCATCTCACGCCAGTTAGAATGGCGATCATTAAAAAATCTGGAGACAACAGATGCTGGAGAGGATGTGGAGAAATAGGAACACTTTTACACTGTTGGTGGGAGTGTAAATTAGTTCAACCATTGTGTAAGACAGTGTGGCGATTCCTCAAGGCCTTAGAATTAGAAATTCCACTTGACCCAGCAATCCTATTACTGGGTATATATCTAAAGGACTATAAATCGTTCTACTATAAGGACACATGTACACGAATGTTCATTGCAGCACTGTTTACAATAGCAAAGACCTGGAATCAACCCAAATGCCCATTGATGATAGACTGGATTGGAAAAATGGGCACATATACACCATGGAATATTATGCAGCAATCAGAAATGATGAGTTTGTGTCGTTTGTAGGGACATGGATGAATCTGGAGAACATCATTCTCAGCAAACTGACACAAGAACAGAAAATGAAACACCGCATATTCTCACTCACAGGCGGGTGATGAAAAATGAGAACACATGGACACAGGGAGGGGAGTACTAAACACTGGGGTCTATTGGGGGGAAAAGGGGAGGGCCAGCGGGAGGGGTGGTGGGGAAGGATAGCCTGGGGAGAAATGCCAAATGTGGGTGAAGGGGAGAAAGGAAGCAAAACACACTGCCATATGTGGACCTATGCAACTGTCTTGCATGTTCTGCTCATGTACCCCCAAACCTAAAATGCAATAAAAAATTTAAAAAATATATATATATATATAATATTAAAAAAAAAAAACCTCACTGCCTTGTCTGGGATGAGTGGGAAAGTGGCCCTTCAACAGGCTATAGGAAGTAGACATAGTCAGAAGAGGAAACCCCAGGAAACACCACAAGTCTTGCTGGTGAAGGCACCGGCACCCTGCAGAGAGGATAGACTTCCCCTCCCCAAATCTGGTTCAGATGTCAGGACTGATGATGCCATTTGTGAACCCAGAAGGTATGAAAAGGGTTGTGACTCACAGAAGGAGGCTTTCCAGAAGAGCAGGGCAGGCTCCCAACCAGGTGAAATGGCTTGAGAGAGCAAGGCAAGGAGACTGGCTTGGGTTTTAGGCTGATTGGCTGGGAAGAGGGCTTCCACACACGGGCCAGGGTTATGTGGCTTAAGCTTCCCACTGGTGTCAAAGGAGGTGGTGTCTGGGCTCTCTTATTGGCTTGCCCAGATGGGGGCAGGAAGGGGATAGGAAGGAGTGGGGCTTTCAAGCTGTCAGCAAGCATGAAAAGTGGCATCAGGCTATTGCATCTGCCCTCCCGAGGGGCGTCCTAAATGCCATGAGGAATGGACACTAACTTAGAGGGCAGAACTGAACTTTCCCTGCCCCGTGCTTTTCAGTGGCTGACCCTGGTAGGGAACTACTTCTGGGTTCCCTCTTCTTTGTGCAGCATTCAGCCCAGCTTGTCCAATCAACAAGAAATCACTCCTAATAAACTCAGCGTTAGAAGAATTTGCAATTCCAATCAGAAGGCAGTGGGTACAGCCATGTCTGGTACCTAATTCTAAGCAACTCCAACCCCATGGCAGGCTAGTGGGAGAAACCTTTGGAAACAGGGAAACCTTTGAAATGCAGGATCTGTTCCCAAACAAGCACTTTGCTGTTTGGCACTGTGCTGCTCCTTCCTTCTTAAAGACTCGTGGCAATCCCAAACCAAGAGCCACCCAAGATATCCAAGGTAGCACCACTTGTTTACGACCTCCTAGGAGAATGTGTGGGTCCTCATACCCTTGAAAATCTGTTTTGAATTAGCAAGTGCCTAAAATATATGTTTGGCTTCTCTTTGGATAAGTCTTGGGTCTGGGTGAGCTCGCAGCATCTACCAGCTTTCTTCCTGTACTAAATGGGGTTTGGTTACCTAATTTTAGAAGCATCGGTCTTTAGGGAAGAATGAGAAGGAATACTAAAAGAACAGGAGAAGGAAGGGTAAGTGAGACACCCCTCTGCCCCGTTTTCCTGTGGGTGTTTTATTTTGTACACATAACCGCTACAATCCCCTAACCTGGATAATGACTGCAGGAGTGGCTCTTGCTCTCTGCTGGCACACAGGTGTTCAACAGGCTGATTGGCTGTGGTGGGCAGGGATTGGCAGGAGGATGAGACAAGAAAAGGTCTATGTCTTGGGCATGGTGGGGCTGCTGGGTTTGCCTTTGTAGTCACCTAGTCAGGGGATGCCTTGACACCCACCCTTCTCTCCTGGACCCTCCTCTCTGCCAGGTTGAGAAAGTGAGGCCCCATGTGGCCCAGCCATGAGTTTTGGAGCCAATAGCACCCAGAAGACCCACACTGGAAGGGGTTTCCTGAGTGGCTCTTGGTGACATTCAATTGCTTCCTTTTGGTCCACACATTCAGTAGATGGACTTTTATTTTTTCCCTGTTGGTGCATTGATATTAAACAATGTTTAACTACATTTAATCAAGAAAAGGGATAAAGAGAGATAGAACAGGCCACACATGATTGCAGGTGGCCCCCAGAAGCCAGTGGGAAGCAGCCCTCTCCCCGCTAGGCTGTGTTAGCCCTAAACAGCTATCCTTGAGGTGGTTGCAGTCCTTATTTCCTCTATTTCAGGGAATTTAAAAAGATCTCAGTGGCTCCCTTCAGTTAATCCTTCTGGGATATGAAAGAGATCTTGATTTTACTAAGTTGTAGCTTTTGGAAAATTATCCTTGCTGGTGGGATAAAACAAAGCCTCAGTAACTAAGCCCAAAGGAAGAGGGGGAAACAGACGTGAGGTGGACTTTATGATATGCCCAGAATGAAGACAGTACATAAAATGCTGAGTGCTAAATGGCCCTGCAGTGTGGCCCATCCATCCTGGGAGCTGCCTAGGGCTGCCCCAGTTCCTGAAGGACAGCAGTTGGGAGCCCCGACATCCCCATGCCATGCCCAGTCCTCCCACCACCACGGCTGGCTGAAGCCCAGGTACCAGGATGCATCCTCTCCTCCTCAGACTCTGAGCCATCAGGAACACCTCCGTGGCCATTGCACGAGTGATCCGGGTGATTCTGCTCTCCCCGTTCGTGCTGCTGTCCTCTGGGAGGGGCTGGTTCAGCTCAGTGGGCAGCGCTGCTGTGGCTGAGGAGCCAGAGGACGGGGATTGGCGGCTGCTTTGCTGCTGAAAGAAGACGACAGGCTAGAACTCATAAACTTCTGACACTCAGGCCTTTAAAACAATGGGGAAATCAATTGCCTTTTTATCTTTTTTTTTTTGAAACGGAGTCTCGCTTTCTTGACCAGGCTGGAGTGCAGTGGCGCGATCTCAGCTCACTGCAACCTCCGTCTCTTGGATTCAATTGATTCTCCTGTCTCAGCCTCCTGAGTAGCTGGGATTACAGATGCTCACCAAGTGTGGCCCGGGGGCAAGAAGAGGCAAGGCTGCCAAGCTTCCTGATTTCTCACCCTTGACTTAGAAATTGTCCAGATGCTGAGAACAGCAACCAGCCAGGTGCGTCACTGGAACTGGGTGAAGAGCATCCACAGAGAAGGCCTAACTGCAGGCTGCCTCCCTCTCCAACCACACAGTATCCACTTCCACATCAGGAACAAATCTAAATCTCAGAAGCACTGGGAGAACCTCTGGGTCCAAGCTCATCTCAGAGCTGTTATTGCCTGGGAAGTTCTTCCCACCCTCATTCGCAATTGCAGTCACATACTTCCTTTGAAGCTCAACTTAACACTGCCCTCCTTTTAGGAGACATTTAGAAAATCTGCACTCAAAATCTCTACTGTGCACCAGCAATATGTCAGATACTGTGCATGGCAGGAAGGATCTAAAAAAGGAGTACGAAGGAATCCATAAAGTTTAGGCTTTCTGATCTAGCACATATTGAGAAGTCACCCGGATTTGCTATTGTTTTTGTGTTGCTTCTTCAGTTAATCGTCCCTACCATCTGACACTTTGCAATGTGTTCTGCTGCTTTGTTGGCCTTGTTCTAGATAGAATGGGATGTCCCCTGAATGCTCAAAGGGCTGAGCTGATCCCTCTTCTGGGGTGGGGCCAGTTACACCAGGGGCCAGCAAGCCACCAACACGGGGCCCAGGCATAGGTGAAGAGAAGAGAAGGGGAGAGAAATCTGACACTAAGACTTAACTACAGTGACCAAAGACCAAGAAGGGAGAAAACGGCAAATGTGATTTGGAGGTCCTTGAGCCAAGGGTTAGGAAACTAGAAAGTATTATTTTCAACTCAGGTCTCATATTTAACTGTCAGCAACCTTTCAAGGTCCAAATCTAGAAATGTCCCCAGGCTCTTGAATAATGAAAGAGACCAAGACTTGGGTATTGGACACCCTCATAACTGGAATAAAGGATTTCCAGATGGTGACTTACAAGTGCCCGGAAGATACACAAACCCACTTCCTAAACCCACAATCTCCCTCAGCGGTTCTGATGGCTGTGTGAGGTGCTGTTCTGGGTGGAATGGAGGCTGTGTCTCTGCACCACAGAAGCCCCAGAGAATGAGAGAGTGGGTCAGACACACCTTATGGATGGCGATTCTCCCACACAACTGAGGGTAAGCCCTCAAGGCAGAATCCTTTTTCCTGTGGTTTTCATACTGGAACTGTGTGTATACAAAGACAGCGCTTCTCTGGGGTGGAAACCATGGAATTGTGAGGCTTTGCTCTTCATCCAGAAGAAACCTCCGATGGGAGAGATAATGTCCATTCATGGGCAGGAGTGATAATGGGGCTGAGCTTGCTGCTGTCTCCCAAAGCTGGATGGCCAGCGTCACCCTGCTCTGCACCTATGAGAGACATTCCCTCAGCAGATTTTGATGAGAAGGGGAATGTATCAGGTGAACTGACAGAAACAGAATATGGTAAGTCAGTGAATCCAGTGGCTTGAAGTATGTGCCAGAAAGACCCTATGGAGAAACAGATAAGAAAAGGAGGAGCCCACATGGCACCTGAATTCATGAGACCAGGAGATATGGAGTGAGGCAAGCCTAGAAGATAGTTAGGGTCTGAGCACAGAAGAGTCAGGCTGCAGGGCAAAGGGAACTGTGCCTGCTCTCCCTGCCCCTTTGGGAATAAGGTCCCTTCATATAGTAATGACATCCTATTGAGGCAAGTGAAGTGAAGTGCAACAGGGTGGAGAAACACATGTTCTGGTCAGTTTCATCTCAGGAGAAGGCCCAGGGAACAGTTTGAGGGGGTTTACGCAGCCAAGCATAAGGCCATAACAGAAATAGCTTGGGTTGTGCATCAATTGTTGGGCTAAGCATGTCTGCTTGGGAACTTTGCAGCCACTACCAACCTATGGTAACTTCCCCTGACTTTTGTCATGGGCAAAAATAAGTAAATCAAATGTGTGGGGCCCACAGTGCCTTAGTATCCTTTCTGTTGCCCTGGAAAGAAATGAATGTGTGTGAATGGTGTTCAGTAGACCCAAAATCCTTCCAATAAATCCTTCTTTTCGCCTGTGCTGATTCAAGCTGGATTCAAACAACAGAACCCTGACTGAGGAGGGGGGTAGCATCTCCAGAGGTCAAGGTGGCACACAGCAGCTCGATCCAGAGGATGTCTGTGTCTGTCACAGCAAGGGAATCACTTCCAGTTAGAGTCATCAGGAAAAACTTCATGGAAGACCGTAATAATTATAGCCACCATCTATACTTACTATATGCTAGGCAAGTGCAAATATTTTGCATGCTTTCATTAATTCTTTATCAGGAAATTATCAAAGTTCCCATTTTCTAGAAAAAATTTTGAAGTTCCAAATGGCTACAAAGCTTCTCTGATATCTTACAACAAGGGAATGACAGAGGCAGGTGCAGCCCAGGCAGTCTCCTTCCCAAGTTTGGGCTCCTAAAGTCTGAATGTGCTGCCTGCCTGGTGTGAATTACACACATGGACACCAAGATCACTTTTTCTGGAACTTGGCAGGGTACTAGAAAGAGAACTGAGGTGGGGGTGAAGGAAAGATGCTGAGTATCCTACCATGCCCAGGTCCACTGTGGTTGTCCCAGCAATACAGGTCCTCAGTGAGCTCCCTAGAGGAGTTCTGGGGGCAGCACTCTGAGAATCCACACTGCCCACTGCAGTCGATCCTGCCACATCCTCTTCACAGAGGAACAGGGGTTGGATAGGATCCTGTTCTGGGGCCCTTCTTGGCTCCTCCCCAGGTTTCAAGCACTGGGCCAGATGTCTCCAGGCCTTAGTGTGACCACCTTTCCAGGCCTGCAGCTGGGCCACAGCATGGTGAGCCTTGGCTGCCCACTCCCATTGAAGCCAGTCTGGGATGTGCATTCCCCACTCCTCTGGGTGTTCTTGGAGCACAGGGATCCTCTGGGCCACCTCCTTGGTGAGGGTGAGAATGTTCTCCAGAGCCATAACAAGGTCTTCCTGGCAGGGTCCATATTCCTGACCTTCTACCACAATTCCTTGTACAGCTTGGATACCAGACACCATTCTTTCCAGAGAGCTTTCTGGTCTGGTCTGGGGGTCCTTACAGACAGAGAGCCTTGGGCAGACAACATCTTGGAAGGCACATTCATAGTCTGCATTGATGGTGCTGAGGTGGCTAATCAAGGCCTTGGTTTGAAGGGTGAGCTCCAGACAGAGAAGTTCAAAGCGTGTGGACAAGCTGGGAGATGGTTTGGGGGAGGAGGCCAGGATCTGTGCCACATCCAGCAGAGCATCTGTGAGTACATGAACTTCCCTGCACAGAAAGGACACCTTGCCCTTTTCCTGCTCATCCCCACACAGTAGGCTGGATAGGCTGGCAGCCTCTTGTAGCCTCTGAGAAACATCTGCTGCCTGATCCAACCCTTCCTGCAATCCCTGCTGGTTTTTCATTGCCAGCCGCAGGGGCAGTAGGAACATGCCTTTTTTCCCACTGAGCTGCTCCATGTACTGGAGCAGGTTTTGGACAGCCACTGACCATAGAAGGCACCCATCCTCAATGCTCTCTTCCCATGACTTGGGGGCTTGGAGACCATCAAAGGTCAAAACCTTGTCAAACAACTGTTTAGCATAGGTGTCTGCCTCCTCCAATCTAGCTTGCATTTGTAAAAGCACTTCTGGACGCTGAGTTGAATCAAGGTCATTTTTATCCAAATCCATGGGCCCACTTTTAGCTGCTAGTTGAACCACTGAGGCTAAATTCTGCTGAAGCTCCAGGAACACTGCTGTACTTTGTGGCAGATCAGCTGTTGGGTTGTGGCAAAACAGTTGTTGACACAGACAGTACCAGTCACCAGCCATGGCTACCAAATCCTGCCTGGTTTCCCTCGTCTTGCCAGACAGCTGGAGAGCCACTTCCAGGAGCCTATCAGTTCTAGCAGTTGTGCAATGTGCTATCTCTTTTGGTAGGCCAATAATAGGAGGTGCCAGTGTCGAGATACCTTGAAGTCCCAACATCCTCTCTGGCCCCAGTGACCCGTCTCCAGCCAGGGCCTCTTGGGCTGCACTGACAGCGGCATCATGCTCTAGCAGGTCGGTACAAGCTGAGGCCACTGCATGGTGGTCACGGCTCTCTACAGCAAGGATGAGTTTCCTGATGGCAGGGGGTGGAGAGCCCCTCCTCTTTGTACAGGTATCAGGAATCAAAGGGTGTGGAGAATGGTCCATTGGTGGATAGGAGGTACCTGGGTCATTTTCCTCTAACCCAGGCACTCTCTGATATTTCAGTTCAGGCACTGCAGAGCTCTGGAAGCTGGGGAGAATGAAATAAGGTTCTCTCTTAGCAACGTCAAACCTGTGGACTTGGTTCCGAAGGGGGCTGAGGATATCTGGGTGGTTAGTCCCAGCCAGCCCCTCTTTGAGGCTCTGAGCTGAATAGATCAGATGTTTTGCCATGGTTAAAAATGCATCAGTGTCCGGAGATCCATATTCACGTGAACAGTGCTCAGCAGCTACACCCAAGACCAATGAAGATTGCTCTACTTGCTGGATCAAGACTCTCAGGCCATTCCGGAAAATGGGATCTCGTTCTTGGCCCACATACCTGCTCATTACCTGCACTATGTGTGTGGCCCGGCCCTGTAGATATGCCACACATCGAAAAGACTCACTGGAATCTCCACTCTCCAAAGCCCACGTAAAGAAGTCCAAATGCTTGGACATTTCCTGAATGGATACATTCAGGAACTCAGGAATATTGAGGACGTCATCAAAACATGCCAACAGGTGTTCAGATTCCCTGGCCCAGGCCTGAAGCAGGGCCTGCAGGATGGCAGGGCTCCAGTCCCGGCCAGACCCTTGGGGGCTTCCTGAGAAAAGCTGTTGCACTCTCACCACAAGTCCCCAAATGCTTGCCATGGCGGCCTCCATGTCTCTGCCAGTTTCTTGTTGAGGGCAGCAAACCAAGGCCAAGTGAGCCACTCTGAGCATCTGTTTGGCCCGGTCATGGAAAGTAGCAAGGCAAAGCTGAAGGCTCTTCGGCAAGGCCTCGCCATCGTAAGGGGAGCTGTCTGCGGAAGTCGCCACCGCCGCCTGTACCAGCCTTAAGAGAGGACTTTTCGTGTCTGTGAAGGTGTCCAGGATCTGGTGCAGTAGCCCAGTGCAGAACCCCTGGGAGAGGGCCTCGATCGCGGCCCGCAGCGCCGCGCGCTCCTGCCCTGGCTCCGACCTTACCCGGCCTCTCCCGGGAGGTCCGCCGATCCCCGCGAGGCGCCGGGCACCAGAGCTCCGCAGCTGTAGCAGCCGGCCGACGCGGTCCACCAGGTGCAGCCTTTCCGGCGGCGCAGAGCAGGCTGCCAGGCGCATGCAGTGCCAGACCACGGCGGCCAGCGGGGGGTCCAGCGGGCTGAGGTGCAGGGGCTCGGACACAGGCGCCACCAGCAGCTCCTGCAGTTGCCTCAGGGGCCGGGCTAGCGCGCCGTTCCACACGCTGGTCGCCGGGGCCGCGGCGCCGGGATCCAGTCGCACCAGGAGCTCGCCGAGGGCTTTCCTGGCCAGAGCGCAAACCCGGCGCGGGGACGCGCCCAGCTGCGGATCGCGTGGATGCTGGAGGCGGCCGCGGACTGCCGCGATCAGCGCGGGGATGTAGGCCCGAAGCAGGCAGCCCGCGCGGCTCAGGCGCTCCTCTGGCCTGAGCGCTGCCAGGTCCCCCAGGCGCAGCAGCGCAGTGGCCAGGTCGGCGAAGGTGCCGCGCTGCGAGGCCGCGTCTCCCGCCGCCTCCAGCGCGTCCAGGCAGGTCAGGCACCAACCAGCAGCCCGCACCGTCTTTCTCGCCATCGCCGCGTCTTCAAGGAGCAAGACCTGTTCGGGAAGTAAGAGGCAGAGAGGTTCGAAGGTGCTTGGCGGTTCCGGAGCTATGGCGAGAGCAATGGCAGCTACCCCCTCCCCGGTTTTACAAATGTGTTGTCCCCTTAACCTCCGAAGACTAAAGAGTATAGAATCTCAGGGGGAAAATGTCGCTTAGGAGTGGTGTTTATAAAAAAACGTTTACTTTTACGAAAATTTAAGGCTTCCTGCGTTTAAACTACATTTACTGTGGTTCCAACCTGGATTTGGAGTGCAGGTCTCTAGGCAAGGGTGGAGCAGTGGACGGGCTGCCTGGTGATCCGCACACAACAAAAGCTATTTCGGAAGGACTTACTATTTGGATGAGGATGCTGAGAACCAGAGGGGTGGCCTGTCCAGGAAGTGCTTGTGAGAAATCCTTCCCAGCCTGACCCTGCCATTCTCAGAGAGCTCTATCTATCACCTCCAACAGTGCTGGTACCAAGCACTTCCAAGAGCCTGCCCTTCCTGCCTGTCCTCTCATCAGCAGGTACCCAAAACCCTTTTGCACTCCCTACTCCCTGTCTCCAACCTTCCTTTAATAATGACCTGTTAAATTACAAATACCTTCACCTAACCCACATTACTAAAGTTTTAATGATGAACAATGATATTTGCTAATATTCAAGGCATATGGATTCTAATGGGAGCAACGTCGTGCAGTAATGATGGAATGTCAGGATGGAGAAGGGGGAGTATTTGAAGGCTGACATATCATCCTGGCCTCCTGAGATCATTTCAGCTAGGCCAGTCCAGCAGAGCCTTCACTTTGGAGCCAGGTTTGCCAAATAGGCTGACAGAGGTTTCAGTAGCCTCTCCCTATAGCTCCTGGACAAAAGCAGGATGGAAAATGACCCCTCTGATGAAATCTTTTTATTAGAAGTTGGTGGCTACGTGTGGGGAGAAGGGGGTTGCACATGGGTTGAAGATCATAGACCCTAACTCAGTATGTCCACCAAGGTTTCTAAATCAGGTTGTTCATTTAGCATTTGTTAAATTGGAAATGTACTCTGTGCCTCTGATTCTGGCAGAAACTTGGGCAGGTTTCTCTCTCTGGGGCAGGTGTCTGCTGCTGAGGACAGCAATGAGCTCTCTGTCCAGACTGACCAGCCGGCCAGCTCTGACATCAGCCTCACCTTCGTGGTGTTCACTAGGATCTGCTGAGCTGTGGTCACTAGCTCCTCCTGGTAGTGCTGACATTCTGGCTGAAGATGGAGTCTCTGAGCCACCAGCATGATGTGCCTTCCAGACAGTGTCAGAGACTGGGCAGCAGGCTCCATTTCCTCCCTGAGCCACTCCTCCTCAGAGTCTCCTGCAAGCCTGGACAGACACATTACATTTGCAACAGGTTACAAAAGAGAAACATACCTATAGGGAATTATGATACACAGAAGTTACAGAGCACTAAGTCGCCATTATGATGGAACTGGAGGCTGGCTATGGAATCCTCTCCAAGATGCAGTGTTGAGAAAACATAACATAATGTAACATGAAGTAACATAACCAAATGACATAATAGCACGCATGGCAAGATACCATTTGTTTCAGTTGTATACAGGTGGAATGTCTTCTTAGAGAAGACTAAGAGAAGTCTTCTTAGAAGGATAATCCTCAAACTGTTACATCTTGGCATTTTAAAATATACTTTGTTTCAGTTTTAATTGCTCTAATTTTCTCTGCAATGAACATGAATAATTGCTAGAAAAAATAGTAATAATAATATTTCTTTTTTTTGAGATGGAGTTTTGCTCTTGCTACCTAGGCTGGAGTGCAATGGCGCTATCTTGGCTCACCGCAACCTCCGCCTTCTGGGTTCAGGCAATTCTCCTGCCTCAGCCTCCTGAGTAGCTGGGATTACAGGCACACGCCACCATGCCCAGCTAATTTTTTGTATTTTTAGTAGAGACGGGGTTTCACCATGTTGACCAGGATGGTCTCATTTCTTGACCTCGTGATCCACCCGCCTTGGCCTCCCAAAGTGCTGGGATTACAGGCTTGAGCCACTGCGCCCAGCATAATTATTATTTTTAAAGAAAAAAAATATCTAGAATCTCATTTCAATCCATGTTATCAAGAAGATTTTATGTAACAAAAATCAGTTTCTATGAATGAACACAGATATCTACAGCAACCGTTTTGTTCACGTGATCTCAAACATTTATCTTTGAATAAGAACCCCTCACCCTATAAAATAAATAAACACATTTTAGTAGCTATTCTTTAGAAATGAGGCAGAGCTATGTGCCTTTGGAATTGTAGGCTAGGAGGACATGGGAGTGCCAGGGGGAGTGACTGTTGAGAAGCTCCTCCCAGCTTCAAGTCCCTTACAGAGTGGCAATAAATTTCAATGCCCCTCATCCCTTCCTGCCCCAAACATCCCAACCACCTTCACATGAAATGTCCCCTGAATTTTCAGTGCAGAGAATCACACTACTGGCCCCAAATAACCCAGCAAGGTGAAATGTCAAGACATTGGGAGATGGGGGAGAGGGCAGAGAATGCATGTCAGCTGTCTCTTTCCCTTCTTTTACTTTTAATTCCTGGAGAAGAATTTGTCCATCAGCTGCCACTGACACTCAGGTCCCTCAGCCTATAAATATGACTTTGTGTCACATCCTGACAACTGTTCAGTTGCAGAGCTGAGGCCCTCACCTGGCCAGCCTAGCTTTCTGGGTTTTCTCATGTTTGAACATTAACCTGGAAAAAACAAAGTCTCTGAGAATCAGAGGTGCCCACGTGAGAGACACCTTAGTGGGTCCAGCATTAAGGCAATGTAATCACTGTGTCCTAATATGACTTGAGTACAAGCTACATCATGTGAAGAAAGTCGACAGAAACTTCTCTGTAAAACTTCTCCACTCTCCTCCCTCTTCCTTCAGACCTTCAAAATATGTTTCTGTCCTCTTTTCTCCCCTCACTTCTAACCCTGCTTTTAGGTTTGGCTGAGATAGTTGAACGTTCTTCAATGAAGGCTGTGATTAGAATCACCCTTAGCTTTGCAGCTTCTCTTCTAAGAAATTTGACTCTTAACCCTCAGAATACCATACTATTATTCTGTCTCTTCTTCACCTTCTCTTTTCTTTTTCTTTCTTTCTTTTTTTTTTGAGACGGAGTTTCGCTCTTGTTACCCAGGCTGGAGTGCAATGGCGCGATCTTGGCTCACCGCAACCTCCGCCTCCCGGGTTCAGGCAATTCTCCTGCCTCAGCCTCCTGAGCAGCTGGGGTTACAGGCATGCACCACCATGCCCAGCTAACTTTTTGTATCTTTAGTAGAGACGGGGTTTCGCCGTGTTGACCAGGATGGTCTTGATCTCTTGACCTCGTGATCCACCTGCCTCGGCCTCCCAAAGTGCTGGGATTACAGGCATGAGCCACCGCACCCTGATCACCTTCTCTTTTCTGGAGTCTCTGCTGTCTGTGATTTAGTTAGAGCTGTGTCAGGATTTTTTCCTCAGTTGGGGAGATGCATTTGCTACATGCTTGCAGATCTGCATTTTTATCCTTCCCACTGTCAGCTTAACGATGAGCTCTCTGGGTAGAACATTGTGAGTGACAGGCCCTTCCACTCAGCAGCATGGAGACTTAATTCCACATCTTCAGGCCTCCAGATTTGCAGAGGAGAAATCTGAGGCTAGTCTAAATGATTTCCCTCCATAAATAATTTTCCTTTTGTCTGAAAGCACTAGGAGTTCAGGAATCTTACCAATGTGTCTCACCTAGAACCCAGGTACAGTTATAATTTACAGATTTGGGTCAAAATTGGCTCAAAGCACTTTTCTTCTACCATTTGCTTCACTATTGCCTCTCCTGAATCTCTTCATTTTTCTCCTTCTAGAAGCTTCATACTTTTCAAGTTGAGTGTCCTGGATTTATCCTCCAATTCGACTATTTTTGTCATGCATAATTTCCGCTTTTACTTTCTGGTTTGCATGATATTGTTGGCTTAATTTTTCAGACCACTGATTTGAGATGTATCAGTGAATGTTCTCAAACTTCTGCTTCAAACCATGAAGGTATTAGACCAAGTCTTCCACCAAGAACACCTGTGGAAGATGGAGAAAATATTTTTAGGCCAGGCACAGTGGTTCATGTCTGTAATCCCAGCACTTTGGAAGGCCAAGGTAGGAGAATTGCCTGAGGCCAGGAGGTCTGAGGCTGCAGAGTCATGATCATGCCGCTGTGCTCCAGCCTGGGCAACAGTGCGAGACCCTGTCTTAACAAACAAAAAAAATTTTCCATGTGAAATAAAACAGTTTTTTTGAGATCTTAGAGAACAACCAAGGCAGTCAGTGCCCAGCACCTTGTCCTAAGGGCAGAAAAACCATGTAGTCAGCAGCGGCTATGCTGAGACTAGTAGTATCACAACACTGAGAAAACAAAAATTAGAGTGTAGGTCTCGTCAGTGTGGAGGGAACCTAATAAACACTCTAGGCTTTCAGTGGACACCTGAAAATCCATAACTTAGGAGGAGAAATAAACATCTCACAAGACTGAAACTATCTTGAATTATTTGAAGACTTTAATTGGGTAAGGGTGAGCTGTCCCTACTTTAGCTGCCCACCAGAATAGAACAAAATTCATTTTAATTTATCTCCTTCTACTAGAAGGAGATAATACTATCTAGAGCTACTATAATTTTGCATACATACCTCTATGGTCTGAATATCTGTATGTAACCCCCATTCATATGTTAAAATGTTAACCCCCAATGTGATAGTATTAAAAGGTGGGGCCTATGGAAAGTAATGAAGTTTCGGGGGCAGAACCTTTATGAATGAGATTAGTGCCCTTCTGAAAGAAGCCCAAGAGACACTCCTTGCCTCTTCCCCCATGTGAGGACACAGCTAGAATATGACATCTATGAACTAGAAAGCAGGACCTCAGCAGACACCACATCTGCTGGTAGCTTGATTTTGGACTTCCCAGTCTCCAGAACTGTAGGAAATAAGTTTCTGTTACTTATAAGCTGTCTAGTTTAGGGAATTTGTTATAACAGTCGAGAGAGTAAGACACACACTGTACTGTATTCAATTTTTAAAAATTACTCCATATGAAAAGATAAAAGATAAAGGTGGCATCTCATATTGCTGGGATATGGGGTAGTCATTTAGAAAAAGATAAAAAAGAGATCCATATCTCAAAACATACGTAAGAATGAACTCTAAATGGATCAGGGATCTAAAGGTAAATTCAAAACCACTGAAGAAAATGTGAGTTCCTCTTTAATCTTGGTGTAGACTGGAGTTCGAAGTGGAGGGGATGTGTTAAACCACAGTCTTTCCCAGGGCTGTGATGCTTATGCTGTGCACTCTACTACCCCAGAGGCACTATTCACCTAGCCCTGGAGCAAATGGGGATATGCAGTGCAGGGGCCCTTCCCTGTCTATCATCAGTGTGACCTGTTTTATATGTACACATATACATGCATATGCATGTGTGCATTTGCATATGGGTAGATATACTTACACAGATATTTCTTTATATGAGTTTTTAAAAAGAAAAATGAGAGATGGGGAAGAAAAAGGATGGGAAGAGGAAATAAAAAGGAGAGCAAGAAAAGAAAACTATCTGCAATAAATATATAGTGTACTGAAATGTTCACAATGCTTATCTCTAGGTTGTATAAGCTTATAGGTAATTCCTTCCATCAGCGGATTCATATTCATTATATGATATGCTTGATGTTCATCATATATTTTTATGCAAAAGAAAACACAGTAGTGTTGGCCTCATCTTGAAAGGCCCTGCCTAACACCCTGCCCTACTGCCAAACTCTGGTCCAGGGACTGCTGGTGTGGCAAATTCCTTCTATCCTCCTGAGAACTTATGCAGCAGAAGGGAAGGCTCAGACTGCCAGCCAAACACTTAGCACGTTTTGTGCTGATTGACTCCATTTGGCCTTCCCTGAGAACTGCTCAAGGAGCTTCTCTGAAAGTCAGTGGAGCTAGACCAATATGCATTATTTGCAGTATTGCCTTAATAGATCGGCTGGACCGTTTCCCATGGTCATGAGCATGGATAATGCTGTGTAAAATAACTCACCTTGCCAGGAACAGATCATACAACAGAGGCATTTGCACAGAAACAGACAAAATGATGTTTAGCTTCTCTCAAAATTTAGTGTACCTCTTTTAGTAATAACAAAATGCACTGTGTTAGAAAACTGCAGATGTACAAAGTAATATTAAATTAGTATAAAATCACTCTGCTCTCAAACTCTTAAATAAATTATTATAAATATTTTGGCAATTTCTTTCCATGATTCTTTTTTACATGGATCAAACCATGTATAGTTCCCCCACCTTCATCTTAGCACCGTA